GGGATGTATTGTTTTAAATGACATAACGACTATCGTAAATGTTAGGTGAGTCAAAAACTACTAATCCTAAGTACCTTAACTGTATTATATCTGTTTGTTGGTTGTTGTTTAACGCCGCACTCAGCAATATTCCAGCATATGGCGGCCAACTGTAAATGATCGAGTCCACACAATCCAGTGAGCAACATCGTGAGCATCGATCTACGCAATGTGGATATAATGACATGTGTCAACCAAGTCGGCGAGCCTGACCACCCGATCCCGTTAGTCGCCTCTTACGACAAGCATGGGTTGCTGAAGACCAATTCTAACCCGGGTCAATACGGAAGAGACCATAAAAGCGTCTCAGTGGCACTTTCGAAAAGATATATATTTTACTTATATTTGGGTTATCTTAAGAAACATTTCACAAAAAGGCTTCCATAAGGGACAGTACACTTATCGCTTACGAAATGCATCTTTAGAGCCGTTCTAAGCAAGCGACGCTGTACATGTTCCATATGTAATGGCAAATGTATGGTAATATTGCCATTGGTATAATTCCTACAAAACGTTTATGAAGGTGAGTGAGTGAGTTTGGTTTTACGCCGCTTTTAGTAAAAAAATTATTAATATCATGGCGGGAGAGACGCCAGAAATGGGCTTCACACATTGTACCCATGTTGGGAACCGAACCCGGGGCTTCGGCGTCACTCACTCAACACTTTTCTGTATATTGCATCGAAATGTTTAAAATGCCGGAAAGTGATAAATGTAACTTACCTATTCTCGATCCGACTCCACAGTGTCAACATTCTGGTACAAACTGTTACAATATCAAAGGTGTACTGATACACAATGGTGTATTGATTCATTGTGGTAACAGCCAGTGTGCACTCCATGCGCCGATCGAATACTGGACAAAGAGGTATTCACTCTCATATATTCAAATGTGCATTCATACAGCGAGGCTACAAGCTGAAGGGAAATGCTGTAACTGTGACGTCTTACAGACCAACGTTATGGTGAATGGATCACACTTACGATTGTCGTATCTTTACGGAAACGAATATCAATATTTTTACAGCAAGCGACGATTACAGTGGTCATTTTCTTAACACACTTTACACACCATGCCTCACATGCTCCATGTGGCTTATCTATTAAAACTCTTTAAATTAACATACTATTTGTGTTCCGTTTGCTTCTTAGTTAAAATAATATCGATGTAAAGTCGATATAATGAACAAAGATTCACATCATCAGGCTATGGTTGCATGCAACATGGTTCACTCTCCTTTTGCAACAAGCATGGGTTGCTGGGGACCTATTCTAACCTAGGTGCCATTGTACAAAACAACCGTAGCGCTAAGGTGATCTTAAGTCCAGGGTAGGCTAAAGAGCAGTCAATAGTTCCTACTGGTATTTCCCGTATGGTAGCCTTGTGGTTAAGGCGTTCGCTAGTCACGCCAAAGACGCCGGTTCGAATCCCCACATGGGTATAAGGTGTGAAGCCCATTTCTGGTGTCCGCTGCCTTGACATTGCTGGAATATTGCAAAAAGCTTCGTAAAAACCATACTCACTCACTATTTCCCGTATATGCTGTAATTATTCCATTTGTATTGCGTTTTAAATCTAGGTCTAATTACGAGAATAAGTCGACCCTGGAGCACCATATTTGAACTTTTGGATTTTCACATAAATTTATTATTTTCGAGAAACACTGAATTCATACACCTCCTTTAAATATACTCAACAAAAAAGTTAAGGACCAACCCAATATTCAATATTTAAGTATTATATGGATCATAATATGAGGTGAGGTGAGATTGGGTTTTACGTCGTGCTTGAAAATATTTCGCTCATATGACGACGTGCATGCGTGTGTATGTGTATGTGCGGCTGCTTGTACTAGCCCAGACTGAAGCTGGTTTTATAGTGCTAGCCCACTGAGATACCATGCCGCAGTGAAGCATGAATCATTGAATACCCCACTCAGGCACATTATACTGACTCCGAGTCGACCAGTCCTTGTTGTACCCATTAATGCCGAGCGCCAGGCAGGGACCAACAAGTACCATATTTTAACGTCTTTTGGTATGACGCGGTCGGGGATCGAACCCGCGACCTTCCGCTTTCCGGGCTGTCGCTCTAACCACTAAACCACGGAGGCGGTCGGATCATAATATGAAATATTAAATACTTTAATATTGAAATTGGGGTGGTCCTTAACCTTTTTTGATGAGCATATTTATAAGAATACTACTACATACCCAGTTGCAGAACTTCTACACCAACTCCAGTATTACATAAAAATACAATGTCAACAATGAAAAATAATCATATTTATACACAAACATATACAGTGGCATCACATGTATGTGAATGTCCTTATTAATTTGATAAAAGTACTGAATTTTGATATGGAGCAAGGATCAACCATTTGATATTACAAATGGTAAGGAGGGAGGGAGTAGTAGGTAGTAGCTTGGCTGGAATGGTAACTGAGTAAAGAACATTGTCCCAGATATTGCTTTATAAACAAAATTATGCAATCCAGATTGTTAAAAAAAAATGTCCACATTGTTATAAGCAAAATATTCTGTTAATAGATTACATGCCTGTCTAATATCCAAACAAATTCCAAGACTCCACTTAATTTTCCCCTCAAATATATCCAAAAAATCATAATTTCCTAATAGTTTTCTAAATACAGAATGCATTTTCTTCAGATGGTTTGTGACCCCAAGTTCCACATCACCAACTGTGTGGCCAACTGGCCTGGATCATGCCATGATGCACACATATTCAGGGAGATTAAGCTCTGTCATAATTTTGAAAATGGTAAGTATTCAAGTTTTCAAGATTTCTTGTGTCATTCTAGATGCCTAGAGAACAAAAGTACCGTCCTCTGATTATAACAATACAGACAATAACATTCAAAATATACTGATTTCACTTCAGATAACCTGATGATCCAAATTACAATATGTCAGTAAATATATTTATATCAGAAAATTCGCTGATAATCCATAGTGAAAAACATTAAATGTCACATGTAGATCAATGTAGTGTGATTAAAAGACTGAACATTGAAGAATGATGATTATTTTATGGATATACAACTTCTTTATTCTGTGAAAGGTGACTTGCTTGACAACTACATTAGAATTTATGTTGCCTTTAACAGAATAAAGGAGTTGTATATCCATAAAATTATCATCATTCTTCATCACCTCAACTTCTAAAATGCCCATCAAAGAAGTTATACTGAACATTGTAGAGAACTATTTTGGATTTACAGATACATATCATTCATACAGACATGTATTTAATTCATGAGTACAACCCCTTGATGTATTCAACTGCAAACATAATGTAAAAGTGTCTTCACTCCAATCATTTGTGTGATATATCCCACTTCATAAACTAGTAAATAAAAAATGAAGGCTATAGCAAAGATTACAATATGTTGTGTGACACAAGTTAAATTCTTTATCAATAACTGTACAAAATCAACATTGGCAAAACATTTCACTGTCAGACTCATAGCTGAAATACTAATTTTGTTTAATAAGTCTTAGCATCTGTATTTAGTGTTGAATCAGGTCACAAATATGCAAAATGTTAAAGACTAATGAAGATGAATATATATTTCAGGTCTTCATGAAGGATTCCTGCTTGGGGACTCTAGATACCCCTATAGACGCTACCTGATGACTCCCTACCACAATACTGGCGATCTGAGGCACAAAGACAGATATAATTATTCTCTCTGCAGGACACCTGTACTCATTGAACAGACCTGCATTTTAAAAAGACGCTTTCCTTGTCCGTCTACTGGACTGAGAACCAATCCAAACAGAGCATGTAATATGTTATCTCCTGTGTAATATTACATTATATAGGAATTTCGAAACACAATATAGTAATTAATCATGTAGATGATTTGACAGTACAGGGTCCAGATCAGCAACAGCAGCAGCACCGATGGCTTCGGTATCAGAGACCACATTGCCCAGGGTCTCCTTTCACAAAGCACTAAGGTGACCATAAGTCCTTAGGGTAACCTTAGTGCAATGTTAAAGAATGGGAGTTAAGATTAACCTTAGTAAAGGTGGCTTCATTAAAGAAGCCCCAGAGCTACTTCGGTTAGTCATTTTGTGAAATAATCAGTATCAGAGACCACATTGCCCAGGGTCTCCTTTCACAAAATACTTAGGTGACCGTAAGTGCAAAGTTACAGAATGGGAGGTAAGCTTAACCTTAGTAAAGGTGGTTCATGAAAGAAGCCCCAGAGCTACTTTGGTTAGTCATTCTGTGAAAAAATCAGCCTAAGAGGTGGGGATGAATAATGTCTGATGGCATGACATTTAGATTCAAATATTCAGTGAATTGATGGTTCTAGTTGCCTTATTTGCAAGATTGTAAATACTTAAATTACAATTTGTAATTTCGAACAGTTCTGGCCCTTTTTATTTATATGGTTAAAAATAACTGTGACAAACACATGTTATATTTGGGATTAGTCTTTCTCAGTAAAGTATGATTCTAGTACTATTGTTGGTTTGAGTATCATCCGGGATTCGAACCCACACCCTCAGAGTAAGGCACCTAATCGCCAGATGGGACTCAACCAAACAAAAGTACTAGAATCTGCATGTTGCGGAGAAAGTGTAATCCCAAATATAAAATGTTTTACAATCAAACCGGTTTCTAAATGGCATTGTGCATTTGTAACAATCACTATTTCTTAAATTTTACATACTGTTTAAAACCATGTTTTGGAATTACCTCTAATATCTTCAAAATATATGTTTGTTTTTGTCAACTTAATACATCAATCTGGGGAATTAATAATATATATATAGATTTTATTTTGCAGGGCTTCATGATGGACTTTGCACAAACATATTTTACTCAATCAGTTTTGATGATGACAATCAACAATGAATTTCAAATTTGCTCAAGCAGATATTTGTCACATAGTATTTGACAATAGCAGTACATGGTTTCAATGTTTGAGTCCAATTCTTTTATTGTAATGATAACATGTCTTCTATAGGAAGAATGTTATAAATTTGTATAAAACATGAATTTCTCATTTGCCATGAAAATGTTCATTTTCCAAAGAGCAGTTTGTATGATATCCAGTCACCATTTTACTAATATTTAAAATATACGATTACTATAACAGTCCAACCATAGTTCATTCATACCCAGTTACTTTGTCAGAAGTTTACAGTCAATTATGACTCTGTACATCTCCATGCACAAGGGGCGGTGGGGTAGGCTAGTGGTTAAAGCGTTGGCTCGTCACACCAAAGACCCGGGTTCGAATCCCCACACTGGTACAATGAGTAAAGCCCATTTCTGGTGTCCCCCGCCGTGATATTGCTGGAATATTGCTAAAAGTGGCGTAAAACCAAACTCAGTCAGTCCATGCACAAATAACAAATATTTAAAAAAATCATTACTCAGAGTTGATGTTGCATGTTATTCCATGTTGAAAGTTGAAAGTTGGTTCGATATTTCAAATTTTTAAAATTGTTATTTTTTGCTGCAGTTCAGCTACTCTTATTTGTTCCTTAATCAGTTGTCTAGAATCCTTAATTCTCTCTAGTTCTTCTCTAGTATTTCTTCTTCAGTTGATGCTTTTACATGTGCAGCTGGTTCAAACCTCCAAAAAAGAATTTGAAAGCATGGTTGGGTCCAGATCAGTGATGTCAGTGATGTCCTCAGCTGAATTTAGATCAACTTGAGTGCTTGTTGCTCCATCATGTTGGGCTTCAGCAATTTCAGAGATATTCAAGGAGTCTGAAAAAACAATAAATACCAAAGTCATTATTTATTCTTTCAAACATGGACTTCTCTATAGTGATGTCAAATCTATTGATCAGAAATAGAACATAAAAGTTTCATGTTGTTGATTTAGAGATGTTCCAAGCACCACTTCCTTAGTAATAAAAATGTAAAATGAATATTTGGAAGTACCAAATGGGGTATGCGAACATCTGGCCCCGATTTCTCAAAACAAACTTAAGTCTGAGTTTTGACTTAAGTTCAAATTTTACTCAAATTTGAGAAAACGCATTTCCCATTGTTGAACTGAAATCGATATCAAACTCAAACATAGTAGACAATTTGAGTTTGGTGAATAGAATACTTAAGTTGTTTGGGATTTTTTATTTTAAAAATGCAGCTGAGTTAAAAATTCAGATGTTTCAAATTGTCAAACTCAGTTTGATATTTGAGTACAAACTTAAGTTTGTTTCGAGAAATCGAGGCCACTTCTTTCTATCTATACTACCCATCAAAAGTTTAGACTCATTGGTGTAAATGTAGCCACTTACTTCAGTCAATTGTTCTAAACTAGACTTTGCAAAATACTCCATACTGCTTAAAGGTACTGTTTACACATGAACTGATGTATTGTAAAACAAATTAGTAACATTGAAAAGAGTATTGTCATGAGTTTAATAAAAGTAACTCAGTGAAAATTTGCGAATTATTAACAAAACTTTACACCAACATGCACAATGCACATGCTTTTCATTCAGCAATTTGATTCATGATCCTCATGCAATTCATCTGCATAAGGTTTGCAGTTGGTTCCCCAAAGTCAGTGGAGAAATTCATCTTCGATGTAACCATATATATTCATAATATATAGTGAGTGCTTTAAGTGAGTCTAAACTTTTGATGGGTAGTAGATGTGACATTAAAATTCATTTGCATGTTTTATGGAAATGTTTCTCTTCATAGTTGACAAGTAACAATATAATCTGGTGGGGTAGCCTAGTGGTTAAAGTGTTTGCTCATCACGCCGAAAACCGAGGTTCGATTCCCCACATGGGCACAATGTGTGAGGCCCATTTCTGGTTTCCCCGCCATGATATTGCTGGAATATTGCTAAAAGTGGCATAAAACTAAACTCACTCACTCAATTATAATGCTAATTTATCAGAGTATATTATGCTGGTATGCATGATCTGTATTGACCACTTAACTAGTTGCCACCTTCATCTCTCTCTCTCTCACACACACACACAAACACACACACACACTATTATAGCATAACATGTTGGAATAAGTGAACAATTATTGTACACAGCAGAGAATGTTAAAACATGATGTGTCATTTATGTAATTAATAGCGACAATAATATCATTAATTGTATTTATAACAATGAACTATATATTCTGAGATGAGGTTGTGTCATCTGAAGCTTGCATAATTAATATAGATAGTTGCATATCAGTTAATTGTAATATATTAAATTACTGTTTCATGTTACATAATAGTTTTGGTCAAATGCAAATTAAATAAAATTGTATGCTGTAAACGAAATAGATTTCAAGTATCTGAATATAAATTTTACCTTTCTGTTTGATATTTTGAAACTTTGTCTTTATTTCACTCCGCATTCTCAGTCCAGATGGAACCCTTCTGCAACAAACAGATATCTATCAGCCTATTATCTCCGGTATATGCAGTTAGACTATATCATATTAAGAGGTTAAGATTACATGACAGTTTTCCTTTCGCCAGTCATATCAGCCCGAGACTACCATATCAGCCCAAGGGCCAAAGGCAGTCTCGGGCTGATATGACTGGCGAAAGGGAAACTGTCCTATCACAACATTGTTATCATATACCACACTTGCAAACACTGAAATGGTTAAGAAAAGATAAGAAGAAAAAAACTCATACACCATTTCTTGATGGACAGCAACTCGAGCAGACGACGCAAGGGGCGTAATTCTAAAATAAACTAGGCTCTGTCTCTATTGAAGTTTCGAGCGTTTGCGTGTATTCATTCCATACCAGTTTAGTAGCCTGACAATACGGCTGATATGCATTTTCGGCCCGGGTGGTCAATATGGACATATACCGACAGCCAGTATTGCATACATGTGCAAACTGGTCCATTGGTATATGATAAAAGTAGATATGTTTGATAATAGGCCATGTTTGATTATAAAAAGTCACTGGTCTGGAGTCTATTAAAAAAAATTCAAACTTCGTCTTTTGTCAGTAAGCGATGTTAAGGACCGCATCGCGGCTCTCGGTTAGTACCAGTCTAAATGATAATTCAGAATAAGCCTAACAGGCTGATGTTACATTTACAAATACACTTTAAGGTTTTCGTGTGTACTTATGTTAAAAGTACATTGAGGTTGTGGAGTACTTCAGATAATTTTACTCCAGCTTATCGCCTACTTAGGTAACTATGTAGACTTCTACAAGTCTCTAAGGTAATAATAAATAGTTTAAATGATAATTTCTATAAAATATAAATATTCCTCTGACGGACTGGTGTACCATACGCTTATCTAGACTTGCCTCTTTGAAGGAGAGAATTACTATACACCAATGGGCTTAGCATTCCCTACAGCCTTGGAGCAAAGCAGGTTACTGTGTAATGGTTATTCTCACGAGTTGAGTAGATCGGTGATTTCCACTATGGCTTTGGTTTTTCTTCACACTGGTTCTTTGGCAACCGTCCAAACGGCCGAAGAGGAGACCTTCCTTAATTCTCAGTGACTTCCTCCACGAGGATGACATCCCCTGGCTTTGTCCAGTTGCCCTTTCTCTGATCGTCGCTGCCCCTTTTCTTACTACTTGGCACTACAGCAGACAAATCGTCATCGGCAGGCGCTGCGTGTTTACAAACAACGGAATATTCGCGTCTCCCTTTCCTGGAGAGTTCCGCTGTTACCGTACACACGCGAAAATATTATACACGTTGCCTTTGATTATATATATTTTTGTTAACGTGAATACACAAGTGCGTGTTGGTGCCTTGTCCACGCCCACCACGCTCACAGACGGAAGGGCTAACTCCCAACATGCTATAGGTTTATGTAATGTTGCTGAGCTGACCAATCAGACTTGCTGGTACTCTGAAAATAAACGGTGCCAACGACTTCCGCCATAAGTTGTGAAGCAGACTTGAGCTGATTTGCCGAAACTTTTCACATCAGTTTGAATATTACAAAAAACAGCGAACAAGTTTCTTTGACAAGTTGCAGATTAATAAGACAGTGTTCATTTATGTCTATATTGGCTGACACATAATAAACAAGGTAGGTTCCTAGAGCTGAGATCATAACAGAACATTTGTCGGTTGTATTTATACACAGATTATATCATTCTTTGTTGTAACACTGAACACTCATTCTGGTTTCCAGGCGCTTAACAAGTCATTTTTTTCGTTCAAGCTCTATAGATGGCAAAGCTTTATATTTAGAGGTATTATTTGAGGTATTTTTGACAAGAATTAGAAATTTTAAATTTTTTAAGCAAAAAATTTAAAATATGTCTAAGCCCGGGCTTTGTTTATCATGGTAGCTACGCCCCTGGTTTCTTTAACGTATTTTTCGGAATTATTTTTTCAGTCAAGTTATTGTTGTAATATCCATCATTAGCTTTTTTTTATATAAGTCAGAATAGTAGAAATAAATACCCAATGCCTTTTGAAAGGTGGTTTATTGTAAAATTTACATAATTTGGATTACACTTTCCCGGTACAGAGACCCGTACCTCCATGACAAGTGGTACTGCTCCCATTGCCGAAAGCTATAAATACACAATCATCTTTTTTCAGAAATGGGTACACAAAGCAGGGGCGGATCAAGGGGGGGGTGGGGAGAGAAGGGCCTCTCTCCTTTTACTATGGTATCAATGTCTAAGTGAACTTTGATAGTTCAAGGTCTTGCTTCAGATCAAAACGGTCGGCAGCCGACAAATTTTTGACATTTTAAAAAGAAATGGTTGGCATCTGCACCGGAGCACTACAATAGCAAGCTTTACTCTCTGCAATTGCAAGCATTACTCACCCCAAAACGGGTGGTGGGGTAGTGTAGTGGTTGAATCGTTCGCTAGTCACGCCGAGGACCCGGGTTCGATTCTCCACATGGGTACAATATTAATGTCTGATGCCATGATATAACTGTAATATTGCTAACAGCGGCGTAAAACAATACTTACTCACTCACTCATTTGACTGCAAACCCAAGGTGCACAGATTAGCCCCGAGAGTGTGATACGTGTGTTGTATATATAATACCAAAGGGGCTCGAATCACTGTTTGGACAATAATTTTAAAAATAGAAATCTTGCCATATTCTTACTGTACCATATTCTTACTGTATACCAAGTGCTAGTCTGTATATACATGTATATTCTTTTTAAGATGTATGGCGGTGAGACGCAAATAAAATGTGTCTGTACTCGTAAATCTGGCAACAAGCTATCAGCTGAAAAACTGTTCTGTGTGGTGTTTTATTGTATTATACACGGGTTCGAATCACTGTTTGGACAATAATTTTTAAAAATAAAAATCTAGATTTGTGCAACCGTATATTGTTTTTTATATGTTATGAAAATCGGTGAAGAAATGGATTTTTTTTTAGAAAATTCTCCCGCTAAACTCATTACATAAAAAAACGTGTATTTTATGTTATGAGTTTAGCGGGAGAATTTAATTTACTTAAAAAAGAAAATACGGTTGCAAAAATCTAGATTTTTATTTTAAAAAATTATTGTCCAAACAGTGATTCGAACCCCTGTGTATAATACAATATAACACCACACAGAACAGTATTTCAGCTGATAGCTTGTTATTGAGAAACAGGTTTAGGCAGTAAGATAGACCTTGTGTTTAAAAAGACACATAACTTTTCGTGGTTTGGTAAAGTTAAAAGGTTGGACACTTGTCAAAAGAGCTATTCTAAAATCAGATAGAACATGTATATACGGATGACAACTTCTTAAATTCCAGAGCACGACGTTTCGATACAGGTTCTTGTATCGTTTTCAAGTATGAACCTGTATCGAAACTTCGTGCTATAGAATTAAAGAAGTTGTCATCCGTATATACTTGTTCTATCTGACTTCCAACTGCCACTCAAAGATGTTATTCTAAAATCATCATGTAAAGGACACTGTAATGAAACATGCTCTTCATCTTCAATAAATCCATATTATAAATAACACAAACTATAAGATCATATCACTATAGGTCGTAGTGGATCATGACCGGTATCTTGACTGACCGACAGTGGAACGGCATTAGTGATGTTTAACATTATATCTATGCACGATATTGGGTGTCACACCATTCTTAAGGAATGGACGCATGATGTTATTTACCAAAATGTACTTGTTTCGCGTTCTTCCACTTTTTCGTGTCTTCAGGATCCATACACTGCTGTCATTTATTCAGAATGCACTACATATCACTTTGTAGATATTCAAATGGAATAGCTGTGGGTGGCATAACGATTGTTTTACAAACTTGGACACGAGTCACTAGGGTTGGTCATGAGGTACAAGTACTAGCAAGAATAATTTACACACAGTGACTACATCAATCCTTACATTGGCAACTTTCCTTGTTGATCCCCACATGGGATGAGCTTAGTTGTGGCTCTCTCAATGAAATTCATACTCGTTTGAATATAGTTCGTCGTCGTCAGCTTGCCTCACTTGCCTGAGAGACGGCTCTTGCTTTACCAGTCAACATGCTTCATGGGTTTGTCTTGGTTCAGAAAAATATGCGCGCATTTGGAAAGTCCGCGTCGGTTGGTTGGTCGTATGTAACGCACTCTCAATATAATGGGACAAAAGCATTTTTTATACCAGAGTAACAGGCGCCTTCTCACGTCCAATGACAGCAGAACAGATAGATCGTACGGAAAATGTCCTGATGTTTACTGCAGATAGATCTGTGTTGTGACTAAAATATATTGATAAAACTACAGGGGGCAAAACCTTCACTAGCTCAATAAAACGCACTACTGAGCAACTACAATAAAACACAATACATGTAGCTATTAGTCAGCCGCACTTAAATATGCTTTTAATTTAACCACATTTTTTAACATATTTTTTGTTAATTTCTTTAATGGTGTAAAGGATTATGGGTAATATTTATGGTTCTGCACATAAATCATAAAGCCCAAAGGCAAAGGTAGGGGGAAGTGATACCCAGGAAAAATAATTCGGGGGAGAGGTGTGTGCGCGCGCACACACACACACACACACAGAGTTTGGACAATATTTTTTAAATGTAAAAATCTAGACTTTTGCAATCGTATATTGTTTATATGCGTTATCATTTACCTATATTTCAAATTTAAACGAGATTGGTGAAGAAATGAATTTTTGAGAAAATTCTACCGCTACACTCATTACATAAAATACACTGATTTTTCCGGTAGAATGTTCTTAAAATTTAATTTCTTCATCGATCTCGTTCAAATTAAAAATATAGGTTCATCATAACGTATATAAACAATATACGATTGCAAAAGTCTAGATTTTAATTTTATTAAATATTGTCCAAACAGTGATTCGAACCCTTGTGGCACCAACGTTAACCTGACGAGGGCTTGTCATCCACTTCTTCACTTCTAATAGCCTGCCATGTTACATTTCTAACAATTTCATTGTAACAAATATACAGTTATTGTTTCTTCTTTTTTCATATTTTCTGTATGTGGTGGGCATTTTCAAAGGAGAGAAAATAATAACATCATTTCCTGCAGGTGATGTTATCTATGTGCATGGAATCCGACAGTTCTAAACCTTTTTTAAACATGAGGGTACAAATGTAAATTTCATACAGCTTGCTTAACCAGTGTCTCTGGTGCCACTGTATATTACATTTCTCTGGTGGTATTCTATTTATCAATGTCTCGTGGTGATTCGGGGCTGTGGGGTAGCCCAATGGGTAAAGCGTACGCTCGTCACGCCGAAGACCCGGGTTCGATTCCCCACATGGTTACAATGTGTGATGCCTATTTCTGGTGTTCCCCGCCGTGATATTGATGGAATATTGCTAAAAGCGGCGTAAAACCATAGTCACTCACTCGTTCGTGGTGATTCAAGAGACTCTGTGACCGTCAGACACTCCCATCGAATGCGAATGAGAGCGGTTTTATTAAAACGGTACTTTGTAAATCTACCGAATTATGGCGAGCATTTGTGAGACTAACGAATGGGCGACATTGTATTGCGTATCAATCGACAGAGTCATCTCCTGTAAAACAGCCAAGCATTGCTGGAATCGTTTTATTCCGCTGTGATACATAGATTCGTTAAATTGCATTCATCGGCAAACTGATTGCATCACTGACATAGATACTGAGCGAGTTTACGATTACTTTGGCAATATTTCAACCATATCGTGAGAAAGGTCATACAATAATAATAAATCTTTTTCTACTTTATAAATACCGGTCGTCGAAGTATACAACAACTAAATAAACAAATATTATAATTGAAACTAATCTGAGATCAATATAAAATGTAATGTTGAATTATTCAACAACACTATACAAAATTGGGCTATAAATTGCCGGCAATCAAAGTTAGGCCACCGTAATTGAGGACCGTACGGACAATACACCTGCTTCATGCACGACTCCAACCAGGATTTACACCAACCCTCTAGTTGCTAGCGATTGCATTGACAAGTTTATAACGTTGATCACACAAGATAACATATGAATAGACATCAGAGGACGTGGACTGTTCTGCCTAAAACCCCAGAAAAGCTGCATGGTGGGCTACCAAGAATTTGGCAGTTGATGCTATTTGAGGAGGAGGTGAATGTTTTTTCATGTAATTCCCCAACTATATAATGTATGGAGTGAGTGAGTGTTCTACGTGTACCTAAAACCTCAGAAAAACTGCATAATCAGCCACCGTGAAATCTGACCTTTGCAAGTTAGTGATATTTGATGTTGAATGATATTGGATGAATGTTGTTTTATACCACTTCCCAGCTATATAATGTATGGAATGATTGAATGAGTTTCGTTTTACGCCGCTTTTAGCAATATTCCAGCAATATCACGGCGAGGGTCACTAGAAATGGGCTTCACACATTGTGGGGAATCAAATCCGGGTCTTCGACGTGACGAGCGAACGCTTTAACCATTGGGCTACACCACCGCCCCATTTAATGCATTGAATTTGTTTCACATATGTTTAATGCATACTTAAGTTAATAAGTACCAGTAAGCTACATGTCAGTGGCCTCAAAAGTCAGGATTAGAGATGAAACGCATAATCCCTAAACCTGTCAGAGTCAATATCTTAATCAGTGTTGACATCAGTTTACAAAAACGTGATGAGGCTATTGCCTCCGATTTGTTTTGCTCAAATATTTTTAAAAGATACATAATATTTTGTCCGTCAACTCTCTACGTGATGAAAACAAATGACCGCGTGGTTTGGCCAACCAGCCAATAACGACTTATTGTGAATGGTTTCCTGTTTTTGTCTATAAACAGTACTACCGTTATTGATTACTCCTTGGTGATTAAAAGTTTGTTTGTGTACGCATATGGGAAAAAGTGATGAAACGGTTGAATACATCGATTGATTACCAGTGACTTATCAATAGTCATTCTTAACCATCTCAATACAAGGTATTTGTCAGAGATTTAGGTTCAGATCATGCGCTTGTAAATGTGAGTTAGGACTTGTAGGACGTAAACAGGAAATAAGAAAATCAAGAAATCATTTTCACCAGTCAGAGGTAATACTACAGTTTGTGTTCATATTCCTGAGGACACTATAGAGGATACACCGGCATCTCGTTCAACAAACATTGCAGCAAAAGTGACGCTATATTAAGGTACAACTAAGGTAGGAGTGAATGAGTGAGTGAGTTGGGTTTTACGCCGCTTTTAGCAATATTCCAGCAATATCACGGCGGGGAACAACAGAAACGAGCTTCACACGGTTGGGAATCGAACCCGGGTCTTCGGCGTGACGAGCAAACGTTTTAACCACTGGGCTACCCGACCGCCCCAACTTAGGTAGGAGAGTTATTCTAGTTGTACAGTACTAAGCTCGATTATTGTTATATACTAATGAAACTAATGAGTACTTGTACGCTTGATGAAACTACTATGCAGGCTTATTGTGCATACCGTCATTGACGTCCATTGTGCTAACGTAACTGTTATGAACGACGTTAGCATCGCGCGTCTTGTGCATGACCAAAGTATTATGTGCACGTTCTTAACGAAAACAATATGTCACCGTATTATAGGTAATGTAACTCTGTAACGACAGAGTTGTGTACGCACATTTGCGACATCATCATCAAATCTGTATTACGTAGGAAGGCCACAGGCCCATATACATATTGATATACATATTCTAAACAGGTATGAAGGCGTGAACGAAAAGAGGAAACAATTTATTAAAAATTCATAGCATTTACCTGTCTACCTGCATAGATTATCTTACACCCTAGTGAAAAAAATCAGTAACATATATATGTAAAGGCGTACTGCAATTTGTTTAGTAGTTAATTGTATTCGCTCCTCTCTGGCCATGACAGTCGATGACAATGTTAAGTACATGTATATGTTTGTGTGTCAGCTGATGCAAGCAGAAATTAAAGACCAGTTCTAATGTCGAAACTAGCTCATCCTTTATACAGGTCAACTGTGTAAAGTAGGCCATCACGACAAAACTGTGTCTTGGATGATCCATGATTTTGGCTTGGAATTGCGGAGGTAGCTGTTTTCGGTGAGTTGTGGCGTATAACTTTTGAAATAATGATCCGATTGTGACCATTTTGTAGGGAAATCATCTCGCTTTTGATCCGTAGGCCTCGACGGGGCCTTAAAAATAGTTTACGTGGTGAAATCTAACTTAGATTGAGGAGGGGGTGGTTCCGTCGTTACATCCCTTTCCTTTTAGATAGTACTAGGGTAGGGTCTATACACCTATATGTCTTTCTAACGCTGTTTCTAAGCGTGACACGCCCCTGTGGGTAATACAACATATCATATGCCGTTTTAGTAATTCATCCATCATGCATGTCGTTAACTTAAAGAACAAATGTACTTTGTTTTTTTGTACTCTTTTAACCATTTCATACGAAAGATTTGTGGTTAGTCTTATGCGGAACACCAAATCCATTCTTAAAAAACTTGTGGTTTATTAATACCTCACCAGAGCACTGCAGTGACGTCATATGAGGAAGGATTTTCAGTTAGTTGTATATAAATTGGTAGCAAGCTCGTCATGTTGATGATTTCTCGACATCAACGAAGAGGTAACGAAGACATGCCGAATCGTTGCGTTGTCGTCAATTGCTCCTAGTATAGGGGTTGGGCGATGGTGTCACCATGCACAGATTTCCACAGGACCCCGCAGTTCGTGCTAAATGGGTTATGTTTGTGAGTGCGAAGCGAGCGTTGCTGAAGCCTGAAACGATATCGTACTTGTGTTCAGATCGCTTCACTGAAAGTAAAAATAAAGACTGGCGGATCATCCTCAGACTGGCGGATTTTCGCGACAGGGCGCCGCCATTTTGGAAAAGTCACGGGCTAAAGTCTGTTAGAATTAATGAGATTATGGTTTGTTTGCATCAAGTTAGAAAATCAAAACTACTGTCTACGCATAGTTACATATGTATTTGAATCATGACCAAAAGGATTTTGCATGACACAACTTGTAACATAACGATTTCTTCCACGGAAGCGAGGTGAGGGTCGAAGTGACAATACTGCGCGATAAATTTCTTGCTACATTCACGTGGTTAACGTCCACTCACCAGTATGTAGATACTAGTCAATGCACGTCTTTATATTTAGTCTTATAATCCTAATTAGTTTATTATTATACTTGTATGCATTTTTAAACTAAATAAAAAGCAGACAATCCGCTGATACTTATAGTGAATGTATAACAGGACTGTAATATCTAGACAGTTTATAGTTGCCAATGTGAATCATAATTCACACACACGCCCTAGTGTATGTTGTCTGTCTCATTACACTTCACGGAGAAAACAATGATTCTGTTGAATGCTACGACAAATGAATAAAAACAAAATGCAAATATTAAAATTAAAACAGATTAAAGTTATAGGACCAATGTCAGGCTATTACCTTGTTCGAGGAATGTATCCATCAATATCCACAAAAACGAGTGATATGCCATTCATCTGCAGCTGTTCCAATTGTGATGTGTCTTTTAACAGTCTAATATACGAAAAAGTGATATATCGTTTCAGGTATTTCACATTGGTGTATAGTCTCATTTGTCACCCAAGATAGCACACCTGGCAACTAATTGCATAATGTCCGCCATTCTTTAAATAAAGTAATTTAGTTAGCCAATAATGAGCACTCAATCAATGTACTAGTATTGGCGGTTAATCCTTTGAAAGAAGAGCGTTGTTTTTACGCAGACACAGACACGACAGAGTATATTCAGTTTATATTAGTAAATCTACATACATAAACACTACCTTTTGACAAATCCGCTGTGTAAGATAAAAGTAATTAATCAATCAGGGTGTTATCGGTTAATCCTTTGATCGATGTTTATAATGTTGAGTATTTACTCCAGACACAAGAAATGCCAAATGGGTACCTTTGTCGGGTAATCTAAGTGGTGTTACCACTAATTATTTCATCGTTCGAACGTAGGAATTAATATATAATGGAAACCGCACACATTCTCCTTATACTATTGCATTTGGTGTCTGTGGACCGACATTTAAAAATATTTATATGCTTGTAAGTGAAATTTTCAATGCTATTTTATCTTTTAACCCTCCAAACTTCTGACCCGTACAAATATATTGGCTGAATTGGACTGTCAAATATTTTTAAAAGGTATTTGTCCTAATTTCCTAAGTTTTTAATTAATTCCATTAAAGCCTTCTTACTACGAGCTGCAACTTCTGAGACCGCTTGTCTAAGACTACAATTCCACGTGAACACAAAAGCTAGATATTTGTAGCTGTTTACCGTTTCAATGTTTCTCCCATTACAAAGCCAGTTTTCCTTAACCGCCAATTTCCCACCTCTCAACTTAAGATTTATCTAAATAAATACATTTAAAAGTGATTGTGTTGCCTCATTGTAATGCTACAATTGTTTCAGAAACGTTGGGATTCTCGTGGACATGGGCTGCGGATGTAGAAAATCCATAAGCGCGTACGTACATGTGATTATAGCTTCGAGGTCACCTGTGCCTACAGGTGAGAGGTTTGGGTGGTCGGGCACCGTGACTTGGACGTCATTGTAACCCGGCGGCGTGAGACGTTGCGCTCGGGGTCTTCCCACTTGTCCGGCACCTATTGTTTAAAGATTCTAGATCAGTGGAGCGCGATAATCCCTGAGAACACAAGGTGAACTTCGTATTTTGCTCCCCTGTCGGTCTGTGATATTTGGTCACCCAAGCAAGTCAGAGAATATTGGGTTACCCAATATTTAATGATGACTTTAAGTACAAAAAGGAAGAAAATCTCACACAGTTACACAAATATTTTACACATTTCATGAGCACTTTTACATGCATACATCTATTGCACACATCATCATTCATTTTTCATATTGCATATTGCAGCCGGCTGGACGAGGGGGGGACCTTTTTTCATAGGGATCAACAAACTTTGCACAACCATTCACCCATAACTCTTAATCCCCTCAGCCTGCAGGACAAGTGGGAATAACCCGTTGCGCTCATCTATCAGGGGTGGATACAGCTATTTGAGAGTGTGTGTGTGTTTGGTTTTTTTTTTTGTTGTTGGTTTTTTTGTTTTGTTGTTGTTGTTTGTTTGGGTTGGGTTTTTTTGCGGGGGGAGAAGAAAGGGGGAGTGCACACTTCATTTTCAATGGCCATTTAAAGGTCACATGCAACGTAAAACACAACTTTGCAGATTCTGATACCTTTCGGTATGGACTTACCGAAACAAATCATCAGAAATGCAAATTCAACTTATAAAGTTGAAAATTAACGCGATGAAAAAAACCGCGCGAAATCGGAGTTCAAACGATTCACTAATTTTCCCCCGACGTTTCGGGGGGAAAACTGGTTTCAACAGCTGGGCTGCGCTCATAGCACGTGCGCAGTGAAATAGGTTCGCGCAACTTGGAAGCGGGCTGTCCGGTGAATACTCGGTGAAGGCTTTGGTGTGAGCTATTTTCCTAATGTTTTGTTGATATCTCACAGGCGCGAGCTTTTTTATATGTTATGACAGTAAATAAACTGTTTATATAATTTCATTTGTCTATTTCACCACACGTTCTTCTTACCGAGTCACTTTCTCAGTTCGATACCTAAAAGCAATGTCATTATTTAGCGTTGACAGAATTTCTAACTGTGATATAGATATGTCGTTGTCACAGACAAAACTCAATGTCTTGTTTTATTGACACCAGTGTGTCTGCCTGCCTGTCTGCTAATGACAATATTCAATACACAGCTGCTATCACTGACCACATGCAATTTGAACTTAACACCAATCAGGCTATACACCATAAACAAAACGCATTGATTTATGGCCCGAGTTCGGTCTCTGTCACATTATGTAATTACACAGACAGGCAGGTGTGATACTTGAACACATGACATGTTATGATGTCTGTTGATTGCAAAATGTTATACACAAAAATTGAGCATGTATTTACAAAACCCAACATCTCTATTTATACACACACAATGAGCCGTGAGGGCATCTGCAAATGAACCAGCCGTTACACTTGAGTGCACACCCACCCGCTCTGACTGGGTTTGGAATCCCGGCTGCTTCGTTTCTTGGGAAGTAAACCCAAGTACACAATATTGCAATTTCGATTTGCGATTGTACGCTTATTATTTTGTTTATATGTTTTTTTCATAACCAGCAACGTATATTATGTCATGAAGAAGTGATAATTGTGTTTTAATTATGTTTGATTTTTTGGTTGCATGTGACCTTTAATAAACTTTCAGGACAAAAAGGTGGGTGGGGGGTGCGCGTCCCTGCTACAGAACCACCCACCCCTCCTGGATCCTGGAACCGCCTATGTCTATATATAACTGGTTCTGAAGACCCGGATTAGAATGAATCTTCAGCACCTCATGCTTGTCGCAAGAGGCGACTAACGGGATTGGGTGGTCAGGTTCACTGACTTGGCTGACACATGTCATCGTATCCTAATTGCATAGATCGATGCTCATGCTGTTGATCACTGGATTGTCTGATCCAGATCGATTATTTACAGACCAACGCCACATACCTGGAATATATTAGTGCATCGGCATTACTTTCGCCATATGGTGAGGAACACTATACATGTTTACGGTGATGAGAAAAAACAAAAGGGATGATTAGAATAAGCTCTTCCTGACTTCTGATTTTTTTTCTCGTTCCCAGGTTACTCGCCGCCATCAACATCTGTTGCGTCTTCCTGGTCCTCATTGCTTTCCCTCGCTTGTTTCCGAGGAAACAAGTTTTGGATACAGCACATACATGTGATATTGTGGCTATGAAATCAAACCAGAAAATACCGGCGTTACCAAGCAATGAAGCGCCCTCCAACAAATGTTCCAAGGTGAGAAACCTCGCCTTCCTGAAAGTACACAAATGTGGCGGCTCAACAATAGCCAATATCTTACAACGCTTTGTCACGAGGAACCAACTTAATGTAGTTCTTCCCAACAAGGACACGTGGTCATATGGTTTCAATCACCTGGGGATTAATCGGAATTTCACAATGAAGTCGGTGATTCCGATTCCTCGGAACGAGACGTATAACGTTATATGCCATCATGTCGAGTACAACAGGACTATGTTCAAAAAGCTTCTACCAGAGGATGCACCATTTTTCGCCATTGTTCGAGACCCGGAAGAAAGGTTTGTTTCCGCTGCGTTCTACTATCAACTTGTGAAGGATCTTAAAAGGAAGGTTAAAGGTTTTAACAGGACAAACTACATATTTACTGAATGGTTAAAAAATCCACGGAAGTATACAAGTGCTATAGAAACTAGTAATCATATGGCGTATGATTTTGGCATTTCGGAGATGTATTTCCATAACAGTAGTTATGTCGACGAGTATATTCGATCACTTGACTCCGATTTCGACTTTGTGTTACTCATGGACTATTTTGACGAATCTCTGATGCTTCTGCGTCGCAAGCTGTGCTGGAGCATGAAGGACATGGTTTACCTCAGAAGTAACAGTGGAAAAAATAAAGTGGATTTCGCTTTGAGTGAGGATGACCGGAAGCTGTTGAGGAAGTGGCAAATGGCGGACGTCGCCATCTTTGAGCATTTCCGTGCCCGGTTCTGGCGTCAGGTGGAGTCGGAGGGGAGGGAGTTGTTCCAGGAAACGGCGTTCTTCAAACAGATCCTGAGGAGGGTCCGCGACTACTGCAAGTACGGGAAGTTGCGATGGCCGTCGGTGGACATTGCGTCCTCGTCCTGGAGTGAGTCCTTCAACGTCACTGTGGAGGACTGTAAACAGATGGAAACTGGGGAGCTTGAGTTTGTTGCCATGCTTCAGAAATCCGCTTGGGCTAAATATAACGCTTCATTGACAAGATCTTAATTGAACTACATAGTACAGCCACAGGCCCTCGTGTCTTTGCGAGGATTAAAGATGTTAATAAAGATATAACATTTGAGCTGACCCCCGACTGGAAATGCTTCACAGTACAATACATTAGGACAAGGCCTTGTCATAATGTATTGTACTGTGTAGCATTTCGAGTCGGGGGTCAGCTCAAAAAAATTTTTTTTTAATCTTTAATCTTCGCAAAGACACGACGACCTGTGAGTACAGCTAGATAATTGATAGTGCAATGTTCAGAGAGGACAAGAATTCAATCCATGATAAATCGTCCCCATCAGTGCTTAGTCTATAGAAATAAGTCTTGTTTGATGTCCGTGTGGATTTGGTGGACGTTGATTTTTGCCGAATGTTTCTACTACAGATTGTCGGCCAATAGTGGGTGTTAGGAAATTTCTACCAAGTTCGGAAATAGCCAAGCTGAGACAGATATGGAAGTACGCTTTCTCTTCGTGTGTTGTTTTGGCCATAACAATGACTCAGCTGTTATTGCCTTTTGTCATTAAAACATGTGATATCATTCACATTGTCATCAGTTACATGTGCAGTAAATATGTTATTTGTTTCTTGAGAGAATATCGATTCAATTCTATCTACCTTAATTAATTGCGTTTGTTACAAAGACCTGGTTGGTCATTTTTGGGGTCGCCTGGTCAAATGTATTGTAATGTTCTGCATATTGATTTTGAGTAAAAAACTCTATCTTGTTCCTCATGTCAGTGAAAATATTATGTCTACTAATAGGCTTTCTGTCAGGTAGTTCTAGAACATTTTTGTTTATAACCGACTCTACATCAACCAGGTCACCCGATCACGTTAGCGTCTCTTACTACAAGCTCATGATGTTGGTCACTGGATTGTCTGATCCAGATTCTGTTATTTACGGACGGCCGCCATATTGCTGAGTGCGGTATTAAACAACAACCAAACCAAACTATATGTAAAGGATTACACTCGTAAATAGTTAGGACATAAAAACTAAACACAATGCACCACAAATTCTATTTCTCTCAGCTTTCTCTGAAAACTGTAAATATTGTCGGCGTTCTGGGACAACACGTGACCAGTCCACACTAACGGTGAATGAGACATGTGTGACTTATAAGAACACGGTCAGTCACGTGGTTCTTGGTCGTGAGATTAACATATGGTATCTGCCAAACTTCGAGTCGTCACATATAAATGTCTTATCTGATAGTCCACAGAGAAATATTAACGTGGGATACTACTTATACCTTCTAGTCTTCCCATCAATACTGGTATTCAGATCGATATGCGCCGCCGCTGTTGGAAATCCATATGCATGTACGTAAAGACTCATTTCTCACACATGATCGATGCAGTTTGGATGAGTGAGTGACGGAGTTAACGTCGCATCTGTGTTTTTTGTAATGAGGTCCATATTCTTACTGATCTTCAGGGAATGCATGAACGTTAAGTCTGTTGATAATACATATCGGCCATGATAAAAATTGCATGTCTCATGGAACTGACGTCATCGGCAGTAGTGGAAAACAGCGCAGCATTCAGTCATCAAGACTGTGTATGGTTTTACACCGCTTTTAGCAATATCACGGTTGGGAATCGAACCCGGGTCTTCGGCGTGACGAGCAAACGCTTTAACCACTAGGCTACCCCACCGCCGCTCATCACTTTGAACACCCTACTGGTCCAATATAGTTCTTATTATCATATACATGTTTACATCTTATCTCCTAGTGCTTGTACTTACACACTAAACAGACGTTTGCTGTCTCTAACACAGCGTGTGTGGAGAAAGCCAAAAACCATTAAAACACCAACTTGACCTAACGTCAGTTGGGGGGCGGTGGGATAGCCGAGTGGTCACAGCGTTCGCTCGTCACGCCAAGGCCCGGGTTCCATTCCCCACATGGAACCAATGCGTGAAGCCCATTTCCGGTGTCCCTGCCCTGATATTGCTAAAAGCGGTGTGAAACCATACTCGTTTACTCACTAATGTCAGTAGTGCTGATTCACTCTTGGTGTAAGGGGGTCGGGTAGCCTAGTGGTTACGGCGTTCGCTCGTCACGCTGAAGACCCGGGTTCGATTCCCCACATGGGTACACAGTGTGAAGCCCATTTCTGGTGTCTCCGCCGTGATATTACTTGTATATTGCTGAAAGCTGCGTAAAATTAAACTCACTCACTCACTATTGATGCACTTATGGCTGAGTTAAGACTTGCACAAGTCTCTAAGGTAAAAATTAATGGTTTAAATGATAATTTCTAAAAAATATAAAATCCCTCTAACAGACTGGTACTGCCCGCTTACCTAGACTTGCATCTCAAAAGGATAGAATTACTATACATCCATGGGCTTTGCCTTTAGTACAGCCTTGGAGCAAGGCTAGACTGAATTGTATATGAACAGTACGTCACTGTGCAGAGTTGCGTCCCTTGGACGTGTTATGACTATAACCTTTCTGTTTTTCTGAAAGTGGTATACGTACCCGTGGTAGACCTGTATCATTTCAGTGATATTCATTCTGCATTCAGCTGACAGTCTGTCTCATAAATCAAATATTGTCCAAATCGTCGATGAACTCTATCCACTTCGTCTTTCTTGTGAAATAATATTTTTCGGTTTCCCTTCTCAGGTTGCTAACTACCGTCGCTTTATCCACCCTTTTCGTCAGCCTTCTGACGTCGCCCCGCTCGTTGCCAGGCAACCGTCTGACACGAGATACAAACGCATGCGGGAAGGTTTCACTGACGACAAAACACAACAACAAATTAACACCCTATAGTGCATCTGAACAATGTTCCAAAGTGAACAACATCGCATTTCTGAAGGTACACAAGTGCGGTAGCACAACAGTAACAAACATCTTACAACGTTTCGCCATCAGGAACCAGCTCAACGTGGTTCTTCCAAACAAGAAGAAAGGCTCATATGGCTTCAATTACCTTGGTTATGGTCGGAATTTTACCATGGAATCAGTTATTCCGATTCCTGGCAATGAGACTTATAACATACTATGCAACCATGTTGTGTATAATAGAACAATGTTCAGGAAATTACTGCCCAAAGGATCATTCTATATAGCCATCGTTCGAGAACCGGAAGAAAGGTTTGTTTCTGCCGCCTTCTATTACGGTCTTGTGCGTAAATTAAAGCGAGTGGTTCCTGGTATCAACTCTACAAAATATATATTTTCACAGTGGTTGAAGAACCCATGGAAGTATGGCGTTAGCATGGAAGTGAATAACCATGTTGCATATGACTTCGGGCTTCCCCGAAGGATATTCTATAACGGAAGTGCGGTCGACGAGTATATTCGATCACTTGACTCCGATTTCGACTTTGTTTTACTCATGGACTATTTTGACGAATCTCTGATGCTTCTGCGTCGCAAGCTGTGCTGGAGCATGAAGGACATGGTTTACCTCAGAAGTAACAGTGGGAAAAATAAAGTGGATTTCGCTTTGAGTGAGGATGACCGGAAGTTGTTGAGGAAGTGGCAAATGGCGGACGTCGCCATCTTTGAGCATTTCCGTGCCCGGTTCTGGCGTCAGGTGGAGTCGGAGGGGAGGGAGTTGTTCCAGGAGACGGCGTTCTTCAAACAGGCACTGAGGAGGGTCCGCGACTACTGCAAGTACGGGAAGTTGCGATGGCCGTCGGTGGACATTGCGTCCTCGCCCTGGAGTGAGTCATTCACGGTGACGTCATTTGACTGTCATCTGATGGAAACCAATGAACTGGTTCTTGTTCTGCGACTTCAACAATCAGCTTGGGGTAGATATAACGCCTCTTTTACAATAACACCGGAACCTCAAAGACACCAATAATGCTAGATGCTTGTTAGAAAATACTCATCACTGGGTATATACATAATTAGCTAGTTACATGTACTTTCCAATGCAATGCCGTTGACTATAAGAACTCAACTCATAGTTTCACTAGTTCACGTGACTATTACACAATAGTTCTGACCCTGAAAGTGTGTGTGTGTGTGTGTGTGTGTGTGAATATCGCTTGGTCATGTCAAATCCTGTATGGTGTTGCGCCAGACTCATAAACTTAGATCTATTCTGTCATCTGTTCCAAATGTTTATCCAACTGAAGCAAGATGCTTTTGAAAGAATCAGTCACAGCAGGTCGTTCAGTGGCTTCAGCCTGTAACTTCTTTAGCCGGTGTTAAACTGAGCTTACATGAGCAGAAATCACAACCTCACTGTCACTTTCCAGATCTGGTAAGCGACGCTCTGATTGGTCGGTTAAACCTATATTCTGACCCGTTGTAGGATAGCTTCAGATCTGTAGTCAGCGGTAACGAGTACAATAGTCATATTTAAAGAGATGATGTTATATCCACTGTATTGTTGGATCGCTCGGTATTTGTTTACATATTGAGTAGCAAAACATTGCTATGTTTAACCCACGGACAGCATGACCTTTTGTCAGCTCTCGCTATTATCACACGCAAGCGTAAATATTCGTCGTGAATAGATACATAAAACGCAGAAAGAAGTTGTTAAAAAAGAAACTAACTGTCAAAGGGCACCAGTTCACCACTAAACTACTCATGTGCCATCTTCGGTGAAGAAATATTGTATGTTTTCAACATCTTCTCCAGAAACAAGCACAACACGCCAATGCCATGAAATTAAATTGTTGCCATGGAAACTCGAATTTGTTTTTTGTTTTGATAATCCTGAACTATCAAAATTAATTCTATCAAAGTTCACCACAATTCCTATCCATGTACCAATTTTGTTAAGGAACTATAGTACGGTTTTCAAGAGATGTTCCGGAAACGACATTTTGCACGGATGGACGAGAATGTCAACGTGGACACGGTTCAACCATCATGGAAGATTAAGGTCGGTAAACCCATCCTTGATGATGATGTCACTCCTTAACTAGCCTGGGAGTCAAAAGATGACTGAAACACACAGGGAAACAATGTGCAAAGATAAGGAAAACACACCGGATGGGGAGAAAGGTAGACCTGTTGCTCCTTCCAACAAGGATAATGTCACTGGCTACTTACACAGCTCATGCCGCGACTGACGCAATGATATACCGATCATTACATAATATAACAAGAATACGTCACACTTTCAAAAGTTTGTGAAAAACATACTGTTTCTGTCTGTTGTTTAACTTCACACTCAGTGTTCTTTCTGTATGACAACCGTGTGTAAATAATCGGCTATTGATCATGAGCATCTATTTACGCAAATGGGAAAGAATGAAAGCATCAACCAAATCAGAGGCCCCGTTAGTCGCCGTTAGTATTTACATACCGCCGCCATATATACTAGGCACATAAAGAAACTGCATACAAAAATTTAAAATCTAAATTTATCAAACCTGTGTAGACACATAAGGATTTAAACTCAGAGATTAGTGACATGGATCCAACATGCATGCACGTGCCACGTTCCGTGACGTCAGTGGGTTCGTCCTTGAGACGTGCAATACGTTGTTGCACATGCATTCCGGGAAAGAGAAACAGAGCAAATGAATGCCACACAATACTGTCACTTTGGAAAGCTCAACCCCTGCCCTTGCGATCGTTCAAAAAAATGAAACGGCTATTGAAACGCATAGCATGCCAAGGCTCACGTCTGCACAACGTCATGAGGCCATTGGGATGGTCCGTGGGGGAATGTCTTAACGACAAATGGCTGCACATTTCCACTGCCACCGGAACACCATCTTCGCCACAGGTTTCAGACTGCAGTGATGACTACCCGAACCTTCCCAGGACTTCGCCGTATCCAACCCAACACAGTTCGACAACGTTTACGTCATCACGGGATCAGACCACGACGTCCCGCCATACGGCCTATCCTGACACAACGTCATCGACAAGCTCGCCGAATGTGGTGCCGAAATCATGTCCACAGACACCACAACGTTGACTTACTGCCTTGGCCTGCAAATTCACCGGTATCTCTCCCCGATAGAGCATGTTTGGGACGAGATGGATCGACGTCTACGCCGTCTTCCTCATCCGCCAGATAACGTCCTTGACCTTGCAACAGAACTTGGGAGAATCTGGTGTGACATCCCACAAGCCTTCCTTGCACGTTTGATAGGCTCTATGCGTCGTCGATGCACTGCTGTTCTCAATGCCGATGGTGGACATACCCGTTATTGAGCTTGTGACATGTGGACTCGTGGACTCGCTTGTGGACTCGTGCCGTCATTGTGATTGACTTTTCAATTGAAATTCTCCCGACTTGTTATGGTCTCATGATCCCTCCATTAAAGTTTATATGTACCTTTGACATTGTTATCGTACCTATTAAGTGGGATAATATTTTGACAATGCACAGTTTCTTTATGTGGCTAGTATAGCTTGAATATTGCTGAGTGCGGCGTTAAACAACAAACTAACCAACCAAAACTCAGTACTAGCTGGAAAAATGGATAATAGTATTAAAAGTGTTATTCAGAATATCCTCGTAATAAAAATAATGTATTACACAGAGGTACAGATAGGCCGCGTATCTGCGTAAATTACGCAAACATTTATGTGAAAACTCAATTCCATTGCGTACAAGTACGCTTCATTTTTTGTAAATACTCAATAGATTTGATGTTACATGCGTACAAACAAAATAGATAAAATAACTGAGGTATATTGAGAGTTTCTATTTCAGCACCTGGACTTGGCAACTTGCAGTCTTTCTTATCGTTTCTCATATAACAGATCAAATATAAATAACAAACACGTAAACCAACATTTAAACTTTGATATATTTTTACAATTAATGGAAAATGGCAAAATACCCAATTGCGTTTGAGTGAGGTGGGTAAAATATATTTGGTTACTCAAAGGAAAATTAGGATACCCAATTAAGATGAACACAAGCGAGTACATACTCAATGACCCAATCTGTAAGATGATCCACTGAAATAAATTCAGTCCATATAAGTATAGTTTGAGTCAGCAAAATCTTCTTTAATGAATGACCGTAATCCTGCTCTTTTCAGGTCATTCAGATTATCACATTGTGTAGTAGTAGCTGTTATGGTGCCTCAAAATGCCCATAGGGTTGTACGAGTTTCCTTTTCCATCTGTCAAACTCTGCCTAATATCCATCTAGTGTGGGCTACAGTTCTAGCAGATCAGATCTAATGCTTTTCACTTATCACATATTGCTTTAGAAAGTCCCTTTGTCTTTCCTCTCAAAATCTATTAAACAGCGTCTCTCCTTTCAATAGTATCGACACAGTTAACACTAATTGATAACCAAAGACAAGTCCATAAATCTTTAAGGTATCATCTTTGGTCACATGAAGTTAATAATTTACATCATGTTGTTATGGAACATCCGCAAAAGGCTTAGCCCAATACATACTTAGAAATGTTAACCTAATTATGATTTAAAAGTTTTAATAATGTTGCACGTCATAAATGACAAAATTTAGTTTTCAGTGCTACTTCAGTAGATGAGTGTGTATAGCCTAAAGAACATGCATGGTCTTGTGGACCCTAGGACGACGTTGCTACCATCTCATAATTATGTATGATGTTTGTTATTGTTCACTGTGCCTAGCAGGTATGACGCCACCATAGTGACTATGTTAGATGCCACCACAGTACCTGGAAACACTGGGGCTTGTGACGCTTAAAGCTGGCATCAAGGTATATAGTGTTAAGACCCCGTCAGTGACAGTATATACAGTATACCTTGATGCCAGTATCTTCTCGAGACATTCAAAGTTCCTTTTATATGATAAAAATGTTCGTTTAGTCACTCCTCTTCTGGAAAATGAAGTTTCTGATGTAATTCTTGTGATTTGAAAATATTGAAATAAATTGTAAAAGGCCTCAAGAGCACTGGAACAGTGCTAGGGATCAGTTAGGGAGTGAAACGGTAAGCAAAGATCAAATTATGATAAGGTGAAAACAGAAAAGGTTGTCTTGAAGGGTCTTCGGCGTGGCAAGCGAACTCTTTAACCACTAGGCTACACCTCAGCCCCAGATTGCTCTTCTTACCCAAAGGAATAAACATCTTAACACTGTTGTGGCGTCGGGGGAAAAAAACATCGGGGCCTTAAATAGTAACCCCTGACTCAAACACTCACTTTAAGTTCACAGAACGTTCATATTATTCCATTTTCAGCATCAACCGGGACTAGCTTTTAAAGATCCCGTTTCAAAGGATGGTTGGCTGGTTGTTTAAGGCCACACTGGGCACTATTCCAGCTATATGGAATGGCAATAAATAAATAAGATGACTGGGCCTCCTGGCTTTGTCCAGTGAATTTGCAAGCCAAACATTCCTTGGGCACGAAACCTATATGCCCATTGGAATTTTCCGAATCCATTGAACTTTTCATCTTGCATACTTTTTGTATAAAAGCCCTTCAGACGCTTGATTGTTCTTTGAGTTATGGCATTTAAGTTTAATTTCAAGTCATGTTTTTCTTGGACTTTTTCCTACTTCTTTGCATGCATATGAATAGCCTCACGCATGCTTGATAGATTTTACAAAACAAAAAAAACTAAACATGTCCACTGTAAAGACAGGCACGTGACTTTTAACAGAGGTGGCGATAGCCAACTCGTTTTAACAGCAAGCCAGACCCAGAGTTCGCCTGCTTCTGTTTCTCTAACTTTCACCATAATTTGGTCTGGAAAGGTGGAATCTTTATGTAGATCAGTTGCCACTAAATACCGGAACTCTGGAGATATATGGTGAGCAACAGTTTTGGTGCACTTTTCTCGGTATTTCTAAAATGTTCTGTTTGACAAAAACGTCTTTCAAGAAGTACACATCTTATCAACACATAGCACATCTTTGATTTTCTTTCTGGCATATTTTTTGTCTGCTCCTTTTAAGAGCATATCTTTCAAGTCATCTTCTATTTTGTGGTGTCGCTGCATGTGACGTTTTCATTTTCCATCCATCACAATCTTCTAGTTTTTCAGTAAATGCAGAATCTGTGAGGTTTCTGTGAATGAAAATCGTATAAACATTGTACTGTAAAAAGTACAATAGCAGTGCATGTTGGATAAGATCCAAAAGACAAATAGTTTGGAACGTGGGGTTCATTCTCCACCCAGCTACACATGCAAATATAATCACACTGAGTTTGGTTTTACGCCGCTTTTTAACATCACGACTGGGGACACCAGAAATGGGCTTCACACATTGTACCCATGTGGGGATTCGAACCCGGGTCTTCCGTGTGACGAGCCAATGCTTTAACCACTAGGCTACCCACCGCTCCAAATATGATCACAAATATGAGGACTATATCCAGCTTAAAACAAAGTCCAATTCAAACTACATGGTCAACTATATAATGTCTACTTGATACGCATATGCACATGAACTGGGGGACTGTTTTCAGTTGAAAGGAGTCATGAGAGCTGTCTATGTGATCAGGTGCATTCAAAATTACAGTTATATTGTCTCTGTTTTTCTGCATATGACTACCAAAACTAATTTTAAAATCTGCATTTTTGTTACATCAAATAATATTATCAATATATCTAATAATTCTAAAGTGTTGCTTTGTCCGTTTTACAAAGGAATCGTGCCACCTACTGACATTGCATATCAAATTTCACGTGTTTCACGTGCAATATTATCATACTATTGTTGTAATTGTAGTACTGTAGCATACAATGTGGCATTAAATTTATTCAAGTAAAGTTTTCAAAATATTTCAGTTCCACATTTCATGTAACTTCGGTGTCTGTTAAATGAAAATAATAATAACAAAAAATGGAAGTTTCTAAATTCCATTGCCAAATGTCCTAACAGTTTGGTACAATTGCATTTAAACTAATTTTCAGTAACTTTACTACATATAACTGACAAAAGTACAGTTTGGACAATCAACATGCATGGTGCAATAAACAATACTTTTGCCCTGAATTATTATAATTAAAGTATGAGGATATGCTGATCTTTTAACCAGGCAACTTAACATTCAGAGCACAATACTATTAATCTTTGCATCATCTTGGAACCTACTTCAGTGCCTGGGATAATCTATCATTACATACTATGTTTTAAGCAGTTTTACATCCTCCAGTATCACTGTCTTCCTCCTGAATGAACAAATCATTAAAATATTCAAATTGTAAGCTTGACATGAACATATAGTAGTAGTAGTAGCATGAACATAGACCTTGTGTCAGGGATTTCCCTTGGTACAATGAACTGCAGGGTTAAAAGTAGTAGTAGTAGTAGTAGTAGTAGTAGCAGTAGCAGTAGCAGTAGCATGAACATAGACCTTGTGTCATGAATTCCCCTTGGTACAATGAACTGCAGGGTTAAAGTAGTAGTTGTAGTAGTAGTAGTAGTAGTAGTAGTAGTCATGAATTCCCTTGGTACAAGAACTGCAGGGTTAAAGTAGTAGTTGTAGTAGTATGAACATAGACCTTGTGTCATGAATTCCCCTTGGTACAATGAACTGCAGGGTTAAAGTAGTAGTTGTAGTAGTAGTAGTAGTAGTAGTAGTAGTAGCATGAACATAGACCTTGTGTCAGGAATTCCCCTTGGTACAATGAACTGCAGGGTTAAAGTAGTAGTTGTAGTAGTAGTAGTAGTAGTAGCATGAACATAGACCTTGTGTCATGAATTCCCCTTGGTACAATGAACTGCAGGGTTAAAGTAGTAGTTGTAGTAGTAGTAGTAGCATGAACATGTAGTCATAGAATTCCCTTAGTGAACTACGCAGGGTTAGTAGTTGTAGTAGTAGCAGTAGCATGAACATAGACCTTGTGTCATGAATTCCCTTGGTACAATGAACTGCAGGGTTATAGTAGTAGTAGTAGTAGTAGTAGTAGTAGTAGTAGTTGTAGTAGTAGCAGTAGCAGTAGCATAAAAATAGACCTTGTGTCATGAATTCCCCTTGGTACAATGAACTGCAGGGTTAAAGTAGTAGTAGTAGTAGTAGTAGTAGTAGTAGCATGAACATAGACCTTGTGTCATGGATTCCCTTTGTACAAGTAGTAGATAAACAGCAGTAATAAGGAGACATAGAAAGTTCCAGTAATACATGTCGCAGAGTCTTTCGTCTTGTGTGATTATTGTACTTGACAACTTGTACTAGAACATGGTTCTCTTAATGAATATGATTTTACAGAAAATTCGCGCTGACCAGTTTCAACATGGCAACCTGACTTCAACTGTCTGTAAGAACAGATTAACTTAGTCATATTGCGCCCATGTATGCAAGTCTGTACTAATGATTATGGTAAATATACCTTATGAACAAATCGTAAAACCATCACTTGACTTAGAAACACTTCAACCAACCAGAGGGCTTGCTTCGACCACACACCCGTTTTGTGCGGCTATATCGTCATCCATTTGTGTCAAGATCGTTTAGTTAAGAGTCAAAATCGGGTTTCAATCGACTTGCAGAAATAACAATAAAAATTGGTAGGTGTCATGAGCGGTGCTCGATAGGCCAATCATCCATGATTATGTTTACATTAAGTTTTAAACGATTGCATGCGATGGTAGCGTAGCGATCGGCAAAGCAGGTGGGTGGGGTACACCGAAGTGTCCGGCCTTGTCATTATGTATTGTACTGTGAAGCATTTCGAGTCGGGGGTCATCTCAAATTTTTATATATTTTTAAAAAATCTTTAATCCTCGCAAAGACACGAGGGCCTGTGGATGGTGACTATTGATTAAAATTGCAAAACTCACCGTTCTCCGAAATATTACCGCCTGGAACCACGGCAACACCTGGCGTCCTCTTCGGCTGCTTAGGATCCTTCCCCGCCCTCACAGGCCGGTGATTAATTGCAACCTTCCTCTTTCTAGGCATGACGAAATCGATAAAGAAAGTACAGATATTTTACTGATTTGTGTGTACAGCACGATGATATCGGTGCGAATGACATTCAGAAAGTGACGTAATCGGCGCGCGAATAATACATGACGTCATTTGTAAGTGACGTAATTATGGCGGGAGATAGCAGAATGGTTTTGAGTGACCACATTTAGAGCCAATCACTAGTGTAATCCGCGAGTGTCAAAGACATTTAGTGTCAATCACTGAATGTAATTATATGGCACAGTGGATGTTTCATTGATTTCATTACTATATTGGGGTGATAACCATGAATCAAAATTGTTTGGCTTGACTGATTACCCGTTAAGATCCATGTTAGAATTGGTCTTCAGCAACCCATGCTTGTAGTATGAGGCGACTAACAGGATCGGGTGGTCAGGATCTTGGTTGACACATGTCATCGTATCCCAACTGCGTAGATCGATGCTCATGATGTTGATCACTGGATTGTCTGGTCCAAACTCGATTATTTACAGACCGCCGCCATATAGTTTTAATACTGCTGTGTGCCGCGTAAAACAACACATTTAAACAAAAACACGTTTGCGGATGACAAGACTTTTGCTCTCTGCAGATAAGTTAAGCTTCTCATTATAGCACAGTGGCAGCATAGTGGCAGCGGCTGTGGTGAGCCAGAGCACCTAGCTAGCCTTAAATCCTAGACCTTGCCATATATACTCTTTAAAAAAAGTAGGGGAAAATGAACTAGGAAGTATGAGCGTTAACAAACTTTTCAAAGACTGACATTTTATGAACGCACGACCATTTCTCTTTATGACCACCCCTAAACACAACGCATGGATGCACGTGCACAACGCAGTAACCCCATACACGTGCATGGGATGTCATTCTTGATTTTGGCGGTTTTCAAGAAGTTCAATAAATCACTGTAGCCCATTAAGTTTGACAATTTTCTTGCCCCGCACAGTTGTAAGTGTTTGTTTCTAGATGTGTTTGTTGTTGTTTTGTAAAATGAAAATCGTACACATGCAAATTTCACGTCATACACCAATCATCTTTGAAGAGCGATTACTGTACAAACAACTATGGTCATAAGGAAGTGCACGTGGTGATGCACTCTCGAAACATTCATTATTATCATATCATCATTGATTGACTCCGATATATCTCCCAATTTTTTCAATCGTAAATTAAAATGATGTTCCCCTACTTTTTTAAAGTGCATATTTGAATGCAAACGTTTTAGCGAAACTTATGCCTCATGTCATCCATCGCGCTTGTGTGGTGATTGTTAGGATTTTATCATTGAGGACAAGGGGGGAAGGCAACTCAAATCCACCACCACAACACAGAAACGTCTGTCAACATGCTGCAAACCTGCCTGCCTGAGTTTGGTTTTACGCCGCTTTTAGCAATATTCCAGCTACATCACGGCGGGGACACCAGAAATGGGCTTTACACATTGTACCCATGTGGGGATTCGAACCCGGGTCTTCGGCGTGACGAGCCAACGCTTTAACCACCAGACTACCCCACCGCTGCAAACCACACGATGTATCACACAAACAAGAAACAATAAGTCCCTATATTCTGCCCTCCTTTACGCCATCTTTTTCTGTAGACTACACATGTATTTCGGTTTTGATACCTTATCGACGTTCAGTATTATACATATTCATTCGTTCAAAACTGATACGCGTGTTGGTATTGTTTGTGCGTGTGTGTCCACTTGCCGGTAAGCTGCATTCGCATTAAGTATGACAGTTAAGACAATAAGCGGATAATGGAATGTGTTTTGTATGTATTAGATGGGTCCTGGGCCTTTTGCACTATAAGTTCTAGGTATAGTGTTTACAAGTAATTTTCTGGCGTTTCTCATATATAGTCAGTAGTATTCTAGATCATATTACTGTTCAAATAAATTCTACTTCAAGTTACTTACGTTCGACAATTCTCAATGTGTCTTTTATGGGACTATTATAACTTGTATTCTCTTAAAATTAATATTTGTATTATATTTATAAATATATCTTCAAAACTGCAGACATGAATTTCCCTGAAGGATGTTCACACTGACATCAGTGTCGAAATAGCCACTGACCCGCTAGCCCGTGGCTAGTAAAAATCCAGTCGGGCCAGAAAACCTCCACAGTCACTGGCCCGACTGGCTAGTGAATTTTCATTTGGTAATTTTGTAAATATATCGCTCTCTCCGACTTGTTAAGCTATAATACACATTTAAATCATGCAATATTATCGCCGGATAAAAATGCTCATCATATTAGCAGCTTATGATGAAACCCGTGTCATGCCGACAATATCTTATTCTCATCTATTTTTTTAATCTTTTGCTTAGTTTCTAGTGGACTACATTCAAATTTTGGCCTAGTGAATTATTTTGTGGGCTAGTAACTTTCAGGCATAGCTAGCCCGACAGGCTAGCAAAATTTGGAAACTATTTGGCACACTGACTGACATACCACTTAAAATCACATTGAGATCCGAATGAACAAGCACCTGTCATTAATACATTTCACGGTTATTTTCACCGCAATGATTACTCCCTTCCTCTTTTCCAGGAGAGCTCCTAACTCCCGAGTCGCCCGGATGTACGCTACAAGATGGCTCAGTTTTCAAAACTTAACTAAACGTTTTTGTTGAAAAAATCGAGGTACATTTTGAATATTAGTGTGTGTGAACAGACAACATAAAGCATAATGGCAGCTCGAGATCTGTCTAAAACTTTTGAGGAGTTCGAATCGGAGGACATCAGCTATGAGACGTCAGTTCCAACTGATTTGACTATGTCCCCAGACCATAGCGATGGGGAGGGGTTAACGAAGAAAAGACATATCACAAAACAGTTGATTGAACGAAAGCAGCTTGTACACGACATACAAGTGATGAAAATTGAATTGTCACAGAAAAATCTGACAATAGAAAACATGAAAGCTGAAAGTTTATCACGGGTTGAGGAGTTGGAAGAGAAACTAAACGATGCTCTTCATCAAAAACAAATTCTGACAGCAAGGCTAGAATCTCAGCTGCAAATACAGGAGACAGAATCGAAGAGGCGCCAGGATCTTGTCAAGCAAGAACTGGAGGCAGTTCGGCGGAGACAGCAACAATTGGAAGGTACCAATGAAAGACTCCATGAAAAGGCTGGTGACGTGCGGCGAACACTGAAAGACTTGTCACTGTCTGAAGAGAAATATTTTCATCTGAAAACACTGACTGAGGAAGATCTGTCCCTGAGAGATTATGTCGCTGTAAGAACCGTTCTGATCATTCTTTTAATTATACTCATCTCTAGTTAAGCTGCATGAGTGAACAGCTATTATCATGATTATACCAAAGTGAGGTTTTATGGTTGTTAATGGCACAGATACATGTGCATGTATCTTGTCAGTACTCACATAAAGTTACAACCATCACATTGTTCACATCTGTCCAGCTTCAATTATTCAGTTTATATGTCGTCATTGTGATAAATACCATGTGCATATTAATCCCCAACACAGTCATAATGGTCAAACCATGTCAAATAATATATTTGTTACTGTTTTCATAAATTTATTAAACAAAACATCAAATGCTGACTTGATATTGTATTCATGAAGAGAACTTTGTATTCATTACCCTTTAGTTAAGATACATGTTGCATTCAACTCATAGTGTATTTGTTGCAGCCCTAGTAGAAACGTCCTGTATACTACTGCTGCATGATAACTCATGTTGCACCAGTGTATGGTTTCATCCCTACTCTTTACGGACCAGAAGACATGGTGGAGTTTTGCTAAAGATACTAAATATTACAGACATTTGGAGCATCTATGTATTTATGTGTCTTGCTTAGCTATTGAATCCCCATTTTTGCATCAGCTTCCGAAAGGCATCTACCATGAAGCTTTGTTTCAATTATAAATGTTTTTCTTTTCAGATGCGTCTGTTTGAAGCAGTGAAACCACTACAGACTGAAGTTGACCAGTTACGTATGAGCAAGCAGACCCTGGAGGAAGAGACACAGACATCAGCTAAGGACATTCTTCAATTACAGAAGGTAGGTTTGCTCCTTGATTATGATCCATGGAAAAATAAACTCTGGAATATTTGGATATACATCATTGCGCTTATAGCTGTTAGTGTCTTCACCTGCAGTGTTTGTTTGTGATCATGTATGGTATTCAGTCACGGTATTAGGAACATTGTATGAAATAGATTCATCATACTTTGATTGTTTTTCTACCAAATGATGTGGTAAGAGCACATGAAGCAATTATCAGGGTGTCTATCATGTATCTAATGAACTCTTTTAGTAATTTCGTCTGTATTATAATGAATAAACTTGATCGTGTTTGCAGGAACTCGACGAAGAAAGACAAGGCCATGGCGAACTTCGTGTTGAGTTCCAGAAAATGGCTTTCAGCTATGCAGATGTTAAAGATAAAGTTAAACATGACAATTATAGAGTTGAAAACTATGACAGAATTAAAGGGTAAGATTTCATCATATTGCAATTTGAGGACCCTGTGGGTTCTTGGTTAAAAATGGATTGGAATGTACAGCTTTCGCTAATAGTAATCAGCGACTTCAATAGTTGGGTGGTCTGGTTTGGTCATTTGGTTGAAGGTATATCAGCATACCCCTGGGACATAGATTATTGCTCATAATATCAATCATTGAATTTTCTGGTAGAGTAACATTGGCAGAGTAATGTATGTGAATACTAAATCAGTTCATGTAAATGTTGCCTGTATATTACCTTGTGAGGTGTTAAAAGTTAAGTGCCATAAGGGAGATGTTTGCTGTTTCAGGTTAGTCTTCATCTATGACCCCTGATATGTTTCACTTTAACATTAGGTTATCATGATTGTAACAAGGACCCTGCAACCTTGATCCTTTATCCTGACCACTGCTTGTCTTGGATAAAAATGACTATGGTTCTTTAACCATGTTGGCCTAAACATTTGAAAATTGGGTGTACAGGCCTATTTTGGAATATCGATGTACAAATAGATGAGCTATGATCATAATAATGGTTAATATTTTCAAGTGGAATGGGTTTGCTTCCAGTGAGAGAGATAATCTGGAGCATGACAGTCTGGATGTGCACCGACAGCTGTCAGTGTTGGAAGCAGCTCACTCTAATCTGCAGAAGGAACGGGATGATCTCAGCAGAGAGGTGTGTGACTACCATTGAATATCAGCTTGAGAAGTATTTTCATATCAACAGGGGTTGTGGGGTAGCCTCGTGGTTAAAGCATCCGCTCGTCATGCTGAAGATCCAGGTTCATTTCCCCACATGGGTACAATCACTAAAATGTGTGAAGCCCATTTCTGGTGTCCCCTGCCATGATATTGCTGGAATATTGCTAAAACTACATTCACTCACTCATAAGAGTCATATCAACGCTGACATTTTTGGATACAGAAATTGAAAAATATTATTGAGCATCCCTTGGTGTCAAATACCTGATGATTGACATGATTTTCTTGCTATCTTAAGCCCTGTCTTTGTCTTGGAAGTAATTTTAATGGCAGAAAATAGGTGATTAGGTGATGCAGATATGTTGGATGTTTTTGTCTGACACTGCTGGGTCAGGGTGTCTGATAGGTTGAGGACACCACCATTAACTATGCAGGGTTGTATCCCGTTATCCAAGGATAATGGCACAGTATCGTTGAAGGTTGAGTCCTCCTAATGTTGCCCTCTGATTTGTCCTCAACTTACCCATGCTTGTTGGCTTCCCAGAGCATAATGTGTTGTATCATCTTCGTCATAGCTGTCCTCCACCAAGCAGTCCCTGGCATTGCTGAAGCAGGATAAGGACTACCTCACCCGCCAAGTATCTGAAGTTTCCAACAAGAGTTCCTTCTCTGAGGAAAAGATACAGCAGATTGGCAGGCAGCTAGAGGATGCCAAACGAGCAAGGGAGGAGATGTATGAGAAATATGTAGCCTCAAGGTAAGCACAAATTATCTGTAGAAAAGTTTTTCTGACTTATTAGTGGAACAGTCTTATCAGCTTGGACCTCAGGTTATCTCCCTTTTTAGTGCAAAATACTGTAAACTACAGTCCGTTTGTGACAAAATGATACCGATGAATTGCAATTGAACACAAAAACAAATATCAAACCAACACGGACTGCAATAAAAACAACAGACCAACTCTAGAACAAAATTGCATAATTTTTGTCACAAAAATAAAAAAGTTGTTTAAGAAACTGTCATTTATTTGTGCGTTTTCCAAGTTTGTTACAAGGGCACATTGGCAACTAAAGGAACAGAGCGAAAAGCGATATGCATGTGCATTAGTGACGTCACAGACATGTGATTACTTTTGATTGACAAAGTGAGAGAAAATGAAAGTCTATAAATTACAGTCTATGATTTCTTCAAGGATGAAAATGACAAGGGGTGACCCAAGTATGCAATTACTAAGTACATACAGCGCACTGCCTGTACAGCTGGAGCACGTGTCATCTCGCCAGCTCAAAAATTTGTTGAGCACCCGTTAACGCACATGCATCTCGCTTCTCGCACTGTTCCTTTAGTTGCCAATGCGCCCTTGTAACAAACTTGGAAAACGGACAAATACATGATGGCAGTTTCTTAAACAATTTTTCTATTTTTGTGACAAAAAATTATGCAATTTTTTTCTAGAGTTGGTCTTTTGTTTTTATTGCAGTCCGTGTTGGTTTGATTCTTTTATGTCTATTTGTTTTTGTGTTTGATTGCAATTCATCGGTATCAGTTTGTCTCAAACGGACTGTACAGTTATAACAAACTCAAATAACTGCAGTTTGTTATACATATTTCAAATAAAGTATATAGCAAGTGATGGAAACAACCACACAACAGTTTGTTCTTTAGAAACATGTTTGTAATAAATTTAGATTACTGTAGATTAAATAGTACCGATAATTAGAAAGTTGTCTGGTGAAGGGCTGTTGTCACCTAGCAGATGCTTTTGTAATGTTACTCTTAGGTTTCAAAACAGACAAGTGCTCATGTGATTATTTTGTTTGGAGTCAGGGCTGTTCTCTACTTCACATTAGATTTGTCCATAACTGTAGATTGTGTAGATTGGTGTTTTTCTCATCTATCAAATTTCAGAAGTACAAAGTTTCACAATTCTTTGTCCTTCTTAATAAATATGTTAGTGTTACTATTCTGCCTTTCATAAAACAGAAACTAAATCTGCTTGCATAAGTTTAATAAATGTTCACTGGAAACAGCCTTTATGAGACATGAGGTGTCATATAACTGGAACATCACTGTGCAATGTTAAACTAAAATTGTGAGGATTAAGTATTAATATATAAGACAGCTTTGACACCTCTTCTTGTTTGTGTAACAGAGACCAGTACAAGTCTGAGTACGAGGCAAAGTTGAGGGATGAGTTGGAGCAGATCCGTGTACGCACCAATGCCGAGATTGATCGTCTTCGAACTTCCACCAAAGAGATGTACGAGCGGGAAAACAGGTTAGTCACAAATATTTTTTCACTTTATCTTCTTAGCAGATGTGTTGTGACTTTATGAATATTAGTACAACAGCTAATGCATAAATAGACTTATCACAATTTCCCTGAAATATAGTCAACGATGATGTTAAATTTTAGTTCATTCACTCTTGCAACATGTACAATGAAACTGCTTAAGTGTCACTGATTCTGCCTATTGGGATTGTGAAGGGCTGACGGTGACAACATCTTGTAAGGGATGATTCATATCTATCTGAATTATTTTTCTAAGGAACCTGCGAGAGGCTCGTGACATGGCGATATCGGAGCGGGAGAAATGTCAAGCTGGAGAGAGGGAGATGAATACTAAATATGAACAACTGCTTAATGAGTGAGTAACACGTGATACCCTAGACCTACTGTGAAGTAATATGTTCAACATACTTACAGTTGAGATCTGAAATGCAATGATGCCTTTGAATTTGGAAAGTAATCATTTAGTTTTAACCCTGCATGCTTTTAACCCTGCTTAAGATCTGCAAAGATTGTGAAATTATATAGGTCGATATTATCGTTAACAAATAATATAGTTCATGCGAAATGATACAATGTTGTTCTCTTACTGGTCACCAGAAAAAAGGTTTGACGAAAGTGTTACCCATAGGTATGCCGACCCCCTTCTACAGGCTGTTTGTGTTTTTATCTTCAAATACTGGCTTATCGACTGTAATATATGGTAGTTGTCTCAGGAAAGGGTTGACCATGTTACTGCTGCAGCTGATGCTTTATATCATTCCAATGACTATGTTCTGATGTGAAACAGGTACCGCAAGATGCAAACGTGTGGTGACACCCGTGTTAGTGATATTCAGAATGATTTGAAGTTGAAGACATTTGAAGCAGAGCGGACGCAGATGGTCCATGAGGAGACTGTGAAGAATCTGCGTCAGAGTGAGATGGAGGTGGAAAAACTGCAGAAGAAAGCAGAGGTGAGACATACCTTTGGGACAATGTAAATGACTAAATCCAAGGAATTTTGTTACAGATTTTATCTAAATCCAAGATGAATCACATTCAGGTTTTGTACAGTAGCTTATACTGTTGCTGACTCTAGTAGTTGTTAAAGGATGCAGCAGAGGACTGCACTTGGTATATCTTAGGTAAGTTATGTGATCTGATATGAATGTTAAAAGATTACTCTCTCTCTCTCTCTCTCTCCCCCCACACACACACGCCCCATACACACAATTTGAGGGGGATATAGGTTTCAGCGCTGTCCATCCTTCTGTCCATCTGAGAAGATGGGCACACATTTTGAAAACGGAAACCAATGTTACAATTTGTTGTAGAGTTATGGCCCTTGTCCTACATTTCTTGACTTAATGCATGGTATCCCCAATGGGGACAGATTTTCTAAAAAAAAGTTACAGATTGGGAAACCAAATGTGGTATGTGTTTTCAGGACACAAATGTCTCTCAAGTTCAGGGACTTTTGTCCATGTCCTGAAACACATCTGCTTCACATCACCTTAACATTTTTTATCGAAGCATTTACAATGGCCCTTGTCATGCGTTTCCTGACTTATCTCCAATGGAAACCAATTTCTCATTTTACAGCTTATGTATCGCTATTTGTAGGAAGAATGAATAGTTGTCAAAATCAAAATAGGAACAGAATGCTGGCGGGGGATATTGATGACCATGTCTACTTGTTTGTTCCTAAATTTAGAGTGAGCCTGTGTCAGTGCTATGTTTCAGTGCTTGCTGCTTGGCTTGGAGCACATGATACACTGTCAAAATATTGAAAATTTGTACACCTTTCCTTTAACTATAAGACCCGTGAAGATCCGGGGTAGAATAGGTCTTCAGCAACCCATGTGCTTGCCATAAAAAGCGACTATCTTGTCGTAAGAGGCGACTAACGGGATCGGGTGGTCAGTTTTGCTGACTTGGTTGACACATGTCATCGGTTCCCAATTAGCAGATGTAACATATGGATCGACGCTCATGCTGTTGATCACTGGATTGTCTGGTCCAGACTCGACATTTATAACCTGTCAGGCCATTTATAGCGCCATATAGCTGGAATATTGCTGAGTGAGTTTAGTTAATACGCCGCGCACTCAGCATGTGATTTGGGATTAAGTATGGCGCATCGCATGTGATCTTCACAGGTGGCAAATATGGTGTCTTAAAAGGTGACTAAATGGTTTGGGTGGTCAGACCTGGTGACAAGGATGAATCCTTATCAGGGTACCGTGATGTTACATAGGTCAGTCACTGTTTGTTCCCCTTGTGGGTTGCAGGATAGAATTTGATCCACAGCATCCTATGCTGGTGTTTAGAGGAGACAAGATGGATCAGTTGATCAGTGTTGGTGACATGGTCGACTGGGTCACTGAACAGTGCCGATTTTCAGGCTATGGTCATATAGTATAGCTGGATAATTGCTGAATGTAGTTTAACAATCAAGCAAGCAAACGCTGGTTTGTTGTGAAAAGTAAGTAAGAATTTATGAACAAACACTACATGTGTGTTACGCAGGTTTTGATCAAGGAGTACCACACCCTGGAGATGACAATGGAGAAGAGGGTGTCAGAGCTGGAGACTGGCATGTCTCAGAGGGCCATGAAGCTGGAGACTTATGAGAGGATGGAAAAGGAACTGGACGATGTTGTCATGCAGGCTGCTGAGGGTGAGTGAAAGTGCTTATGTACGCTTAGTGTATCCTGACCCGTGAAGATCCAGGGTAGAATAGGTCTTCAGCAACCCATGCTTGCCACAAAAGGCGACTATGCCTGTCGTAAGAGGCGATTAAGAGGGATCGGGTGGTCAGGCTCGCTGACTTGGTTGACACGTCATCGGTTCCCAATTGCACAGATTGATGTTCATGCTGTTGATCACTGGATTGTCTGGTCCAGACTCGATTATTTACAGACCGCCGCCATATAGCTGGAATATTGCTGAGTGGGGCGTAAAACTAAACTCACTCACTTACTCACTCAGTATATCCAGCTAAGCTCGGTTTCCCCAACACTCACCACACAACAATACATTGACATGATCAGCTGTTGTTTGTCATATTCCAGTTGATAATGAAGAGGATGCAGAGCGTGTGTTGTTCTCCTATGGATACGGAGCTAATGTTCCCAGTACATCCAAGAGAAGGCTGCAGCAGAGGTAGGCTGTTTCTCCTATACTTACTCCAAAAATATCAGATGGTCTCAATATGTAAACATTATGGTTCTTTTCCATGATAACTTAACTATTACAATCTAGGGCAGTGATCTAATGTTGAAGGATTCTAATTCTGTGGTGTTTGTTTGACCAGTGTCCACCTTGCACGACGGACGTTGCAACTGGAGAAGGCCAACACATCATTACGACATGAGATAGAGAGGGAGAAACAGAAAACTTCCCAGCTGGCAGAGGAGGTCTGTAATGCTGTGGATGTGTTAAGCCTAGTCAGTCTTGTACATACCCGTGAAGATCTGGGTTATAATTGGTCTTCAGCAACCCATGCTTGTTATAAGAGGCGACTATTGGGATCATGTGGTCAGGCTCGCTGACTTGGTTGACATGTGTCATCATATGCCAGTTGTGTAGAGCGATGTTCATGAAGTTGATCTCTGAATTGCCTGGTCCAGACTCGATTATTTAAAGACCATATAGCTGGAATATCCCTGAGTGCGGCGTCAAACAACAAACAAACAATCTTGTACACATTACTATCCAGCCACTAACTAGCTTGTCAAACACCAAGCTTTTGATTAACAAAATGATTAAAAACATGTGTTATGCTGATTGTTAGCTGTTCTGATATCAAAAGCAGGGTACAACCAAATTCATCTTAAGTTCAGTCCTGAAACACATCTGCTTCACATCACCTTAACATTTTTTATCGAAGCATTTACCATGTATCTAATGAATAAATGTAATAAATGGAGTGCCAATGACAAAGTGTGGACTTGAGCTGTATTTGTTCATTTTGTGTCTTGTATGTCCTTAGATGTGTCAGTTCTAATTCATTTTGAAACAGACTGTTTAAGTTTGACATTATCCTGTTGCCTCCTCCAGGTGAGGAATGCCAACTCTCTCCTAGACCAGTCCCAGCAGCCATACAACTATCTTATAGACAGTATCCGAGTCCGTGATGATCAGATGAAGAAGCTGAAAGATCACACAGCTAGGCTGGAGGAGGACCTAGGTGAGACTTGTCACATTGATCCTTTCAGGGTCTGTGTTAATGACTGGCCCCTTATGCCCTGTTTGTTGTTGATTACCTGCCATACTTCATAATTTGGTAAATTAAAGACTGACTGGGACATGCTCATTATAGTAACCACAGGTTTGTCTGGTCAGGTTGACTGCATTATTTACTAGCTGTCTTGATATAGCGTGAATAGAGTGTGGGGAGTCTTTGAATCTGTCACAAAACAATACATGTAAATGAAAGATAATGTGAGATTTATGTTTGATGAGATAATCATGCAATCTGGAAGTTGTGCTGTATCTATGTCATGTAGTTTAGCACAGTTTAGGGAAGACTAACACAGAGTGTGTTTGGAACTCAGGTCAGTCCTCCCAGTCAAGGTGGTGTCAGTTAGTCCAAGCAAGAAGTGAAAACATGGGGCACCAGTTGTTTTGTACTAAAATCTTCTTATTTAGATGAAACACTTGCTAGAAATGAGCTTGACATAAATTGGATATGATCGATGGTGTCTTCTGCTCTAGCTGTGTATGTGCTCGTTCATTCCAGGAAAACAGAACGTGGAGCCGCTGAAATGGTTCGCACCAAGAACCAGATGTCCCTGGACTTGGAGAGGCTGCTCAATCAGAAGGAGGTAAGTACAAAAACCTGAGTTAATCAATGTAGCTTATAACTTGAAGTTTGAATCAATCATCAATTAACTGGTTTCAGGCAGTTCTGGCTCAGTATAATGGAAGTTTGTGTTAAAGATTAAAATAATCAAAATAGAGGCTTTCCTTCACATCAAGCTGACACTGTTACACCTTAAATTACTGTTCAAAATAGCATTAAACAAAGTTGCTCACTCACCATATGTAATGTTAACATTTTTCTTCGAAGGAAATGGCTGTGATGAAACAAGTTGTGATGAATCTATCGACCCGTCGTCATGGTGACAAGAAGCAACACACAAGAGAGCCTGTTAAACCAAAGTCCATGTCCTATAACAGTTTTGACATGACAGATGACCCTAATATTGACCGACCTGGGTCAATTTCATTGGTAAGATCATTGGCACCATAGTTACATAACATTTTGAATAAATAATCAACAGATTTGTACATGTTAAAAGATGTTTCTTATATATTTTTTCCCTCCTCCAACCATGATTTTTCACCTAATAATACTAAACTAAGGATATAGTATTCTCATGTCCAGTTATCTTTTGGTTTGACGTAATATATGTTATATACATGGTGTCTCTTTGTACCAGTAAGTTATGTTCGGCTATAGGTGATTTTTAGATGCCTCAAAGTTCAGTGTTTATATTAGAAATCACTCTGCAAAACTTAAAGGGGACTAATGTTATGACCCATTCTGAAACATAGACCGATCAGATCTGCATATCTTTCACCAGACTGCTTTATCTTATAAGCTTACTCTGGTCACATGAATGTTTAAATTTGGTAATGCATGAGCACATACAGAGTACTTTTCTAACAGGTGCACTGTAGGTTTTCTAGTCAAAATGTGCTCAAGACAACATAGCTGATACCATTCATTCCATAAGATATGGTGCCAATTGATGACTGGGAATGGGATCAATGTTTGCTTGGAAAATAATATGTTCATCAGCCCGTCCTCCTGTTTCAGACAATGCAGGGTTCACCAAGCTGGGCGGGCAAGCTTAAAAAGAAGAATGCTGGAGGGGGCAACACAAAGTTGTCCAAAGTGTATGGCATTTCCAGCTCATGAGGAGATGACCAATAATTCAAACATCCGTCCACTTGTCTTCTCATGCCGTGTATGACACATGAACCCTAGTTGTACAATGCAAAATACTTGTCTTTATTATATCACTAGGTGTATAAACCATATATGAGTAGGGGTATGTCATAGTTACATAGAGAGTTATAGTGAGTAGGCCAGCACGATATAACAGAGGAAACAGAGCCATGTCATCCTCTCTATCTCCAGGGTAACTCCTGGATCTTATATTACCTTGACTTTCATTAATATTTTACCAACATATCAGTTACCAAGATTATGGAGATGGGTATATTAACAGTAGTATTGGTTCATTACAACCAATCAATCATCGAAAATAATTGGTTAGCAACATTTATGAAATTTGTTAATACACAAAAAAATACGGGAAAAACATGTAGTTCTTTGGGTTTTGGGGCAAAATTTCACATCTTTAAAGGATGACTAGTATGTTAGGAACATGGATTTCTTAGAGTCTTTAAGATAAATTCAATCATGACTCGGAAGGAGCTTGTAGTGCTTATGAAATGTAACAGACAAAACCAACCTAGTGAAAATTACTGTTACTGAAAAGAAGTGTTCCAGAATTGTTTGTGTTCGATTATGAGAAAACATGATCGATTGCTTGGTCGTTTAGTCACTACGACCAATCTTCGATTATTTCAATTAATCGGACCACCACTAATTAACAGGGAATGTATGGTAGCTAAGTGACTTTCTATTAGATAAAAGACATCAGTGTGTCTGTCAGTGGAAGTTCTTTCCAATTCAATCATGATCTGTGGGACTTGGCATCATTTAAATATTGCCAACCTAAAATTGAGACAGATATGTAGCTTGTGTTCAGATTGTTTGATAAGGCTGAGTAGTGCATCGGATTATACAAATTTATGAAAATCAAGGGCAGGGAATTTGAGGTCAGGAGAACCACTGGAAAGAAGCTGTGGGTCAGTGTTGATTTTACAAACCGCAAACCCTGGAGATATGGAATGAGATTCATGTATAGGATAACAGTGTTCTTGCTGACATTGAACTATCGATTGTAAAGTCTGATATTAAATTATCCTATTCCATCTTACTAAAAGAATATATTCAGTTGTTAATTTTGAAGGTTATGCATATATTGCTTTTAACAGGTACTGTATGTAGGGTTATATGATGTACACGTGACCTTATATGAATTATTCTTTCGTATCTTGGTTCTTTTACCTGTGTTTCTTAGACTAGAGGGAATTGTCATATCTGGTGAAACTAATTGTTTAGACAGAACAACAAAAATATGTGAAGGTTTGGCCTTTCTGACATAAAAACATTGAAAACAATATTAGTGGTTGGTCCATTATGGTGCATAAAGATGAGTTACTGAAAGAGTCAAGATACTAACTAACAGTGATAGATTGGTTGTGATATCATATTAACCGATACTTACAGAATTTTACATTCATATGCATATATTGTATATTATTTATTTACTTCTCTACATACATTGATCAGCTATGTTGTAAAATAAAATATGTAGTCCTGAATTCCTTGTTTATTGTCAATTACAGTGTGTGGAATTTCCTATTTCAGCTTTTTGTATCAACCAGTACATGTGTCATTCTAACTTCAATATGAAGAGTTAAAAGATTTTTTAGTAGTTTATCAGGACACATGCTACAAGAAATTTACTTTTCTTTCCTAATGCCTGATATATTATTTCAAAGTAGTATGAATTCCATTCTTCTTATGCATTGAATTATTTTCTGATATTTCTTCATGGGGATTAATAAATTTTTATATAATTTTTTTACAAATTGAAAGACATTGATTTGTGTTCTATTATCAATGTTATCACATTGATGAGATATGGATCAGATTAGTAACTGTTATAAGAAAAATAGTCCCATGCAAAAATGGTCCCAGACAATATGGAGAAAATACACCCAAATGATTATGAAAATGGTCCAATGTTTTGGAGACGATGGCCTCAAATAAAAATTACATACTTAATTCAACTTTTAATTGGGACCCTTGGCTCCCATTTATAGTTATTAGTAATTTGTTTATTATTCAGGTTGTAGTAGTGGAAAACCTGTCACTTAAAACAGAGCCCTGAGACAATGAAACAATTAAAAGGTGAGGAGATGGTTTTCTAAAACAAAATGACAGTCCAGAATATCCTATCAATTAGTAAACTAAACAGCTACTAGTATACCATGCATAAAACCAAAATCACTAATGATTTTTTTAGTTTTATTTCTCCAATATATGTGACAAATGAGAAGGAGTGTTAACATACTCTCTCTCTCTCTCTTTCTCTCTCATAGGTTTTCAAGCACGATTTATGTAGAACATTACCTTTCACTTTAAAAACAAAACAAATATTAACTTCATAATGCGATGACTAGATTCCGTATTGAAGTGCAGTCAACACAAATGGCCAGTTTAGCAGTCTTCGCTGGTGAAGCAAGGACTAGAAGAAAAAGAGGTGTCTGTTTTAACAATTGGATCTAATGACACTGTCTTAAAATGATGTATGAAAACAAACTTAAAATGTATGAATACAAATATACGAAGACAGTATTTAAACGGATTAATGAAGTCGAATGAACATGTTACGAGAACCTTGAAGGGAGATAACTCTTGTTCTGTTATTGTGTGGCTGCTCACGCACCGACATCTGCCTGTGACTTTTTGTCACCGTGCTTAACTAAACAGACATTCATTGACAGACTGTGTGGGACACGTGTAAGTGAGGATAGTAATTCCTGTGCTGTGAAAAGATTTCTTGCTGGTAGTAATGATGATTCAGGTAAACCCAGGACAAAGACCGAATGCTGTTGTAGCAGCATTGAGAGCGGCAAGATCGAATTAAGGACAACTCAACTAAACTTCTACAGGCTATTAACAAAGCTGCAGACGGGGCATCGTCTGAGGGTTAGTCATTGTAAAAAATTAGTTGCATCGTTTAGCATGTTAAGGCATTGTCACAGAGATTTGATGATGATACAAGAAATTGAAAAGCTAACAAAATATACCATATTTCGTTCTTGAAACTAAACACTTCTGGTTTAGTTTGATTAATTGTGATCTTATGAAATAAGAACTTCACAAAACCTGTGTAATTTTTGTGAGAGACTGTGAGTGTATGTTGCAAATGCTGCATCAGGAACATTCCAACTGTGTCATGCATGTCAAGGAAGTGAAAACATCTGGACTAGATGAATAGTTACCCCGCCATATAGCTGGAATCTTGGATTTCAGTTAAAATAACTTTAAGCCAGGTTAGGGCTAGGCATCACACAAGTCAAGTTCAGTCCAACCACTGAAACAAGATGGTATAAATGTTATATGTTATGGCTGAAATGGCTTGAGATGAGTCCCCCTGAATACAGCATTGGCAAGTATACATGTATTTGAATTTTAATCATCTCTGGTAAAGGAACTGAGGTAAGAGTAAAATTTGATGAACCTCAATAGAACCCAGGGCCTAGATTTTCGAAGCTCTCTTAGTGCTAAGATTGATGTAAGTTAATGCTAATGTATGGCACTTACGACTATCTTAGCGCTAAGAGAGATTTGAAAATCTAGGCCAGGGTGCCATTGTACAAAACAACCATAGTACTAAGATTGTCATGACTGTTCCTACAAGACTAAGTCTATGTTACGGTATGAGAGTTATGATCATCTTAGCGCCAAGATCGCTCTTGTACAGAAGCACCCTGTTAATTTTCAATGGACTGCATTATTTAAACCCAGATGTAGTTGTAACAAAACTATGAATCTAGTCCCGTTGTAATTGTTCTCATCTATTTCAGGCATAATCTCCTCCAGGGATGCATATCCTAGAATTCCCGCGCGAACTACAGTACTTTATTCTGGCAAAGCTGGATGGTGTGGCCTTAGGCCATGTTCAGTGTGTTTGTCGATCATGGCAAGAAATTGTGGGACATCTAGAATCATCTTTTAATATTTGGTTGAGATGTTGTTTAAAAGAAATACCATCCTACATTTTGGTACAACTCACAGGAATGTGCAGATTTATTGAACAAGGGGAGATAACTGCAGATGTGTGTAATCGTATTGGTTGGGAGTTTTGGCGAGACCTGTATCGAGAATACCAACGAGACAAGCTGCTGACTCAATGGCGGGACACCAGTATGGAGATAACCATTCCCTTCATGTACGGGAAGGCAACATCCATTGATCTAGGGGGTAATGCTTTTGTTGTTTCTTGTTTTAACATAGTGTCATATTATGGTCATAGGGATGGTAGGGTAGTTTTGTGGTTAAAGTGTGGGCTTGTCATGCCGAAAAACAGATTTGATTCCCCTTATGGGTACAAAGTGTAAAGCCCATTTCTGGTGCCCCCTGCCATGATATTGCTGGAATATTGCTAAACATGACATAAAACCACACTCACTCACTGTTATGATGGTGCATTGAGTTTGGAAATTGGTTGGCACTTTTGTATTATATTTTTCATGCTATATTCATTCCCTAGATTGTTGTAATGTAATGAAACTTACTCCCTTTGAAACAAGATAATTTTAAAGTCATGTGTAGGTTATCATGCACAATGTTATTTCATAACCTTCCCTGAATTAAAAGCAGACTATCTAACTGATGAGGTGTAGATCCTTTAAAGGTTCAGCTGTGACCAATTCACAGTCTTGGCAAATTTGAATAAGATCTTTCAAATTCTGTTGTGTGCTTGCATCTTTATATACAGTAAAAGCTTGCATTGTTGTTCAAATAATCAGTATTATACATATATTATGCATTTTAATGTTACCTTTGCATTTTGTTGAGTTACCTCATTCAGAATGTTTGAACACTTGTGCTGATCTACAGAGGGGTACCTGGTGTCTGGCCACACCACTGGCAACGTGCTGGTATGGGAGAACCTGAAGGAGACGGATGCCCTCACCATGGGGCTGGTACATAAACACCACCAACATGTGTCCTGTGTCCGGGTGCTGGCATCAGGTGGGACACTGTCACCAACAGTTACCTCAGTGCCTCTTTGTTAGACTATACCCTTGAAGATCCGGGTTAGAATTGATCTTCAGTAACCCATGCTTGTCGTAAGAGGCGACTCACAGGATCGGGTGGTCAGGCTCGCTGACTTGGTTAACACGTGTTTTCGTATCTCAACTGCGAATATCGATGCTCATGCTGTTGATCACTGGATTGTCTGGTCCAGACTCGATTGTTTACAGACCGCCGCCATATAACTGGGATATTGCTGAGTGCTGCATAAAACTAAACTCACTCACTCACTTTGCTAGACTATCTGGATATTTTCCATGGATTTTGTCTCTCCTGCCATAATGACAGTTTACCAGTCCTAAATTCTCATCATATAAAATAAAAAACATAGATTCTACACTCTGTTAATTCTGTTAAGTATTTGGTAAATGAATTCATTTTGATGATCATGATAATCATTGATATGATTACAGAAAGGAGTTGGAAGGATCTGGGAACTGCTCAAATGGAAGAAGCCTGTCCTTGTGTTGCATCATCATCTCGAGATTGTGTCATCAATGTGTCAACGATTCGAGGCACAGACACACATCATATTGCACACTTTTCACAGCAAGTCAACCATCTCAGGTTAGTGTGGGAACTCTGTTTGGAAGGTTGGGTACCGGTAGGTAAAGTCATCAAAACCATAGGCAAAGGTAGCTCAGTCATCTAAATCATTGCAATTGCCTGTGTAGAGTTGCAGATCTTGGTTGTGCCACAATCTCATGATCATAGGTTCGAATCCCAGATCCACATGGATGTTTTATGTAATGTAACTGAAATATTTTCCAAAGGGGATTCCACATAATTCAAGTGCCTCTGTTAGTGGTGGTCCGATTAATTGAAATAATTGAAGATTGGTCGTAGTGACTAAATGACCAAGCAATCGATCATAATTTCTCATAATCGAACACAATCAATTTTGGAACACTTGTTTTCATTAACAATATTTTTCACATGGTTGGTTTTGTCTGTTACATTTCGTAAGCACTACAAGCTTGTTTCAAGTCATGATTGAATTTATCTTAAAGGCTCCAAGAAATTTATGTTCCTAACATACTAGTTATCCTTTGAAGATGTGAAATTTTGCCAAAAAGCCCCAAAAGAACTATATGGGTTTTTACTCCTTATTTTTATGTGCATTAACAAATTTCATAAATGACGCTAACCAATTATTTTCGATGATTGATCGGTTGTAATGAACCAATCATCAATTATGAGATTTTAACCAATTCCCAACACTAGCCTCTGTTGTCTAGAGGATGGAGGAAGGTCAGGTGTTTGACTACATTTTTCCCATAAATGGTATTGGTGTTACCCTGCCTGACACTCTGCAGGGGATAAAACAAGGACTTGTTGGCACTGAGTCATGAAACTATAGTTGGGATATTCATGTTTAATTACTGCATGGTATCTCAGTGGGCTAGCATTTGGCATTAAAACTAGCTTTAGTCCTCACTAGTTCAAATGGTAACCACAAACATGCAAATACATGCATAATCTAGAAAGCCCCATTTCGGGTCATCTTAAACACAACTCTCTCTGTCTTGTCTTGAAATGCACTAAAATGGTGATTTTTATCAATAAACCGCTTGAAGGGGTCAAAGAGTAAATACCACCGGATCAGCAGAACAGCGTAGTTAGTGAACCATGCTAGATGCTGTTGCCAGTCTGTAGAACTTCATTTCAGTGTTTGTGGCGAGTATTTCGTAGCAGCAGCCAAGTCTTCTGTGCTTCACGGGCAGCCTGTGTGGCGGGTGTCATCCTCCCGACCATTGAACTTGGAACAGACAGATCAGCTTTGGGGACAAAGGACATCCAATGTCACAGCTGTTGCCATGACATTTGGAACGGTAAATATGTATGAAGTTTTTGAAAAGCATGAAAGGATGAACTATAAAGATTTGAAAAAATGATGTTTTTAACTTCTATAAATGGTATACTTTCACTTTGCTTTTGAAACACTCATATCTGCAAAAGTGAGTGAGTTTAGTTTTATGCTGCACTCAGCAATATTCCAGCTATATGGCGGTGGTCTGTAAATAATCAAGTCTAGACCAGACAATCCAGTGATCAACAGCATGAGCATCGATCTGCGCAATTGGGAACCGATGACATGTGTCGACCAAGTCAGCGAGCCTTACCACCCGATCCCGTTAGTCACCTCTTACGACAAGCATGGGTTACTGAAGATCAGTATTCTAACCCGGACCTTCATGGGTCATATCTACAAAAGGGCCACAGTGGACATATAGAAGTCCAAATGATTTCTTAACTGTATTTGATATTGAATGGATCTGGCAGCAACTTTACACAACTGTTTCAGTGATAGCTGTTAAGAGAGGTGTTAAGACCGTACATTGAAAAACACAACCTGAAGAAATATCTTATACAACAGTGCTGTTTTACAAATAGAAAAATCCTCTTGAAGTCTAGTATCATGTTGACAACTCTGTGCATTCTCTGTTTTAATAGTGGACTGGACACAGTGTTGGTGGTTGATCTGTTGATCTAATGTCGGGCAGGTTATGTCTGGGCTACTTTGAATGGTGTATTGCAACTTTACACAACTGTTTCAGTGATAGCTGTTAAGAGAGGTGTTAAGACCGCACATTGAAAAACACAACCTGAAGAAATATCTTATACAACAGTGCTGTTTTACAAATAGAAAAATCCTCTTGAAGTCTAGTATCATGTTGACTACTCTGTGTATTCCCTGTTTTAATAGTGGACTGGACACAGTGTTGGTGGTTGATCTGTTGATCTAATGTTGGGCAGGTTATGTCTGGGCTGCTTTGAATGGTGTATTGCTTTTTGTATCTGGGCTTATCTGTACTGGCTACCGAACAGTTATCGCCATATTTTAGCGTTATTTACTAAATTACTCGGCCGTTCCTTAAATTAATTAAACAGAATTGATTATGATGCTTAATTAGCTATTTACCAATGTGTCCAGCTCGTTCACTGCCGCAGATCGTGTTTTTATATAACACGACTGAAGGGAATCATGGCAGTATATATGGATGTTTTCTCACCACTAACTGTAACAGTTATCGCCATTTAGAATTTCTCATGCCAGTCGTGAAATAATATATATATTTATATCATACAGTAACCTCGAATAATTGATTGTGTGACTATTTGAGTGTTTCTTTTACAGTAGATTGATAGGGAATGAAATAATTAATGACTTGTGAACTTGATCTTGCTGTTACATAGGTCATGGGACATCCCCCCGACTAAGTTCAAAAAAAATTCTAGGGCAAATAAATTTATCTTTAGTTTTTCTCTTATGTTACTTACTGTGAAGAATTTTCTTTTGCTGTCCTTTGTTGTTGTCAAATACCGTGGGGGAAAAATACCGGAATTGTAATTGACCGGAACTGTGCACGTGTGATACTGATGTATTGGCGATAACTGTTACGCGGCGATAGCTGTTCACTAGCCAGTAGGGTGTTGGGCAGGTTGTGTCTGGGGTGATCTATACTGACTTGGTGTTGAGCATGTTGTATCTGGGGTGATCTCTAGAGACATAATGCTCTGCAGGTTGTGTCCGGGGACGTTATGGGCAACCTGATGATGTGGGACAGTGGTGTAGATGAGCTGAGTGACAGGGAAGCCGGAAGTCATACACAAGTTTTCCAGTAGTGTCAAGCAGATCTGTCTACAAGGGGAGCGTCTGGTTTGCCTTCTAGGTGAGTAGTATCCTGTTGCTGTGCTTGAGGCAGAATAGCTATGTTTGATATACCCGATACTTCATGTAGACGTTGAAGAATATGTGAAACATTGAATTCAATATCAAAATATGTTCCTTTTGTTTTCTTTAAATGGGTCTTATTAAGATTTAGAATTCATTGCAATATATGAAACTTTGTAAAATTTGATGGACAGTTTACTGTCAACAGGAAATCAGGATTTCTGGTTGAAAAACAGTCATCTGTTAGCCCTGCTTTTCATGAATGTGACTAAAATCTTAGTGATCGTATGTTATCATGCCTCAGCCACATCCTTGTACTGAATGATGGATTGTGTGTCATCATACGCCTTGAATTACAGAGTGTCATTGTACAGCATGAATGAGTATGTGTCATACTGCATGAGTTAGTAGGGGTGGGTATTGCAGAGAACTTCATATTGCAATATATTGCGATGCGAAAGCATGTATTGCGATATGTATTGCAATATATTGCATGAAGTTAAACAAAAACTAATTATAGTCGAGTTAATGCTTGATTTATAGAGCAAAAACACAACAAAACCACTATGTTTGATTAAGCTTTAATAACAACTTTTAATCATGATAAAATAAAAATGTGAATATTATTTGGCACAAACAAAACAAGGACATATCCGAAGAGAGTGTTACAAAGTTTTCCGAATGCAAGTCAAAATACCGGTTTTCGATCAGCGTATCGCAATACGTATCGTTTTCATGTCTGAACCGGTAAATACTGGTAAACCGGTTATATTGCACAGCCCTATGAGTTAGGTGTCTTTGTACTGTATCATTGGTTTTATGATTGCACTGCATGAATTGAAGTGTCATCGTGGATGAATTTGTATGTGTCGTCACACAGCATGACAGTGTGTGTCATTGTACACCTTGTATTAGTATTTTATCTTTCACTTGCTGACTACCATGGGTATAGGAGGAACTGTTCTCTAGACATGCTTTCTCTTAACATTTAGATGATGGTAGCCTGTGTGTACGCCGTGACTCAAAATTCACCCAATGGTTGGCAGAGGATTTGTTCGAGACGTACCAGGGAACTGCAAAGTGTCTGTCATTGAGAGGGACAATATTAGCAGTTGCTACAACTATGGGTAGGACATGTGTCTACTATTGCGATACATTAGAGGACATAACAATGACTGGCCATTTCAGCGTTGGTGTTCTCACTCACTTTCAGTTGGGTGTCCATGTTAAACTGAGGCATGGTATCTCTGTGGGCTAAACATTAGTTTACTGACAGTCAGCCACACCTGCATTTTACTAACTATGTGAAATATACTTTTGTAAGTAAAATAATCTTGATTAATAATCAATTTTAAACCCCATTTCTCATAAACTCCTTTCAAGCTATTGAAGTGGACCTATCATTTAAGGTGCCTCAATTTGTGATGCAGAGTTTTGTCCCACACCGGAACCTCTGATCATGTGTTCAAATTTGTGTTGAACTCGATTATGTTCCTATATGTGGGTTTCACTGAAGTGTTAAGAGTGTTAAATGAAACAGGGATCAATTCAGGCTTTACTGACACATTGATGAGGATATAACTGGATTACTGTTCAAAGTAGCATTAAATCAAAATTATGAACTGGTGTATTGTAAAACTCACTCATTGTGTCCTATTGTCATGAGTTCAGTAAATGATTAAAATCTAATTGGCGTTCCTCAAACAATGATCTGACTCACAGGGATACAACTAGATCGCTGTGTATAGTTAGTTTTAGATTCATTCTTATTTTGCACTTGGCAATTTGCATCTATATGACAGCGGTCTGTACATAATCGAGTCTGGACCAGACAATCCAAGGGTTGACATCATGAGCACCGATCTACACAATTGGGGACCCGTGAAGATCCGGGGTAGAATAGGTCTTCAGCAACCCATGTGCTTGCCATAAAGGCGACTATGCTTGTCGTAAGAGGCGACTAACGGAATCGGGTGGTCAGTTTCGCTAACTTGGTTGACACATGTCATCGGTTCCCAATTGCGCAGATCGATGCTCATGCTGTTGATCACTGGATTGTCTGGTCCAGACTCGATTATTTACAGACCACCGCCATATTGCTGAGTGTGGCGTAAAACTAAACTCATTCACTCACTCACTACACAATTGGGATATGATGACGAGTCAACCAAGTAAGCGAGAGTGACCACTCAATCCCGTCATTCGCCTCTTACGTCTTACGACAAGCATGGTTGCTGAAGAGCAATTCTAACCCGGATCTTCATGGGTACACTCATTCATGCTTGTGTGTCCTGCATCAACCCCCACTCCCACATTAAGCTGGCATGCTATGGTTCAACTGATTTACTGGCTGAGTTCTTCACTAACAAATTTTGCTGACATTACTGATTTTATTTTCTACCACCAGGCGGCGTGTTCCTCTACAGTATACCAGACAACAAATCGTATGAAACGCTTGAGTTCAAACATCCACATAGTGTTGTGAGGACTGAGAAAAACACAATCACATCTATATCCCTTGGAGACGATGGCAAGAGTCCTGTTGTTGCCATAGCAGCTGATGATGAAACAATCACCATCATCAGGTGGCAGCCATGATTTGAAGCAGAAGTGACAAAAACAGATTCAGTGGTGATCGATCGGAACAACTTGGAATGTGTTGATAATCTGTTTACTAGTTTTAACAGTTAGATACACACATCGACTATTGTTCACAATAGTACTAGTGTATCATTATGGCATCTTGTGGATAGTCAAGATCAGCTTTTACCAAAACATTACAGCAGCTATTTGAACAAGGTTTACTTGTCCTTAGGAAATGTTGTGACTCAATTGAAGTCATTGAAGGGACGGTATGTGAACGGTTCCGGAGGTTGTTTTTATCCAAATGTGACATCACATCCATAGTTCCTGCCCGATTCAGTTCTCAACCAAAAGAGCTCTGCACAGCAAAGGCAACAAACCCACATTACAAACTGGCTTCCATCATGTTCTTTATTATTGGCAAACTGATAAGAAAGCTTTAGTGATTTTCTTACATTTAAGTAACAAAATACTAATTACCAATCGATTTGATAAGAAGCAAGTGTTTGTCAAAGCCAAGATTGCAATATGCACATGCTAAGGTCATATAAAACCAATGACTTTCCTTGCCAGAATTCTTGCATTTGGCCTGTCAGTTCCTACTTCAGATTAAGTGATTTAACCCTACCCTTGAGCCTTGTAAGCTTGATTATTGATTTACTTGAAAACCATGCTTCAGGACAGTTGATTCACTTTCCCTTTAGGTCAGACAGTTTACTTGACATGGTGTTGAAGAATTCTTGCAGGATAATGTGTGCAGTAGTGTCTTTTATTTGTCTCATGTCGTCAAAGAAGTGGAAGTTAGTGGAACATGTCTACAGCTGATTGAAGCCAAGCAGAATGGTGTGAATATTGAAAATCATGACAGGTGGATTACTGTCGTCTCCGGGTTGACAAACACGAGGTCGGTGGTACTGAACAAACAGAAGCATCTGTGATCAACTTAGTGTCCTGAGGGACCAATGTATATTATGTTTGATGTTGTTATTTAGCTCGACTGACACAGGTCATGTGAGCTTGTACCATGGCATATCATCTGTTGTCCATCTCTTATGATGTTTGACCTTTTAACTACCATAATGCCATCTTCAAAATATTTTTCAAAATTCATCATGTATGACCCAGTAATGGTACCCATCATGCCATAATGAATGTTTCAGGGATTATTTTAGGAGTAAAGTCTACGGTTAGAAAAGTTGAAAGAGCTGTTTACTGAACGGAGTTGCATCCCTTGAGTGTGATAGGATCTTCTGATCAAGGGTTCGAGACTCGGAATTGCCCTGACCCTTTGTTTGTCAGCATATACCTTAATGTTTTATAGCATTTAAACACAATGACAACTTTGAATTAGTACTTAGCCACATATTTATGAATCATTTTGTCAATGAACATATCAGTTCAGGACCAATTTTGTAAAATCATTTTATTATCATATGTGACCATATGATTTTGGTTTAAATAAATGTATGACTTAATCATTCATAATTAAAATGTTCATGTGAGCCAGAGAGCCTATGGTGCTGTGATTTTCAGAATTTTATCTATTTGATTATGATAATAGTTTAAACATGACTCCATTATTGTATAAGCATGATAAAAATGTTTCCCTAAAGTAGATTTCATTGCAGTATTTATCTGTTGGTGCTATTGCTGTGTGACCAAAGAATAATGGAAAAGGTCTAGAGGGAGGTAAAGATTAGTGTCAATTATTTAAAATGTTGGTCATCAAAGTCATTAACCATGTATGTCCTACACATCTTTGCCCAGAAATAATATACAACTTGTTTGCAATTGAAAGTAATTCACACTGTTTTACATACAATCAGGGCTCCAGATAAATTTTCAACATCAGGAGTTCGTACTCCTTATTTTTTCAATATAGGAGTACTGGAAAACCTTAAGAGTACATTTAGAGTACTTAATGGAATTTAATGGAGTATCAGTAATCTTGTGTTTCATTTCATATATGCACCACAACATTGCTACTCTTGTGTAAACAGGTCAATAAACAATAAAACAATACTTTTTCAGATAAATATGTCTGTAAATGATTCTAAGACCGTACACCATTGCTGTGGTGCGTATCTGCTATGTTTTCTAAATTATTTCCTACCGTATCGTGCACATTTTATATCCGTACATATGCAAATACGGCCCTTATCTGGAGCCCTGTACAATGTTGTATATGTTAGGATCTGACGAGTTTATGATTATCAGCTGCACCATATTTAGGATAGATTGACATGTTGTTACTACAATAATATATTTACATTATTTACAGTAGTCCAAGCAACTGGGATGCAGCAGTTAGATTGGAGATTACTTATCTGCCATCCTGGAGGTGTTACTTTTCCCAGTCCAGGAATCCTCAAAGTTGCAGTATTTGTTTTGGCGAGGCAAACAGAACCTCTGACAGAAACTGGAGTATTGTGGTTTCTGTGTTTGCTTGTTCTGTTTTGAAGACGTCTGTGATATTTGAGGATTTCCCCAGATAGTTGTGATGCCAACTCTCAACATGGTTAAGCCACAATCTTTAGTGCTAGCTACAGGCACTATAGTCTGTTTGCAGTGAAAACATACCGATGAATGTCACTTTAAACCAAAAAGTAAAACAAATAAAGTGAAATTAAGACTGCGAATCCTCATGATTTTACCTTGCCAATTGAACATTTAAATCTCAGAATTTTATTCGACTTAGGATAAAAGTTGTTTAACAAACGATCATAGTTTCACATGGCTATTATTGGTTTGTATTACAAGGGGGTATGCACATCAAATGAAACACCAAAAACGACAAAGGGCTGTTATAGGTTAACGCTCTTCACATACCGCACGTGCATTTTTTCACTGTTCCAACTACTGCGCTTACCCCATTGTAATACAAACCAGTAATAGCGATTTGAATCTATGATCGTTTGTTAAACAACTTTTATCCTAATTTGAATAAAATTTTGAGATTTAAATGTTCAATTGGCAAGGTAAAATTATGAGGATTCGCAATCTTAATTTCACTTTATTTGATTTACTTTTTTGTTTAAAGTGAAATTCATCGGTACGTTTTCACTGCAAACAGACTATAGTGGTTTATGTACTTGATTCTGACAGCAGCTCGAGTCCATGTTTTTGCATATTTTGCCAAATGCATAGCCCATGGTGACCTCATGTCTCTGATCATCTCTGTCAGAGGGATGGTTGAGATAGTCATTTTATTGTTCTTTATTCAAAGAAATGTTGGAAAATGTGTGGGACTGACTATCGCAAAAGACCTGTATAGAAAATTACAACCTGTGAAATCATTTGGATACCTTTACCGTATCAGCATTACAATCATAGATAACCTGTTTCAGCATTACATTGTTTTGTACACATCAATCATAATCTCTCATCTCCAAGCAGGAAATCAAAATGTGTAGAATTTTGCTGTTTGCTTAACAACTTTATTTGAAATGTCTGCATTATCCTTTACTTGTACATCACAATACTATGACCCTTTTCTTTCGTTTTCAGTATATCTAATGGGATTTGTAAAATGTGTCCTGTATCATTAGTTTATTTTGATTTTTGAATTTCAGTTGAGTTGTACTACTTTCTTTCAACCGCTTATGCATTGATTAAATGTGAAATTGTTCCAAACATTCCTGCACATTTCACAGACTGTTATAAAGAACAAATAAAACAATATTATTATTATTTTCCTGTTGTGTCTGGTAACCATGTTTGGTGATACCAAAGCTTCAGGAGGGTCATTATAGATGTACAAAATGGCAGTTTTGTGTGAACAGTATAGACCGATCACCAGCACACATGACCAGGTTTTGGCTGTCACCAGTATGTCAGCACCTTCTCTCTTGAGATCATATTGCTTGACATTTTTTCACTTACAAACTGAAATCATGTTGCAACGTAAAACCTCCCAACACTGTGCTTGATATAATCTCCCAACACAGTTTGCTTCGTATAAACTTGCAACAGTGTTTGCTTTGTATAACCTGATAGCAGTCCTAAGACCAAACAACAGGTAAATCAATACTACTTTTCAAAAGATAACAGGACCATAGTCATATTTTGATGACAAATTAAGACTTCTGCAACCTGTATCTCACGAAAAGAGATTAATTTACTTATATATTCTTTATACAATAACTGACAAACCAAGAACATAATCTGGGTTTTTAACTATAAAGATCATCTGATCTCTAGCCCACCTGAGGGACACAATTCTAAAGTACAATACAAATGGGCCACCCTTGTCACCAATATGTAACATAGGAGAAATAAAACCATTGAGATACATTTATTTACAACACAATAATCACAATTATTACCTTCAATAGGAAATGTACATCAATTCATTATTTTGGCGTACCATATAAAGGCTGACATTCTAGCCAGTTCTTCACCAACAAACCAAACTCCAGTCTCTGTTTTTGCACCAATGAAAGGTCATTGAAAATGCGCAATCACGCCTTTTATATTTTTGGGAGAATTAAGAAATGGATCAATGTGTCTCTGTAGCTCACCTGATTGTTATTTACCTACAACATTAAGGCAAATATGGACTGATGTGACCAAGAAAATATTCAATACATCCACACTCTTCACATACACACTGTCCTGCCCACCAAAGTCAGCCATTAGTCATCATGGTGGCCATAACCTATCAACATCCAAGGACACATATTCAATCAATAGAAATATCTTGAATTTTTCTTCTTAAAATACTTGGAAGTTTAAAATCCTATGAAGTACACAAATCTACCCGTATGTGCCAAATCTGATACCGACTGAAACCAAAAAATATATAATACTTTTAGAGATCACCAAAAGGATGGCTTGTTTTAAAGTTCCATCTAGGATGCACATTCAATCCCAGAGGAATTTAAGTGGAAGGCAAACTCTGACAACATTTGAGTGGTAGAATACCTCCTACCCACATGATATGATTGCATATTTGTCATGTTCCCCAAATACATGTAACATTTGTTCACAGTTTCCTTATCCCTATAATATATAACCAGTCCCTAATGTTTGTACTTCTTAAAATTCTTGAAAAAATATAGAACTGTCATGAAATTTTCAAGCTGACAATACTCCCTTGTCATGTGTTTAAAGCTTATAGTATCTCTTCACACGTGAGAGTAGGTAGTAGATAGATCAGATTGTCAATGAAACAGCAGATCACTCACATCACCAACGTTTCACTCAGACTTTCACATCATCAAACGGCATTTGTTACTATGGTTACAGAACAAAAATGATGTACACAAAATATTGCACTTGCATGATAAAGGCTGATACAAGCATACGGTTTGATTTACCAATGTTGTAGTCATGATCCCCCTGTCACACCATCTTGAAGCAGGGGAGAATATTTTCATGATTCCCGTAACATTAACAGTACGACAGTTGCTGAAACAATGCATGGACATGGACACTGACAAAGTCATAATAACAAGGCCAACAAACATATCTTTGGCTGGTAGGTAGGAAATAAACCGAATACTATACCAGCACTGATTTTACAAAGCGAGTACCGGTATCCACATTCTTGTATTTCCTGAGCAAGAGTGACGCTAATACAACAATTCTTACAAGAGTGAGTGCAGCGTAAAAGTAAATCCACTCACTCTTACAAGAGTTTTGTAAGATCAGTATGACAAGCATTTGAGTGTAATAATTTCTGTATTACCAATTATTTCTGAATCCTTTACGCTTCCCTTGAGGAAAATACACTGCTATCTTAGAAAAACACAACTGACAAATGACCTCAGCAATCTTCGGCTGTAACATTATTTCTAGCATGACATTGTTCCCACCTTATGGCATAGAAAGCTGTCAACAATGTCATGTGAATCACATCAATAGTTAATGAAGGCATATTCGCTGCATAATTTGTGTTTAAACAAAAGATTAAAAAATACAAGTTAAGATGCAACTTGCTTGCATTTTGAGGGGATCAAAATCTAAGTTGCCTCATTTTGGAAATCGCTGATAACGAACTCATGTGGGGAATCAGACCTGGAGTGTGAATGTTTTAACCACTAGGTTACCCCACGAGGTTACCCCACCACTCTGTGTACATGGATCAACCTGACCTTCATGAAGGATTGCAAACCTATCATTACAAATAAATAGATGAAATGAATAGATGATCTCAGTTTTATACAATACCAGTGCCCATTGCTGCCCTTGAACAGCTCACTAGCATAGTCAGATTGCGGGTGTGAGGTTTTAGGTCATAGATGTGAACTGGGCTGAGCTGCTTCATGACCTCAGTATTGTATGACCCCCCAACCCTCCACACCCCAACTTTACAAAACATGGATCTGCCTCACTGAAATTATACTGGAATAGATGACATGACATGAATACCGTATTTCCTCTATTAAGCGCCGGGCTTTTAATAACTGCCGGGGATAAAGCAGTGCTTTAAGAAATAAGAGCCGGGCCTCCAATAAGTGCCGGGTGTCTAATGAAGCCCCGGTATAGACCTTTGCATTTTTTCGCAAATGTATTCTCCCTTGGTCTAAAAATACTCATCCCCGCTTTTAAAAATACAGGGTATTTTAATAAGTGCCGGGCCTCTAATAAGCGCCGGGTTTCGAGGTCCGTTGAAAAAATAAGTGCCAGGGGCTTATTAGAGGAAATACGGTAGTTTGATCTCGGTTTCTCATTATACAAATGTCCACTGTTGTTCACAAACAGCTCAACCCATATTGGGTTTGCACAAGTGAGCAACCTTTTCTATACACCTTACATGTTATCTGCACACTGTGTCAAGTCAATTCACGTGCACCCCCAACTTTACAAAACCCGGCGTCTGCAGCTGTTCACAAGTCTGCCGGGGGAACAGTCAGCAGTCCTGTCTGTCGGAACACATCCACACCTTTGTGCAGCACACACGTCCGTGAGTAGCCCAGTCGAATCAGCTCCGCAGCAAACTGTAACAAGATTCATCACACACTCATATGCCGTACAATGAATCAGTTATCTACATGTATGATCCTTTATTTGTCACTTTTAGATCCGGGTTAGAATTGATCTTCCGTAACCCATGCTTGTCGTAAGAGGCAACTAACGGTATCGGATGGTCAGACTCGCTGACTTGGTTGACAAATGTCATCGGTTCCCAATTGTACAGATCGATGCTCATGCTGTTGATCACTGGATTGTCTGGTCCAGACTCGATTATTTACAGACCACCGCCATATAGTAGGAATATTGCTGAGTGCAGCGTAAAACTAAACTCACTCACTCACTTAATTTGTCAGCACAACACATCCACGCTTATGGGTTTCAACACATTGGTAAACATGTATGATCTACATTAATTTCCCATTACACTAAGTTGACATGCTGTGATGTTGAAGAAACACTGTTCAATGACAGGGTTAAACCACTTGTCAATGTTGTGGTTGAGACCTATCATTCATCAGTAGTTAGTTAATCATTACAAATGTAGCATTTTTCACATAAATAAATATTAATGATTTGCTTTGGCATAGCATGATATAAGTGAGTGAGTTTAGTCTAACACCACTTTTAGTGATATTCCAGCAATATCACGGCGGGGGAAACACATTGGGACACACAATCCAAAATGGGGAATCGAACACGGGTCTTCGGCTTGACGAGCAAACGCTTTAACCACTAGGCTACCCCACCACCCCAGGTGATTTAAGTGAAAATATGGGTGTTAATGGAGCTCAGGCCGTCATGAAATAACCAAATTATAAGGATGTCTGGAGACTTATGTTTTGTGTCCTAGGCTATTCAAACTGTCATTCTCCTGCTATCAGCACATCTTGACAAAGTTATAATTCTTCACTTACGCTGCAGTGATGCAGCTTAGAATTAAACGATAAGTACATCAAATGAAAAACAACAAAGTGCTTGGCAGCAAATATGCAATGGACTGTACAGTCATCTAAAAAGTAAAATATAACTTATTATTATAGTGTCACTTGGCATTCTAAGAAAATATTTTCAACTTCTAATATCTTAAGAGCACATCTATACTTATCAAGGAAAAACAATTCTGTTCCTAAAAAATACTGACAAAGACAATTCAATTTTTCAAAAGCATTTGACCGAACATATCTCCTGAGTATTAATGACTGGTCCCTAACACTTACATTTGCAGCATTTCTGCCTCTGTTGCCAATGATGACCCTGACTTGACCTCTGCTGGCGTTGAGGGCCTGTACAGCCGGACACATGACAAGGTCACCTTCAGGGGAGAAGGCCGTATGGAAGGGAATGTTGATACTGTTGGGGACAGTCCCTCTTTTGTATCTGGGCAAGGTCAAGGTCATATCACATTGATTCCCTTCTACACAGGCTAACAGTCACCCTAGGAGTGAGTCCCACCCTGTGATGGTGCAACACAGTTGCCTCCAGCTTGTGGTCATCCACTGGCTTTTGGCAAAGTGGGATCATCCTGATCACCCAGTGTGTTATGTGTGTGTTTATTGTTCAATGTCTCATCCAGCAATATTCCAGCTATAACTGTAATATGTAAATTATAACCTATATTATAAGGGTAATGCTATTTTTGAGGGCATTATCATTTGCAGAAGCCCTTGGTCTTCCATTAACTGCCCGACGAAGGAGGGCAGTTGAAAAAGACCGAGGGCTTCTGCAAATGATAATGCCCTCAAAAATAGCATTACCGTTAGTATTGCTAAAATACATGGAATTTGTTTTGAAAAGACAAAGGAAACAATGAAGGAATTTGACTGTAAGTTTACTCAAAACCAACTTCTGACGGGCTTGACTGACCGAATGCAATTACGTCATCGAACAATTCAACTGACATCAAAACAGAACGTGACGATATTCGACCTTGGCCTTTGACAAGACCATGGCCTGCAACATGTCAAACTATGTCAGACACAACGTCAGTTTTCAGTGTTCGGTTTTGGTCCAACAACAACGTTAATAGTGCAATTGTTAAGGTTAGCACCAGCAAGAAAGCCAATATTACCGCTAAAGCGGGAATTCGGGTTGCTTTGACTTGTTTGCCCCAGAATATCTGCCAGTCCAAAGCCAAAGTCGAATGAACTGTAAGCCCACGCACCCACTATGATGTCACTTGACAACAGAACTGATAGTGGCCCGTCGTTAAGGTTTAGCGGTCCAATATCATTTGCAGCGGCCCGCAAATTTCTGATAATAGGAGGGCCGTTTCATGATAATTCCATGTATTTTAGCTATAAATAAGAATAACAACAATACACACCTTCAGGTATGATGAATCTTAATCCACAAAGTCATAAAGCAGGATCACATGTCTCTTACAACCAGGGTCGTTTAACACCTGGATTTTCAACAGTGTCATTCACATGCCCATACCTGGCATTCTTGTTCTGTCTCACATTGAACAGACCACATCATACAGCAGGTTGTTCAACCAAATTTTGCCCTTAATAAATGATACATCACTAATCTTACTGTGGCCTAAGAATATCGCTGCAACTCGACAGGCTTCCTCTACGGAAATCAGTCTCAACACTACAGTGATCATAAACCTATATTTAAGTAAAAGAGCTGCGATAACTTGTAACTAAGACCACTCTGTGGAACAGGACCTAGCATGAAAACTGTTAACATGGGTGTATTAGTGTATAAATCTATGAGTTAAGTTTCAGGACAGCAGTGCTGTGTTATAATTTGCTGCCTGAAACCTCCCAAGACATTTCCTCCCAGACAGAAAGGATACTCCTCCACACTTCTCACATCTACCACCAGGATCATGGGCTTGCTGTTCTGCTTCTTCTTGGTGGGGCTCCGTGTCGGGGCGGAACCCATCAGCTCCCCCAGCTCAATCAGGTCTTCCGCCGATATCCGTGGTGCCTTCTCTGACTTCAGCTCCTCCAATGTCAGTGCCTCCATAGACTGTAGGCAGAATCAGGAAGAATTAGAAGATCAGTGACAACACTGAGTCTACGGTGAGAGGAGCCAGCATTCTACAAGGGTCTACACAGTAAGAGATCTGTGTCAACACCATGGGTTGTATTGGATTTCATGAGCTGAGTTCTCAAATTACAAAGGCTTATTTTTCAGTTAATATTTGGGCATAACAATTAGATGTACTGGTGTTTTTGAGGTTTGGCATCAAATCCTCAGCATGATAACTATTCAAACACGGTAATCATTGTGACAAATAAGTAATGTTATAATGTCCTGATATCAGAAACAGGCTGGCCAACAGACTTGTATGTCTTTTTTTCCAAGAGTGAGTGAGATTGGCTTGATGCCGCTTTTACCAATATTCCAGCAATATTACGACGGCGGACACCAGAAATGGGCTTCACACATTGTACCCATGTGGGGAATCGAACCCGGGTCTTCGGTGTGATGAGCGAATGCTTTAACCACTAGGCTACCCCACCACCCTTTTCCAAGATAGTGACAGATGAATCAAAGAGTTAGATTCTTTCTCGATTGAGGATAACACTTTATGTGCCATATTACAGGAGGAAATTAAGACTTAAAGATATAATCAAAATCTAATATGAAACTTATTACTTGTGATCTAATCATACTGTGAAGAGCTAAGATTGCTTTTTCTGACCAGGTCATTCTGTGGTGATTCATTGTAATCCTGGCTGTAGTAGGACAGTTTAGGACGAGAAGCAGACGTCCTTGGCCGTGCAGGCCGTGCATGGTGGCGGTATGTAGCACTCTTTGGCGTAGTACAGAAGATCTTTACTGAATCTTTAACACATCGCTCGATGTCAATCTCTGGAGACACAGAATCAGATATATTAGGTTATTTAACTCCATATAACAAGGAAGATATGGACAAACATTTCCAAACAATCTGTCAACATCTACATATGTACCTGATGGTTCTAGCAAGACTGACTGACTGAGTTTAGTTTTACGCCGCTTTTAGCAATATTCCAGCAATATCACAGCGGGGGACACCAGAAATGGGCTTCACACATTGTGCCCATGTGGGGAATCGAACCCAAGTCTTCGGCATGACGAGCTAACGCTTTAACCACTAGGCTACCCCACCGCCCCGGTTCTAGCAAAAGAAGTACAAAGTTTTTGTGTGTTTGGTGTTCAATGCCACACTCAGCAAACATTTAGATATATCATGGCAATCTGTAATTAATCGAGTTTGGTTTTGACAATCCAGTGCTTGACGTCATGAGCATCATTCTATGAATTTTCATGGTTGAATTGAGGTGGCAAAGAAACGAAGCGGGTTTGTTTGAGAAAGCAGATATCTGATTGGCTGAAGAAACCATCCTTTGTTTTCATTGGATGGTGAAAGTTTGTTCACGCTGAGGTGTCCTTTCAAAGTAGAAATCTTTCAGTGAGCCTGTTATAGTACATAATGGTGTGGATTATATTCAAACACTGATTTGCTAGTCCAGAATTAGTGAAGAGGCTGCTGGGATACAACTGATATTACAACACACACAACACATTACAACTTACCTGGCATATCAGAAAAAAGCAGGATGCACTCATTGAACCCGAACGAGAGAAGACGATCCCTCAGCTGCTGAAGGATAGCTACACCAATGCATAGAGGGAGTGATGAGTTGCCTAGCAACAGTGTGTCCCACAGGTGCATGATCTTGTGAAGTGGAAATACATCTACAAGTACAAGAAATCCATGTCAAGACATCTTAAAAGTCACATGAAGTAATCATCGTCAGTGTCGTCTTCATCATTATCATTCTCATCATCAAGACTTCTGTTTGGTGCAAGTCTGATCTCAGAACAATTTTCTGAAACTGTTCATCCCTGTTTACAACAAGACATGGCAGCAGGATGTGCCTGAGCAAAGCAGACATATTCCCAGTCCAGCATATCTGCATCCATTACACCTCACATATTACTGTTAACCTCCAGCCTTTTCAAACAGTGCTACTTACGGGCATACATTGTAAGGAACCACGGAATGGCATAGAGCTGGAACAGAAAAAGTAAACAAATCAAATCAACAAGAACAAGTGTTTGCCACTGATATGGCAATGTGCCCCGTCGCTAAAGAATGGAATATCTATATTTACTACTTTTTATTTTTGGTCTCATACAAGAAGCTTGAAATGACTGGTGTCTGCATAATCACGAAATGTAGGCTGTCAATGTAATTGAAAACATTGAGTGCAATATTTTATGAGATATCGCGTTTAAACAAAGTTTGAAAAGCAGTCAAAGAGTTGTGGTGACCTTGAAGATAAGGTCAAAGTCACCCAAATTGACTGGTGTCTGGGTAATCCCCCAATGTAGACTTTCACCAAATTTGAAGACATTGGGTACAACAGTTCATGAGATATCGTGTTAACAAGAGTTTGAAAAGTGGTCAAAGTGTTGTGTTGACCTTGCAAATAAAGTCAAGGTCACCCAAATTGACTGGTGTCTGTGTAATCCCCCAATGTAGGCTGTCACCAAATTTGAAGACATTGGGTACAACAGTCCATGAGATATCGTGTTAACAAGAATTGGGGCGTACGGACAAACAGGCGTCTCTGAATACATACTGCCCCATTGCGCGTTGTGGCAGGGGGACAACCAGAATAGGGAAACTAATACAGCCATATGTCTTGATGCTTGATGTAATATGCCTAAATCAATGCATGGACAGTATGTTCTGAGATCCACCATATGCCTTAATACCAGGCTACACTGGCGACAGTTAATAGACCAACAAACCAGGTTACCATGGTAACAGCTACAGACCTATATACATGGTTATCCTGGCAACAGCTATAGACCTTCATGCCAGCCTACCCTAAAAACAGCTATAGATCTACATAACAGTTACCCTAGCAACAGCTATAGATCTACATGACAGGTTACCCTAGCAACAACTACATGTCAAAATGACAGACTGCCCAAGTACAGCACTGCCTTTACCTTAAAAAGATACCAGTACATTTATTTGAAAAATAGTTCACATTCTTCAACTGAAACAAACTTAATTGTTGTTTTAAATTAAAAACCCTGCCCAAATCCATCCGTTCCGCTGTATCCATGTATGTACAGACCACAATACCTACATCAGGGATGAAATACTTACATCAGGGATGAAATACTTACATCAGGGATGAAATACTTACATCAGGGATGAAATACCTACATCAGGGATGAAATACTTACATCAGGGATGAAATACTTACATCAGGGATGAAATACCTACATCAGGGATGAAATACTTACATCAGGGATGAAATACCTACATCAGGGATGAAATACCTACATCAGGGATGAAATACTTACATCAGGGATGAAACCAATGCCATCCAGGTGGTTGCCCAGCTCCGGATCATGGAATGAGATGAGGTGGGTGAAGACTGCCAGATACTCTGTGGACAGCCAATCAAATGACAGGTAATAATAAAGAAAAGATAGGTGTCTTTTACAGATAGGAAATTACTATGTAACTTTGTGTCTCCTTTATCTCCTCCACACACCAAGTCACAAGGAAATGTTATATTAAAATAATTTGTTCTTGCTTTTTATAGAGAGTGCAGGCAACTTCTACACATCAGTCAGCCATGATGCAAATTTGTCCCACTGACCTTGTACATACTCTGTCTTCAACATCTGTTTGATTCTGTGATGCCAGTGTAAGTGGATACAGTCAATGACTATAATATATCCAACTCCTTCATACCATTTTAGTGTGAGTCTTATTTACATAGTAGGACTTTCTTCAAACTGAAGATGGTGATAAGCACACTCTGTTAACTGTGCCTGGAGACTCTTACCCTGGATCACAGCTGAGTTGTCCTTGAGGAAGAACTTGTGCAGATACTTGGGGATGAACGAAGACAGGCAGGAGAATGCTAATGCTGGAATAACAAAATCATCAGCAATTAAAAATACTACAAGTCAACAAGACTCATTACTGACATTTCAAACTGGCATAATATTGAAAATAAATCAAAATGAGAAAGCAGAAGTAATCAGACTGCTTGACCATTTTCATAAAGATAAAAATCGACAAACAGTAATATATGACAAGACAGAAAGTCCTAGAACAAAAATGAATTGCCCGTGGACAGTTCTTTGTTTGTATGTGATTTTATGTTGAAATTCAGCAATATTTCAGCTATATGACGATTACCTGTAAAACTGACCACAATACTGAATAGATATTAAAATTAGAAACACATGAAGTCACATTTCCTGCTTGTTTTCATAAAGATAAAGGGAGATAAACAGCAGTACATACAAAGAGGACTGAGGCAGTTTGGGAACGTGAGTTACTATGGTGAGATGTTTGTGCAACATTCTAGCTAAAGGATGGTGACCTTGAGACTGGACTAGACAATCAAATGATGAGAAAAGCAAGATTTATGGATGTCAACTTCTTTATTGTGAATAGCATGGCGTTTAGGAGTGTATGCTTGCTAATTCATCAGCATACATTCTGAAATATCATGTTATTCACAATAAAAAAGTTGACTTCCTAAGATCTTGCTTTTCTTGTGCATTCCACTTCTAAATGCCCTTCAAAGATTTGAACTAAATGATGGATTTCATCTTTTATATCTCCCGGGTGTAAATGAACTATGGAATATGGACCATGTAGGTCATTTTACACAAATGCTTAAAATCTATTTTGCAATCAACACTGTCACTGAGTTTGACCACCCAATGCCTTAAGCTACTGGTTACAACCAGCATGGGTTACGAGGAAGCAGATCTAACTAGGATCCCCACTGAGAGGGGTGTTTACCTTCATTGTTGAAGTTGAGGGCCAGGAATGGGGCACACAGGGAGTCCAGCCCCTGCCAGTAGACATACTCCGGATGACTAACAACCCATGCCTTGAGGATGCGGCGGAACTTGGTGTGAGCTGCTGGTGAGGACAGGAGTTCATGGTACTGGTGACAGCGAGGAATGTCAACCTCGATCTGTGGATGAAAAGAAACAAATGTGAACCGGGACTGTGGAAGAAATGAATGTGTGAACCTCCATTGATGTAATATCTAGTTTGAAATACATCATAGAATTCAACAGATAAATACACATGATTTGAATAACTTGAATCAAAGTTGTTGGATCAGAGTGAGTGAGTCTGCCAACAGTACAAAGTCTGTCTCCCCTCTGAACCTCCCAAGTTAACAGTGCTGATGTGTGTCATAACTCACCTGTCTGTCTGTGGCTGTTGGGGTTTCTTTGTCGATGGAGTCATATAGAGCCTCGATGTCACCCTGGGTGGGCACATAAGAGGAGTTACAGCATGTAAACAGGATCACATGAGGTCACGGTTTAACATTTCAATCAAAAATATTTTGCCTTTACAGCGGCGTGAAAGGATATGGCTGCTTCTACTAGTCTGAACTTATGTATGCCCCTGAAGTCCTTACTTTAAAATCAACTACTCAGTTTATACCTTGATTACATTTGATTACTTAAACAGATAGTTCTGTGGAATATATGATCAGCATACTTTCCTACCTCCACCTCCAGGAGAGTGGCCAAGACATGTGCACGTACTAGAGGAGGGATGTCCACTCAGTACTTTCATTAACTTATACAGATGGTTTTGTGGAATATATGATCTATTCAGTTTCCTACCTCCACCTCCAGAAGAGTGGCCCAGACATGAGCACGGACTAGAGGAGGAATGTCTACTCATTACTTTTGTTAACTTATACAGATAGTTATAATTATATATAATAGGATATATATATAGCGCACATATCCATGTATCTAATAGTTTTGTGGAATATATGATCTGCTTAGCTTCCTACCTCCACCTCCAGGAGAGCAGCCCAGACGTGAGCACGGACTAGAGGAGGAATGTCTACCCGTGCCTCCTGCCAGATGTGTGGTCGCTTGTATGGGTACGCTTTTAGCAGCCTCTCGTACAGGATGATGCGATGGAACTGGAGAGCATCATTTATAACTCAGCTCAAACAATGATCAATAAATATGTATCAAATTATCTTTGTCTTACGTAAACCTTATTTGTCCTAACTTCAGTCACTAAGGAATATAATAGTTCAACTTGGAAGAATATAAGTGAAGCCTCGTTAATCCGGACGGTTGCGTTTCTCAGTAAATTCGTCCGGATTGCGAATAGTCCGGACTACTGAATCAAGACCCAAGATGCTTCCCTAACTATTACAAAAAACGACACGAATCTAGATAAAACAAATAAGCATTTAATGTAAAGCTTATTGAATTCATCACATCAATAATTTTACCGAGTGACATCCGCATGTTGATCCGACGTGTCTGATCACGTCCTTCCTCAGCACAGGTGAGGTAATGTCTAACAAGCGATCTATTGTAGTATGCCTTGAATGTCCGAATTATTCCTGCATCCATCGGTTGAATATGAGACGTGGTATTTAGTCACATTTCTCAAAGTTAGCGAAGCATACTTGTGACTTGCTGCATTGTCGTAAAGCAAAATCACTTTAAGTCCACGTGACCGCATCTGTCTGTCAAAGTACATTAACCAATCACAAAACAGCTCACTTGTCATCCACGCCTTTGTATAGTGGTGTCAATCAAAGTGTAAATGTACAGTATCTTCAGTCGGGAGCTTTTAATGTCTAATTAAAACAACTACCCAGTTGGCCAGTTAATTAAGTAAACATCGCCGGGAGGTGTTGTTACGGTTCGTGAACACAACTTACCATGTCCGGACTGTGAAGCAATTTACTGTTTATTTTACTGATTGGTGACAGCTACTTACCGTCCGGTTCGCGAAACCGAATTTCCGGATTATCGAGGCAAATTATATAGGCATAGATTGGTAACAAGCTGAAATCGCCTGGGAGCAAGACATCCGGGTTATCGGAGTCCGGACTAACGGGGCTTCACTGTATATCTTCTCTTTTTTGGCCATGCCACTCACGGTAAAATATTGATGTGATATTGTCATGAATCTCTGCATCAAAACACAAATAACTCAGTGAACGTAACAAGAGAGAGTCTTATATAAATGGAATTAAATGTTAAAAATATGTAAGTTCATGAACAAAATTCAGCAATCCAAAATGTTGCTGTGCACAGGAAATTGGTTGGCGACATTACTTCAACTTAGCAACAAGGGAGTGGGAGATATTTCCCCTTTACTGACCTTGGTCAAGGCCCAATTAAGCATGGGGCCCATTTAGGGTTTAACTAATAAAACAATGACAACACTTTGAACACCCTTTCCTTCAAAGTACATCATTGATCCATTTCCAAACTGTAAACATGATGCTTAAGAAAATGGCAAGAGGAATCACCTGGTACTCTACATCCTTCTCACGGATGACAAGGGGGAGGCTGGCGGTGTCGGTCAGGTCGCCGCTGCTCGGAGACGTTGGCAACCCAGCAGATGTTGTGCTGGACCTGAGAAAATGGTTCCATGTGTTATGGTAGCTCGAGCGGAACAGGTTTTGAAGCCATGATCATTATTACTTCCCCCACACAGCAATGTACATGTACACAAGTGTCGCTGTTTGTACCAGTCTGGACTTTCACTGCTTTTATAATGCTACATTACTAACATGCCCTGGTTTAACATAGATACCCAAATCAGACATAGTTTACTGGCTCCCACACTTTATTTTCTCCAAATATTATTCAACTGTATGTTTTCGAACATTATACATTTTTGGAGGGCAGTGTTTACTCATGCCAGAACAAGGTGGGTTGCTTCACACAGACATTGCAAATACTCGGATGATGGCTTGTCTTTAAGATGAAGTTGTTTCTGACAAGTAAGTGACATCTTTCACAATTGTTCATGCAATAATCAAGAAACATGTAATTTTTAGAGTAAAATTGATATTTTATACTTATCCTGACTCATGCTTATTGCTTGTCTTCGTCTTCTTTGCGAACATAGTGGAACACGTGTATTTCCCTATTGAAGTTCCCTTCAATAAAAAATCACTAATTAGAACTCACCACGAGTTACCTCCCTTCCACAAGCGCGGGAACGAGGGCGCCACCTCCACCCATGTGCCTCACTCTCTCCTCATATACTGAGCCCAACATTTGAATTTTCAGGGAAATCCAAAGTGTTATGTGGGGAGGATGGGAGGGCTTACCTCATGAGTCAGGATAAGTATAAAATATCAATTTTACTCTAAAAATTACATATTTTTCCTTATCCTGACTCATGCATATTGCTTGTAGAATCCGACGGAAAAGGAGGTGGGAATATATAATACTTTGGATTTTATTAATTAGTAATTTGAACTGTGATGATTGTAATAACCCTATGGGAACTTCATAAAGGCACTGAACTGATGAATTCCTGCTGCTAACTTATCAGCTGCCATATAAAGGTTATTACAATTTACTTATTATGATAAAAGTATATATAACATTAATACAATGCTTAAGACTAATAGACTTAAGCTTGTTAATATGATAGCATAAACTCCTTAGAGTTTGTTAGCTAAAATACTTTTATGATATAAACATAGTACTGAGCTTAAGATATGATTAAACTTAAGCTAAATATAAAATAGCAAAAACTCCTTAGAGTTTGTTAGCTAATATACTTATATGATATAAACATAGTACTGAGCTTAAGATATGGTTAAACTTAAGCTATGTATATAATAGCAAAACTCCGTAGAGTTTGTTAGCTAATACATTTTATAATGTAACCATAATGCTTAAGATATGATGAAACTGAAGCTAAATATATAATAGCAAAAAACTCTTTAGAGTTTGTTAGCTAATATACTTATATGATATAAACATAGTACTGAGCTTAAGATATGAATAAACTTAAGCTACATATATAATAGCAAAAACTCCGTAGAGTTTGTTAGCTAATATATTTTTATGATATGAGTATAGTATCCTCGAGTCATCTGTTTTCGTTCAACATCTGTTTTCGGTCGGCCGTTTGCGTGTTCATTTCTCGCGGTTATTAGCGAGATTTTACGTCACCTGACAGGTTATTTTTAGCAGGAGGTCGACTGCTTCAGCTCTGACTAACAAAATGCTTCGTGTGAAATTTAGTAAGGTACATGATTGCAAACACACGTAAATGTTACGTTTTAGAACCAAGTTTACTAATGCATAAATTTTCATGTAATCAAAATGCTATATCTAAAATATCGTCAGCTCCACCTTTTCAGTATAGCGTCGTCTGCTTGCTTATAGTATGACGTATTATTATCCCATGACATATCACGTTGGCGTTGCCATCGTAAAAAATATATGGAAACTAGATAGGGTCATCTCTTATTACGATTTTCCAAATACTCATTTAATTTTCAAACTGCAGTTAATATATTTCTGTGTCATGGGCCCAGTGTAGTCATCCTGCATGCTGTCATTGGGTCCACCTCAAGCTGTGCATCTCCGTATGTGTAGTGAGATCTTCTGATGAGTTTTGGTGCCCTTGTCAGCACGAACCGGAGGAGTGAAACATGCCTGGACATGTGATGTAACTAGCTGAAGTCTTATCATGATTAACTTTGACATGAAATTATTACGACCATAGTTTCTAATAATTATTATTGGAATTATTACAAATATTCTTTTGGACTGGATGTTTATTAACTTTATATTATAAAAATATCAGCATAGCACGAATACTGTTATTAGATTCGTGTTTTACGGAGAACCAATGAAGTGAACGAAAACAGATGACGTCATTTCCGCATTCAGGATCTTTGTGTAGCGAACTACGAGGCCTGCTGTGCGGGTGAAACACGAGGTTAATCCGTCAGATATTTGAATATCATAAATAAATAACAAACAAACGAGGTAGGTTTGTTTATTATCGATTTATTTATGCACTTAATGTTACGTTGGTCGACAATCCTTACATGACCGAAAACCGAATACACAAGGATACTGTGCTTAAGATATAATTAACTTAAGCTACATATATAACAGCAAAAACTCTGTAGAGTTTGTTAGCTAATACATTTATAATGTAACCATAGTACTGAGCTTAAGATATGATTAACTTAAGCTAAATATATAATAACAAACTCCGTAGAGTTGTTAGCTTATATATTGTATGATATAATAACCATAGTACTGAGCTTAAGATAATAAAAGAACTTAAGCAAAATATATATAGCATGTAGCTATTTAGTACTGTTATAAGATAAGTAGAAATCTGTAAGATTGACTTATCTTCTCCGAGGAACTGTCAACTGTTGTGCGAGGACCATGGGACCGAATTGGTGGATACCTGAGACATCCTCGGTGGTGATATCTCTCAGATAGTGGTTGGCAAACACCATATCGGATCTCCAGAAATAACCCTCCATTATGGTATTTCAATAGCACTTGCCGTGTAGATCAAGTGTAGATGTTAGCGCTCTAATATCATGAGGATTAGAAGCTCTTGGAGGGTCGAGTCCTGCAGTCTTGTAGGCACGTAGTATGACAGTTCTGATCCAAAGGAGATAGTAGTACGTGAGACTTCAGTCTGCGTAGCTTGTTGATAGAGGAAATAAATCTCTTGAATTTTTCCCTCCTGTTTGGCTCGGTGGAGATATATTTTCAGTGCTCTTACTGGCCATCGTGATAGATTCATCGTATCATGGGGTCCAAGTATATCATCAAAGCGTGTTCATAAACTTCACTTGTGAGGTGTTGGAGCACTATATTCAGATCCCAAGTTGGAGCGTGAAACTTCCGTTTTAATCCTCCAATTGGAAAGCTCGTGTAGCAAGGCGCGAGTAACTGGGTTAAGGTTAACTTGACCGCTTCTCAGTTATGACAGAGCTATTGCTGCAAGATAGGTGGACAAGTTGAGCCTTTTAAAATCTTAGTCTGATGTAGATAACATAAGTAGTCAGCCACTTGAGGATGAGTAGCATATCTAGCTGTAAATCCTTTCTTTGCAGCATAATTGACAAAACTGTGCCATTTGTCATCGTTATAAGTTGCAAGTTGAGTTACATGCAGGGCAAGCTAGACTGCTTTGCAGCTCTGGCTGAATAACTTGTTATTCAGACACGCTTTGATACAATCCCTCGTGAAGTTGGAATATTTCTGGCTTTCCGTGCGGATGTATTAACAGATTCGAGCACTCTGTAAGATGTAGTATTGGTTGTCCGATTTCTTGAATAAGAGTTGGAAACCACGTTCTCGCTGGTCAGTAGGCCGCGACCAAATTCAGATGGAGGCTCTGCGTTTGACTGATTTAGAGTAAACTTGCGAGATTAACGCTGGTGGCGGAAAAGCGTACGCGTTGAGTCCTTCCCATGATATGCTTAGTGCGTCTGTTGCCAATGCTAGTGGGTCTGGAACTGGCGATACGAATGTGTCAGTTGTTTGTTGAATCGAGTGGTAAATAGGTCTATTAGTGGAGTTCCTATTTCCTTGATAATTTGAATGAATATCTCTGTAAGGAGCATTCATTCTGTCGGCGATGGTATGTGTGGCTGAGGGAGAGCGTCTGCTATCACATTCTTTGCTCCTGGAATGTGATATGCTCTGACATGTATGTTGAGATTGTCGATTAAATCGAACAATTGAAAACATAGAGTCGATAGGTTCGGGGACCTGGTTGAGCTTAGTTTGTTCACATAAAAACGCCACTGTCGAATTGACTGTGTGAATCATCCACTGGGTATACTGTAGTAAGTTGCTCCAGTGCATTAAGGCGTTTAACACTGCTTGCATCTCTAGCAGATTTATGTGTAATTTGCTCTCTTGATTGCTCATAGCCCTGATGCCATCCTGTTGGCAAGATGGGCTCCCCAACCTTGTAGCGACACATCTACGTAGAGAAGTGTTATCGATTCCAGCTCTATTAACGAGGCCTATTCAAACATTCGATCTCTTGGTCCACCATAGTAGATGAGGTTTGACCTGAACCGGTAAATTGAACGATAGAGATTAGCCTAGATGCGAATTGATGATGACTTGTAACGGATGTAATTGTAGTCTGCCTCCTCCGCCTCTGCCTGAGCTGAAGTGCGTAACCCCAACAGGCTCTGCCACTGTCGTAGTGGTAGCGGAGAGAGTAAGGCTTGTGGAATTGACTGTTGGATCTTGATCCATGGTCCTCCGGTACATTTATACGATTCTGCGCCGTTACAAATCAAAAACCTAGAATTAGCAGATCTTGCGAAGGTTCTAGGTCCAACTTAGGTAGGTTTACTAACCATCTAGTTGTGTTAGTAGCTTGATGATGAAATTCAACTGTAGTCTGAGATGCTGTGGATTTGGATCCACTTGTATCCCGTCGTCTAGGTAAATTCGCTGCGAAGTCCTTGACGATGTAGGTGCACAACCAGGTTTGACTGCCATCGTTGAAATCGCCTGACTGCCGTGCCCTCGTCCTTACTTGACAGGGGAGGTCTCTAAACTCAAGAAGGCAGCCCAATCATGAAGGTTCAGATTAGCTGGACTGTAAGGAGGCTTGCTCGTTCACTGATATATTGTTGTCACTTGCAACCTAAGTCTTGAACTGTGAACTATGATCGACCTCTGCGTAGGGCTTTGTCCATCGCGGTCCAATCAGAACAAGGCATTTTGATTCTGTAGAGTACCCGCGCTGTGATGTCACCGGTGTAGCAGGAAAAGGAACCTTGTATAATATAGTGCCGTCGTTGATATTAGAACAATCGTCGGTCTTCACCGTAGCTTCCCGAAGTTACCCGAGTGACCACGTGTTTCAAGGGTTAATGGTAAACGCGCGAACCTCCGGAGCGAAATACCTCGCTCTGTAATATTAATGCTGGGTAGGTTATTTTCCTGGCTGTCGTGAAAGTAACTTCAGTCTTGAAGATAATTCCGACTTCCTTATATAAAGGTCCAATAAAACTTGCAAATTGTCAGCTTGTAGACTGTATACATGAATGTATCGTCATAAATGTAGAATTAAAGCTGAACTTGTACATATTTCTTCTCAGAAATCGTTGACGATTATGAGTTATACTCGCTGTAACAAGGCTGCTGTTCAATTTCGTTATTGAATTGTCTGCAGATCTGCGTAATGGTCACACATGTAGATAATCGTATCGTAGTCCGGGATTGCATACCTAGCAATCTATACGGAAAAGTTGATTCCTGTGAAGATCTACGAAACGTCGTTGATGCCATGGTGTAGGTAGTCGGCTTGAAGATCCTTAATTAGGCTCTTCATCTGTTGATAAAATAATACAGCGACGTTCTGTGTTGTAAATATATGACGAGTGGCTAGTATATGGAGACCTTGGAGGAGACTTCCTCGGCGAACGCCGGGGACTTCGTGAAGCTCTCGAAGTATCCCTTCTAGATCTTCTGGGTGAAGTAGACTTGGAGCCACTTAGCCTTTCGCGACCTTCGCGAAAGTATCTAGTCAGAGTCCGATCAATATATGAGCTCTTGCTTCGCGAACGACCTCTGTGTTCTACAGGGTGTGGGCTCGGCGAAGCGCTCCTCTCCGCGATGTCCCTCGCAACTGGTGAGGCTCTAGCTCCTTCGCGGAGGCGGCCTGGGACTTCCTTAGCGAAGTGTCTAGAGTCCGATCAATATATGAGCGCTTGCTTCGCGAAAGACCTCTGTGTTCTACAGGGTGTGGGCTCGGCGGAGCGCTCCTCCTCCGCGATGTCCCTCGCAACTGGTGAGGCTCTAGCTCCTTCGCGGAGGTTCAATATATGAGCGCTTGCTTCGCGAACGACCTCTGTGTTCTACAGGGTGTGGGCTAGGCGAAGCGCTCCTCCTCCGCGATGTCCCTCGCAACTGGTGAGGCTCTAGCTCCTTCGCGGAGGCGGCCTGGGACTTCCTTAGCGAAGTGTTCGCTATGGGCTGGATTGCCCTTCGCGGAGGCGTGTTTGTGGGCTCTGGGGCCCTACGCGAAGCCAAGGCGGGCTCTGGGGCCCTGTATGACTTATTATGGGTTGGGCTCTGGGGCCCGTGGCTCTTGGGCCTCTGTAAACCGTAACGGTCCTCCATCAGTCTCATGATTTGGTTGACCAGGTCGTCTGGGATGGTCTGCGCTGGCGTTGAGGGTGTCCTCTCTGTGATAGTGACGGGACCCTCAGTTATAATCTCCGGCGTCAGCGTAGGCATCTCTGGTTGCATGTTGATCTGCGCTGAAGTGACGGTAGCCGATACCGGTCACTTCTGATAACGTACATCTGGAATGATAATCGGAATGTCATCATCATATAAACATAATTCTGAATATCAGAAGCAAAGTTTTTTAGTAGCCTTCGTGGATTTCCCTTTTAGACGGCTGTAGACCTGGGGGTTGAATGCGCACGTTGAGGCGAGCGTGGAAGCTCTTCTAGTCTTAGATTGTGATGAAGGAACATCCTGGGATGCAGGTCGCTTCTAGGATATAGCGGACTCGTCCCAACTTATCTCCGAAGGTAACTCAGGATATATCTGACTCTGATCTATTAGCCATGACTGAAGATTGTTTCCGAGATCTATCTGCCATCCGTCACAAGACGGAATATAAATATTTATCAAAGGCAGAATTAGACAAATTAATACATAATTTACAGCGTGAAACAATAGAGCATGGAGATATGCAACTAGGGCATTTTAATTGCGGATCGGTTGCAGAGTAACGTAATTTACAAACAGTGCAGATTTTTTATTAACGCAAACTGCTGAGCAAACACGGCGAACCGTGAATCAAGCAGCAGAAACACGAATAATTATCAATGCATGTTGAATAAGGATACTAATTACACCTCTATAGATGAATATAAGAGGTAACAAACTAAATATAAATAAAGGATATAGTGTGCAGGGAGACACAGGTGCTCTCACGTCTTGCTCACTGGGCAAAGAAGGAGAGTGTGAGGCACATAGGTGGAGTTGGCGCCCTCGTTCCCGCGCTTGTGGAAGGGAGGTAACTCGTGGTGAGTTCTAATTAGTGATTTTTTATTGAAGGGAACTTCAATAGGGAAATACACGTGTTCCACTATGTTCGCAAAGAAGAAGAAGACAAGCAATAAGCATGAGTCAGGATAAGAAAAAATAATGGATGTTCTTATGCATCCCAAACAAATGACATGAGGATACTTCTGAATGACAAACAAGGAATAGTAAGTACTGTCTTTTGGTATGATGTTGCTAGGAGATTGAATAAACATCTGACCTGATATACCACAATCTGCTTTTTTGTTTTATTCACTTATTGTAAAAGCACTATAAGCACTCTGTGAAGTTCTCCTGTCATGTCTATCACAGTAATCACCATGATACTGTACCAGGTTAAAACTATAACAAATCTTCACAATGATCAGCATACAGTGGTGCAGAAGACAACTTACTCATCTTCCAGCAGAGGGTAATATGCTGTCTCCTCAATGTCCTTCAGTCTCTGTCAAAGAAATAAACTCTGATGCTAGAATTATATTTTATGTAAAACCATTCAATAGCAACAGGTGTATTTTGTCTTGGAATTCCCTAATCCCTCATTTACAAACCTTGGTAGAACTTGCAAGAAATTTTACACATTTGAAGAATAACAACTGTCCCTTTCCCTTGTAACTCAGCTTGTGTCCCTTTATCATTATCGCATATATATTCCTGAATAATCTCCCTTACACTAACATACACTTATGAGTTATCTCCCTTACATTATTATCTACATGTATGCATTTGAATGATATCTTTTCCACTAATATCACCTACATTTCGGAGCTGTTCCTGTGACAAGATGACAACAGTATTTTCCAGGAGTTCTGCATCGTCCCTCGGCTTGCCGTACACTTCCGCTTCGGGACTCACGTAGCTTAATGCAGAGAGGAATACAAATTATAATTACTAATAATAAAATTTCGCTTTCTTATTGTCCAATCACTGTAAAAGCCATAACATACTGGTAGCTGAAGAGAAGAGACATCATGATGTCATTGTGTCTGACGTGATGTCACATCTGGATGGATCTGCACTTTGATTCTTGACACTTCAAGTGTAGCCTATTGCCCTATGATTCAATGAATTAGGTTTGTTTTGTGCAAACAATTGGCATGTTCTATCACTTCTTTGTGATGTTTGCAGGATTTATTATTACCTGCACAATACAAATCCTTAAGAATATATGATGACAAAGAATTATTCATAAATTTTACATCCAACTTATAGCTTGACATACATTTTGCAAATAATTCACAACAATGTCTCTTGTCATTACACTAAACATATTGTCTCCTCATATCCCGTAGTAGGTCTTTGTGTTTCTTACCTTGGCAGTAGTGTTATGGGAGGGTTGGTCTTAATGAGGCCAGCTTTCCGCAGCGCCGTCTCCAGGTCACCACCAGCGAGTCTCCACAAGTAATAAACTTCTTCCATGCTTCTTTCCGACAAATGGTCTTCACATAGATCTTGAGGATTGAGACAAAAGGAAACATTCTAATACTCGTTACATTTGATGGGCTACACGATACATCATTTCTCATTTTGTATAAAAATAAGGACATATATGAATATGCAATCACGATATCAGAAACATGCATCATTATCCAGCTTACTTGAAAATAAGCTATCATCAAATGATAATGCATAATATTTGGAATATCAAAACAAATACACTGAACTGTCCACAACAAAATAAGGTTATCATTGACGATGACCAGTGGCTTAAGCCATTTAGACATCTTGGACATATTTCCTGACGTTTTTTCTAAAATTAACAAATCCTGGAAAACAAAAGTGTAATCCTGACCATTGATGTTGGCATCTTCATTGAGAACTGGCAACTCAAGGTCGGCACATCGCAGGTGGGCAGAGAAGAGAGGGTATCCATTCTTGTACGGGATCTGTAGTCAGCACAACACAAATCATGCACAAGAACAGTATCCTGTGGTCCTTATATTTTATATTGAATTGTAAGCTCTTTTCCTGTAGGAAATATGTAATTTTCTGAATAAAATTGATATTTAATACTTATCCTGACTCATGCTCTTTTTTGCTTGTCTTCTTCTTCTTGCGAACATAGTGGAACACTTGTATCTCCCTAATTGAAGCTCCCTTCAATTCAAAATCACTAATCAATACTCACCAAGAGTTGCCTCTCTTTGCCCCTTTTGGCGGGAAAAGTGGCGCCTCCACATCCCACATGCTTCACTCTCTCCTGTTTAACGAGCCCGACACTTGAATTTTCAGGGAAATCCAAAAGTGTCATGTTGGGAGGATGGGAGGGCTTACCTCATGAGTCAGGATAAGTATAAAATATCAATTTTATTCAGAAAATTACATATTTTTCCTTATCCTGACTCATGCTCTTTTTTGCTTGTAGAATCCGACGGAATCCGAGGTGGGAACAGATACTTTGGATTTTAATTAGTGATTTAGATGTAATAACCCCCTACGGGAACTTCATAATGGCACTGTAATTAAATTAATTTCTGCTGCTATCATACATAAGTTCCACCAGCTGCCATAGATGGGGGTACTACAATATTAAAATAATATAGGAATAAGCGACTCCAAAGTGGAGAAGCGACCCAATAGTACATGTAACATAGGTACTGGGTTTTAAGACTAATGTAGGACTAGATTTCCAAAAGCAGCCCTCCATAATGGTATTCAACGAGCAATTTCCATGTAGAACGAGTGTCAAGCCAGTGCTCTGATTTCGTGAGGATTAGATGCTCCTGGAGTCCTGCAGCCTTGTAGGCTCGAAGTATGACAGTTCTGATCCATATCGATATCGTGGTACGTGAGACTTCGGTCTCAGTCGCTGTAGATAGAGGGATGAATAACCGCTTGAGTTTTCTTCGCCTCGTTTTGGATCGTTGTAAATAAACTTTGAGTGCTCTCACTGGGCATAATGATAGATCAAGCGTATCATGAGGTCCGAGTATCGAGGAAAGTGCAGGGACGTGGAATAATCTGTCTGGTTGACCTGGCATTTGATTCTTGGCGATAAAGTCCCATCGCAGTCCCATATGCACTGTGTTTTGATTCTCATCAAAACGTGTTCTCTCGTAGTCTAGAGCATGGATTTCTGATACTCTGGCTGCCGTTGCTAGGGATAGCAGGAACAGTGTTTTCTGCATCAGAAATTCGAACGATGTTGATTTCAGTGGTTCATAAGCCTCACTTGTGAGGTGTTGGAGCACTATATTTAGATCCCATGCTGGAGCGCAAAATCTCTGTTTCTGATCCTCCAATCGGAATGAACGTAGCAAGGCCAGTAACTCAGGCGTTTTCGTTACCTTGACACCCGTTCTCATAGTTATCACTGCGAGATACGTAGATAGTGTCGAGCCTTTTAGACGTTTGGTTTGTCGTAGGTGACAAAGGTAGTCTGCCACTTGAGGGTGTGTAGCATTTCTAGCTGTAAATCCCTTTTTTGCAGCGTATGTCTCAAAACTGTGCCACTTGTCATCATACAAGTTGCGCGTAGAGTTGCGCAAAGCAAGCGTGACTGCTTTTGCCGCTCTGGCTGAATAACCTCTCTTGTTTAAACACACTTTAATACAGTCCATACGTGAAGTTGGAATGCTCCTGGGTTTTCGTGCGCTTGTTTTGTGTGAGGGTGTACAAGTAGATTCGAGCGCTTTGGTAGTTGTAGTATTGGTTGTCCGATTTCTTGAATTAGAATGGGAAACCACGTTCTCGCTGGCCAGTAGGGCGCGACCAAAATCAGTTGAAGGCTCTGAGTTTGTCTGATTTTCTGTAACACCCTTGGTATTAGCGCTGGCGCCGGAAACGCATACGCGTTGAGGCCTTCCCAGGATATGCTTAGAGAGTCCGTGACCCACGCTTGTGGATCCGGGACTGGTGAGACGAATGTTGTTAGCTGATTGTTGAAGCGAGTGGTGAATAGGTCTATTAATGGAGCTCCTATTTCCATGATAATCTGAGCGAAGATTTCTGGGTGGAGTTTCGATTCCGTTGGTGACAGTAGATATGGCCGAGAGAGTGTGTCTGCTAGTACATTCTTGGCTCCGGGAATGTGGCATGCTCTGACATGAATGTTTAGATCGTCGATCAGATCGAACAGTTGGAAGCATAGAGTCAATAGGTTCAATGATCTCGTTGAACCTTGTTTGTTTATATAAAACGCCACTGTTGAGTTGTCGGTGTGGATCATTAGGTGCGCATTCTGTAGAATGGTGCTCCAATGAAGTAGGGCGTTGATTACTGCTTTCATTTCGAGCCTGTTTATGTGCAGTTTGCTCTCTTCTTGGTTCCATAACCCTGATGCCGTCCGGTTGGCGAGATGAGCTCCCCAACCTTGGAGCGACGCGTCTACATAGAGATGGGTTTTGAACTCCGGCTCTGTTCAATAGATGCCTTCGCAAACATTCGACCTCCTGGTCCACCAAAGTAGATGAGGTCTGAGGTAATTGATGAGGACCTGTAACGGGCGTAACTGTAGTTTGCTTCTGGCTGTCATGTCTTGTGCTGACGTGAGGAGACCCAACAGACTCTGCCACTGTCGTAGTGGTAACGGAGAGAGTTAGGCTTGTGGAATGGTCTGTTGGATCTTGAGCCATCGGTCCTCTGGTACGACGATATGATTCTGTGTCGTGAGGAATCGAATGCCTAGAAATTGCAGGTCTTGCGTAGGTTCTAGGTCCGACTTGAGTAGATTCACTAACCATCCTAGCTGTGTTAGTAGCTTGATGGTGAAATTCAGTTGTAGTTTGAGACGCTCTGGATCTTGATCTACTTGAATCCCGTCGTTGAGGTAGAACGCACTGCGTAGCCCTTGACGATGTAGGTAAGTGACGATGGGTTTCGTTACTCTTGTGAACAACCAGGGGGCCGATGATATTCCAAATGGTAGTACCTTCCATTGGTAATGTAGCCCATCTAGAGTAAACCGTAGGTACTTCCTCAAGTCGGGATGTATCGGGATATGCAGGTAGGCATCCTGTAGATCTATACTGGCCATGTAGTCCATCGGACGAACGAGGTGCAGTAGATGAGGTAGATGTATCATGTGAAACGCTGGCGGTTTGCGTAGATAATCCCTGTTGAACGTGCTCATGTTGTAGATGAGTCGGAACTTTTCCTTGGAATTTTTCTTGGGCACTAGGAAAACTGGGGAGTAGAAACCTGGCTCGATGTTTACTTGATCCACGATTTCTATGGCCTACTTGGTTAGGAGAGATGAAACAGCTTCTCGTAACTTTAGTAGTTGTTGTGCCTGGAAGTCGAACTTGTAAGGGTTGACTGTAAGCGGAGGTGTGGCCTGTAGTTGGATTCGATATCCGTGTTGAAGGATGTTGGAGACATATGGATCTTGTAGTATTCCCCAGTTCTCCCAGTGCAGTTGAAGGCGTCCACCCACTTGTGAAGGTTCTACAGGAACGGCTGGGGGTGGAAGACTCCAGTCCTTTTCGAACCCGTCTTTCATCGTCGATAGTTGTGGGAGCCTCTGGGTGCCCTGCCTCTTCCAGATCCTCCCCTGTAGTTGCCAAATGGGCGGCGAAAAGAGTCCTTTCCACCTCTGGATCTGGCCATCTTCCTGTCCCGTGCTCTCTGTAAACCAGTGAACTTCGATCTTCGAGGAGTATCTCTGTGATGTCTGCTTGATGACGCTAGTCAGAGTGTCAATCGATTTAATCATGAGGACTTCTCTTGAATCCTTGATGACTTCTTTAGAGACTTTATCAATTCCTCCAGCGAAGATGGAAGGCGTTGACCATGGGGCTGTGAATAGAGGTGCTGTGAACTGTTCACCCCAACTACAGGTGGTGAGGTGACCTTGACGACGAGCCTGAGTAAGAGCTGCTGAGATGGATGAAAGGTGATCCGTCAAGAATTGCTGGTCCTTCTTCTGTATAAGGAGGGCCGAGTATATCATTCTGTCGTCTTCTGATGTAGAATCTCGGAATCTAGTGATGAGAGTTTCATTAATAGTTCTGGATCTGTTGAGGCCGAAAAACATTCTTCTGGTCATAGTTTCGACTTGAGCCAGCTTGCGATCCTCGATCTTGTACGTCTTGGCCTTGGCATCGTTGATGACTTTAAAGTTATCGTCGATTTCTTGAGCTTTGTAGAATGGGTCCATGTATGAGCAAAGAACTTCTTGGCGTTGAACTGAGGTAAGTGCGGCGCCTGAGCTTTAGTGGCTGTTTGGAAAGCTGTATCCAAGTTCTGTGGAACCGTTGCTATAGGGTCAATCGGAGGTAGGGTGATCGTGTCTGTGTCGTCCTCCCTCATGAGATAGGTGTGAGCCAGGTTGTTGTCTTTAGACGGCGAAGCCAGGTCCAGGTTGTTGGCCATCCAGTAGCGTATCTCTGCGTCGGAGAATATGATGCCTCCATCATCTTCGGTATCCGGAGCGTTGGTAAGAGGCCGATGATACTCTTCCGATGGTGACTGAGGTGGAGTTCTGTATACTTGAAGAACTGTGCATGGCGACGTATGAGGAGACCTGACTGGAGACTTTCGCGTATGAGGCGATCAACGAGGTGAACGGCGAGGCGATCGACGTGGAGAACGGCGAGGAGATCGACGTGGAGAACGCCCTGACGAGCTGCGTCTGTAAGGTAACCTTTGCGGAGATCTACGTTGTGGTGAACGACGATAGCCTCGCGAAGCTCTTGGGGAATCCCTCGATGACCTTCTAGACGAAGATGACTTGGAGTCTGTAACTGGAGTCCTTCGCGAAGGCTCAGGTCCTGGGCTGGTTGTTTCTTCTCCAGTCCGTAGCGGTCTTCCATCAACTTCTTAATTTGTTGAACCAGGTCGCCCGGGACGGTCTGCGAAGTTGTAGTAGCTGCCCTATCTGCGTTGGTAGCGACGGGACCCATGGGAAGTTCGTCTAGTCCTCAGCGTTGATACATCGGGCTGATTGAGGATCTGCGCTGACGTCACTGTAGCTGACACCGGTCGTTTCTTGCGATGAACATCAGGTATGATGAGCGGCTGCTCATCATACAGGCCCTGTTCTGCGGCGGGAACAATCTCGGCTGAGAAAGTTCTTGCTGACTGCGTTGTTTTCCCCTTGGTAGTAGACGCTGCCCTGGGGTGCGGAGTCTGCGTTGTGACGTAGATGCCCTCTTAGTCTTAGGCTGCGACGACGGGAGGTCTAGTGATGCAGGACGCTTCTTGGAGACGGCGGACTGCATCCCACGCCTCTCCTCTGAGGGTAACTCCAGCGGAACACCAGATGGGAGGGGGTCGTCCGACAGCAGTTCACTTGCAAGGGGTTCAGTAGCATTAGCCATGCCTAGACTCTGTTTACGTGACCTATCTGCTGCGCGTCTCAGGACGCAAAGTAAATATTTGTTAAAAGCAGAATTAGATAAATTAATACAGAAACTGCAACGTGAACTGAAAGCACATGGTACAGTACAGCTAGGGCATATTAAATGCGGATCAGCAGCAGAAAAAACATAACTTGCAAACAGTACAGATTTTCATCAACGTAATCTACTGAACAATCACGGCGTAAACCGCGAATAAACAGCAGTAAATACGAGTAAATACGAATAAATATCAAACCATATTGTTGAAGGATACTAGCTAAACCTCTATAAGAGACTTGTAGAGGTAACTAAGTAAGAATAATCAAAGGATATAGTGCCGTAGGGAGACACAGGCGCTCTCACATCCTGCTCACTGGGCGAAGAAGGAGAGAGTGAAGCATGTGGGTTGTGGTGGCGCCACCTTTCCCGCCAAAAGGGGCAAAGAGAGGCAACTCTTGGTGAGTATTGATTAGTGATTTTGAATTGAAGGAAACTTCAATTAGGGAGATACAAGTGTTCCACTATGTTCGCAAGAAGAAAAAGACAAGCATGAGTCAGGATAAGGAAAAATAATATTTCTCTAATCTTGACCATTTGAATAACTGGAGTTTTATCTTCATGCCACAAAATAATCATTTAAGAAGATGTGGTTGGTGAGTGAGTGAGTGAGTGAGAGTGAATGAGTGAGTTGGGTTTTACTCCGCTTTTAGCAATATTCCAGCAATTTCACGGTGGGGTACACAAGGAATGGGCTTCACACGTTGTACCCATCGTTTTGGATATGACGAGCGAATGCTTTAACCACTAGGCTATCCCACCACTCCTGTTACTGCCTGAAATGTGTCTCACACTAACGGGAACTGATATGATAAAAATGCTTCATCAGTCGTGGATAATTCATCAGTCAGACACCTGGCGTGGATAATCACCTCTTTTTTAAACGCTTGGCAGTTTCTTAACAAGAATGGATGCTTTCTCATTGAGATATTCTCACTGCTGGAGTTGGTCTCAAACAAAGGAAAAAACCATCAAAGTTACTCACACGCTGTACACATTCACACAGAAAGATAAAATATAATCATATCTTCGGCACCAAAAGAATTAACATACCATTTAGAGCTGGCAGCTTGGCAAGACAAGTTTCTTAACAGACATGGAATTGGTTTCAGGCATTGAGGAATTCTCACCGTTTAGATGGCAACCGAGTCAAACATAGGCGAAGAAAGTCTAAACCATCTTTGGAAAGTTCCTGAAATTGAAACAAATATATATGTATGAATATACAATGTCATTTAGGAAGTGGTCAAATGTGGCATGTGTTATATTTGGGATTACACTAGAGTCTAAAGTACAGATTCTAGAAGTTTTGGAGGATTTAGTCCCATCTGGGATTTCAACATATGTCATCAATCACTTCAAAGTAGGAAAATACAACATACTTATAGTACTGTTAACCTGACAGGAATCGCATCATATAAACCACAAATCAATGATGCCCTGCTGTCTTAGATATACATGGGGCTGCTGAGAGCAAGTGAGAAAGGTTATATCTGCAATGAGCAGTGTTTCAGTTCTATCACTGCTTCTTAGCAGTGTGAGAAACAGGTGAAAGTGATGCAGATATTTTTCATGAACACAGTGTGTTCTGAAGGGTCCGTGAAGAACTGATGTTCTCGGACACAGTGCTTGCTATAGCACGAATACACCTGAAGCGTGGCAAGGACATTAGCTTTTCATGCTGCACGAGATTCTGTGCGAAGTTAGACTGCGTACGGTTAACAGATGTAAAACTTTCAGTTTTTAGGCGCTGGTGACAGGTTGTTGATGGGTAGCTCGCTCCAAGTGATAGGTTTTCAACTAGAATAGTATAGATTAAATAGAAATAGAAATACACATAGTTGGGAGAATTATCCATTACCATTCAACATTTACTAGAAAGACAGTTTCTTCATATCAAGTTCAATCTTCATTATTTATTAGTTTATTTTACATTTCTCAGTGTGTTAAAAAGGGGATTTCACGTTTAGTTGATTAAAAGGGGATTTCACATTTAGTTGATCAAAAGGGGATTTCACGTTTAGTTGATCAAAAGGGGATTTCATGTTTAGTTGATCAAAAGGGGATTTCACGTTTAGTTGATCAAAAGAGGATTTCACATTTAGTTGATCAAAAGGGGATTTCACGTTTAGTTGATCAAAAGGGGATTTCACATTTAGTTGATCAAAAGGGGATTTCACGTTTAGTTGATCAAAGGGATTTCACGTTTAGTTGATCAAAAGGGATTTCACATTTAGTTGAATAAAAGGATTTCACATTTAGTTGATCAAAAGGGATTTCACGTTTAGTTGATCAAAAGGGATTTCACGTTTAGTTGATCAAAAGGGGTTGATCAAAAGGGGATTTCACGCGTTGATCAGTTGATCAAAAGGGGATTCCACGTTTAGTTGATCAAAAGGGATTTCAGCGTTTCAGTTGATCAAAAGGGATTTCACGCTTAGTTGATCAAAAGGGGATTTCACGTTTAGTTGATCAAAGGGGATTTCACGCTTAGTTGATTGAAAGGTAAGTCAAAATTTAGGCAGTTTAGTTTAACTTCCACTGCAAAACATAGGTATTTTAGTTTAATTTCCACTGCGTACCACAGTGAGTGAGTGAGTATGGTTTTACACCACTTTTAGCAATATTCCAGCAATATCATGGCAGGAGACACCAGAAATGGGCTTCACACATTGTACCGCTGTAGGGAATCGAACCTGAGCAAACACTTTAACCACCAGACTACCCCACCGCCCCTCCATGAACACAGAGAAACCAAGGCTCGAAATTAGGGTGAATGTTTCAATCCGTAAACAGAAAGCATCCTGCCATGCCAAATGAAAGCAGTTCTGCACTGGGAATGTCTGTATCACTACACTCTTCTCCCTGCTCAGGTTAATTGTCAGAATTAATTCAACAACGAGCAAATTGCCTGAAACCTTTATGTGTGGAGTTTGTGAACATATCACGGAATCAGAGTATGATGATAATTATTGTGGTCACCCAATCTGTGAGTGAGTGAGTGAGTTTAGTTTTACACCTCATTCAGCAATATTCCAGCTATATGGCAGTCATCTAGAAATAATCGAGGCTGGACCAGACAATCCAGTGATCAACAACATGAGCATCGATCTGCGCAATTGGGAACCAATGACATGTGTCAACCAAGTCAGTGAGCCTGACCATCCGATCCCGTTAGTCGCCCAGCCCAATCTGTAATCTTTCATAACACAATAGTGGCATATTGAACCTGAGATAAGTGGGGATTGATGCATCTTTTTATCACCTGTTTGTTTGCCACACTCAGCAATATTCTAAGTATATATTGCCTGTTGGCCAACTAAAATATTGATATCAATTCATGTAACTGGGAAACAATAACATGATGTACAGTCAACCATTTCACAAAGCTTGACCACTGCATCCACTTAGTTGCCTCTTATGACAAGCATAAGTTCCTCAGGGCCTTTTAGCCGGGAGTGTGAGTGAGTTAAAATTTATAGTCACATCGGCAGTAATTCAACCATATCATGACTATGAAAGCTAACCTAGAAACCCCACTTTTTCCTTTATGGATAGGCAAAGTTGACCTGATTTGTATGCAAGGGAGTGAGTCAGTTGGATTTTACGCCATTGTTAGCAATATTCGAGCAATATCACGGCAGGGGACACCAGAAATGGGGTTCACTCATTATACCCATGTGGGGAATTGATCCCAGGTCTTCGGCGTGACGAGAAAACACTGTAACCACTGAGCTACCCAACAGCCCCAGATTTGTACGTCACCCCATGATGTTACTGGAAGGGGTATGTACCCTCTGTACTCACATGAAGCTGTTTCTCGATGCCCTGGTCTTGTGATATCACATCCAGAGGATCCATGTCTGAAAATTGACAGTTTTAAAGTTAATGTAGATTCTGATACAATAACACATCAAAAACATGCAAGCAATGACAGAAATATTTCATCATATCTGACAGGATGATAGAGTGGTTTAATGAGACGTCATGATTCACAATTGTATGAAAAGTTTACTTTGATGTTCACATGTTTTTCTTGAGATTGCTGTCCAGATGTAAACACATCAGGGTTCCTACATCCCTGGGAAAAACCAGGCAGGAATAATGTAATAACATTTGTTTAATTTATTTGGACACTTTCATTTTTTAGTCTTGGTTTTCAAATATCTTGGAAAAGGTCATATCAAGACACAGCACATTGAAATCTCTCCCTCACATCCTTCATGTTGGCTTTTTCCAAGTCTTGAACAGTAATTAACTTCATTAAAGAGAAAGGGACAGCCAGGTAGAAAGGATGGAGACGGCACAGCAATGAATCAATAAAGATGGCTGTCCCTTTCTCTGCACTCTTCCCCTGAAAAGTAATATAATGATGACATTTTTTTAAAGAAATCCATTTTGGTGGTGTCCCAAAAGAAAATATAATTATTTACTGCAGTTCTTAAATGAGAGGATACATACTATTTATATTTATGTGGCAATTTTGTACAATGATAAAATTTGCTATTCATCGGTCCGTTTCTGACTCAAACGGACTGTAGTTGTTGTGTTCCTGAGTATACTTGAAATAAGACATACTGTATAAAATTGAGGGAAAATCATACAAGAAAGAGCTATACAAACTCCTAGAAGCTAACTTGCTTCATTGTTCACACAGTTCAGTCCGCACTCGATAAAGTCAAACTCCATCGTAATCACACAAAGTGAAGGTCAAATATGGAGAAACCGATATCATTGTATTTCTGAAAATTAACTAATTTTTAAAAATTCTTTTAATCATGAAGCAGCTCAACTCAACTCTCTTGGATAAATTACATTTTGAATTGTATTTCAGTATTAAGGTAGGAAAGTTCAACATCAGGAAATCATGCACAAGTGTACTTACCAGAATCTAGAAGCTTCATCACCTTCTCAAAAATGTGTTCCAGTGGTAAGTTTTCCCATAACTCTTTTCCCTGAAAGACGAATAATGACTTTCAGAAAAAAAGCATCAAAATTGAAAATAGCAGACATGGTTTTAGATTAAATAAGAAAGGTAATTTTCTAAATAGCAAGTTTCTTGGATATCAGTGAGTCTCTTAAACCCCACACAACAGTAATTTGTCTTGCCAATAACAAGAAATAGTTTTAAAAATAAATCTTATACCTCTCTGACATTACTATTTAAAACTTGTTACTTACAAACTTGCATATTTGAAAACTAGTTAATAATAAACTGGCTATTTAGAAACTTGGTACTTAGAATCCATCCTTGATAATCTTCAGGGTATATGTTACGATAAATCTCCACTATACCCTGGATGCATCTACGGCTCGGCCCGATGATTTTATTACCTAGATGCATCCAGGGTAGTGTGGAGATTTATCGTAACATATACCCTGGAGATTATCGAGGATGCTTAGAATCTTGATATTCAGAAACATGCTATTTAGCAGTTTAGAATGTTGCTACTTAAAGCTTAGCTATTTAGACAGTGCCACTCAAAACCTTGCTTATCACAAACTTGCGACTTAGAAGTTAGAAAAAATTGATATTTATGTAGATACTTATAATACCCGTTATCTTTATTATGGATATCAAAGACATAACTATATCATCATCATCATCATCATCATCATCATCATCATCATCATCATCATCACCCTACCGTGAAGGCTTCCATGACGATGATACCTAGTGACCATGTGTCAACCTTGAAGCAGGGTACAGGCTGGACATTTGTCTCATATGTGTCGTCCAGTTCTGTGGGGCCTCCACACAGTACCTCAGGGGCCATGTACTTTGGGTGACTAAATGGCAAAATTATGGGAATAGAATTAAAGAACAATCGTTCTGATTGGAATAAAAACATAAATTCTATATATTTATTTTTCACATACCAACCAAATGTTTTGCTATCTGTAGGTTCCCAAAAAATGTCTGGAGGCAATGCAGGGACTTTTTAATATGATAAAATATAATAGCCCATATCCCCTTTTACAGTGATTGTGTTTTGTTTTGAATATTTATGTGTAAATATTTATATTGAAGCATTGTACAAGATTTTATCACCATTCTGAAATTTGATTTGGGTCAATACCATGTTGAAAAATGAAAGAAATATTTTTCATCACTGGAAAAAATTGTGTGAACCTCTGACACCAATCCCTTGGGCTGTTTTCATTGATTAAAACAATATTTCAACCAGTGGAAACACCCTTGTCTCTCTGATTCCATTTTTCTGAACTTCACATTTTTAAGTAGGTGGATCTGTGTACCTAGCAAGATTTGGTGGTCACACATGCCATTGACCACTGGTTTGGTGGTCTTGCATGCCATCGACCACTGGTTTGGTGGTCTTGCATGCCATCGACCACTGGTTTGGTGGTCTTGCATGCCATCGACCACTGGTTTGGTGGTCTTGCATGCCATCGACCACTGGTTTGGTGGTCTTGCATGCCATCGACCATTGGTTTGGTAGTCATGCCTGCCATCGACCACTGGTTTGGAGGTCATGCGTGCCATAGACGATGAGTTTGGTAATCATACATGCCATTGTCCACTGGTTTGGTGGTCATGCGTGCCATTGATCACAGGTTTGGTGATCATACATGCCATCGACCATTGGTTTGGTGATCGTACATGACATAGACCAATGGTTTGGTGATCGTACATGCCATCGACCACTGGTTTGGTGATCTTACATGCCATCGACCACTGGCTACATAGTCAGGTATGCCATCGACCATTGGTTTGGTGATCGTACATGCCATCGACCACTGGCTACATAGTCATGTATGCCATCAACCATTGGTTTGGTGATCGTACATGCCATCGACCACTGGCTACATAGTCATGTATGCCATCGACCATTGGTTTGGTGATCGTACATGCCATCGACCAGTGGCTACATAGTCATGTATGCCATCGACCATTGGTTTGGTGATCGTACATGCCATCGACCACTGGCTACATAGTCATGTATGCCATCGACCATTGGTTTGGTGATCGTACATGCCATCGACCATTGGTTTGGTGATCGTACATGACATTGACCAATGGTTTGGTGATCGTATCACAATTGCCATCGACACCACTGGTTTGGTGATCGTCATACATGCCATCGACCATTGGTTTGGTGATCGTACATGCCATCAACCATTGGTTTGGTGATCTTACATGCCATCGACCACTGGCTACATAGTCATGTATGCCATCGACCATTGGTTTGGTGATCGTACATGCCATCGACCACTGGCTACATAGTCATGTATGCCATCAACCATTGGTTTGGTGATCTTACATGCCATCGACCACTGGCTACATAGTCATGTATGCCATCGACCATTGGTTTGGTGATCTTGCATGCCATCGACCACTGGCTACATAGTCATGTATGCCATCGACCATTGGTTTGGTGATCATGTATGCCATCGACCACTGGCTACAGAGTCATGTATGCCATCGACCACTGGCTACATAGTCATGTATGCCATCGACCACTGGTTTGGAGAGAGAGAGGGAGAGAGAGACCTATTGTATAGGCTAAGGCTAATGAAGCATGATCTCTTACCCGATGGGGAATGACACTGAGCTACCAGCATCTGTCATATAGTACATTCCATATTCAGACAGCTTCACCTTCCCCTGCAGGACAGACAAACAACGGTACCAATTAAATGATAATTAGAAGAAAAGTAATCATCGTAACAATACTGATTCTTCCTTTTTGATTAAAGAAAACAACCCCTATCATCACGTTCTGGGAATGCAGAATAATAATGAGAACTAAGATCACATATTCCACATGACAAAATAACAAACGAAGATCCAGTTTTGAAATATGGAGCACACCTACATTACTAAGTGTAATAAAAATAAAAGATTGGTTGACATTGAAGTATCTGAAAAATGCGGGGAGTTCACCCCACTCTGAAACTGCACTAGAGTGATAATGAACTGATAATTTACATTTGATTTAAGGATTTATCAATAGAATTATCAATAACATGTTGTTGGGTAACTATAACCTATAGGGCTGGGACGATACACTAAATCACGATACGATACATATCGCGATATTTTACCTGTGATACGATACGTATCACGATACATACACCTTGAAAGAATGACACGGTATCAAGATTTAAAATGATATATTTCAAGATATTTGTGTTTAACAATAACACTATTGTAATAAACAAACAAGTAACTCCATCATACTTGCGTATTTTTCTCTAAATAAAGTACTGTAACACGTTTAAGATAATACTGTTTTGAAAAAAAGTTGTGTAACGTTTTGTATCGATACACCAGTCCACGATACGATAGCTGTATCAAACTTAAATGTATCGCGATGCATCGATGCATAGGTGAATCGTCTCAGCCCTAATAACCTATGACTGCCACTTACTTCAGATGTAAAAAGGATGTTGTGTAGAGAGAGGTTATGATGTGTCACTCCCGACCGTTCAGATACTCCAACCCTTGTAGAATTTCAAATATTAGTGGCAAGAGGGTGGTTTCACTGAAAGAAAAAGGCCATATACATAGAATACTCAAAGTCAACCCATACTGTCTTCAGAAGACCAATATGGGCCACAGATGCCACGTGAAATCTTCATGAGATATGTTTGCAATGTCAGAGGAGCTGCATGCAGTATTGTGAAGCATAACTTACATAAGCATAAATTAAAATCAGTTTACAACTCATTTAGTACTTCAGTACTTCAGTACTTATTTAGTACTTCAACAGGGGTGGAAATAACTTTAAAACTGCTAGTGTACTCCGGTACAGTGGCACATGTAAATCACTTGCCCTGATCATTTTTCCACTATACCGGCCGTTTTCTTGTTGATTTTTTAAATAAACAACATTATTAACATTGGAAAGTCAACTGGACACCGGTACAGCATGATATACAAATTTGCATGCCCGACAGAAAAAAACACTGGACTCGGACGTCGGGCAATGGGTTATTTCCATCCCTGCTTCAACATGGTAATTAATCAGAAGATATCGTATGTCAAAATAATAAAATATACAACACATCAATAACCTACTCATGGCAACTAACAGGATTGGGTGGTCAGGCTCGCTGACTTGGTTGACACATATCCCAATTGCGTAGATCGATGCTCATGCTGTTGATCACTGGATTGTCTGGTCCAGATTTGATTTTTAGCAGACCGCGCCTTATGGCTGGAATATTGCTGAGTGCAGCCTTAAGCAACAACCATACCAAACCAAACACCTACTCATGGTTGAACTGAATACTGAGTTAGTGATGCTGTATTCTGTTGGATACAATTGGATACCTTTGTCCTTAGTTACAGATTAATTTATTCTTTTGTCTGCCCGAAGAGGTTTTAATAAAAGCAATAGTTTGCTCTATACACAGCTTTAGATCATTTACAAAATACAAATATGTTTAAAACAAAATACAATCCCTACTGTTATAGCCATCAAATATATATCTGGCAAGGGAGGAACACAGTAATTGTGCTCTATACCCATCCAGATTTCATTTACAAAAACAAACCAAATAACATAAAATAGCAACAAAAATATATCAAACATGGGTTGAGTATAGTTGGGCTTTTTCTTTTTTGGTTGATACATATATTTTTCAAAAGATATGGATTTTATAAAAGACATGTGATACCTTTATTATAGTTCATCATATTTTAATATGTTGCCAAATGTGCTGTTCATTATGTCTCCCTAGCCTTTCAACGTAACATACTGCCTGATGAACAAGTTAGTTAGAATTAATACAAATAATGATATGGCCACTTATATAGCACTGAAATCCACAACACAGGGACATGCTCTAAGCGCATACAACATAATGGACATTATTACCCCGGATAACCCAAGCTGCCTGTGAGGCGCTAGGTTAATAGTAATATGACTTATCCTACCGGGTACCCATTTTCTGCTGGGTGTACAGAGGCAATTTCGAACAAAAACTCACTTGCCTAAGGTGAGACCACATAGGTGCTTCATTTTGGGACAAGACAGGTCTAAGAAACTCTGAGGAATCAAGCTGCCATACACGGTCACCCATCCAAGGACTCTCTGTGGCCAACGCTGCTGAACTTCACCTGATTTGTGACCTGGTGTACCACACACCGCCACAGGAGTACTGAAACTATTGAGCTTTTCAGATCTTGTTTTCATTTTTCTCGAGTTGATATCTTACCTGGAAAATTTCCCAGTTTGGTAGACTTTGGATAAATTTTCTGTGTAGTGTTCTGATACCACAATCAGTCTCTCTGGAACAAACACATTTAATCAATATACATTTTCACAGTGTTCTGATAAAGCAGTTCAGTGATGTATAATACATTCATTTACAACACTTAAATCCGCACACACATAATACATCACATTGCAAATAATACTGGTGTAAAAGAAATACCATAATAATAGGAACCACTAGGTATTGTAAATTGTCTAGTAGTTCTCGGTTGGCTATAAATAGCATAACAGTCACAATGCCATCAAGCCAATATGTTTCTTCCTAATAAAATATGATCTTCAATTTCTGAATTTAAAAACAAAGGAATCAAGGTTTTGTTTCAAACGCAAAATGAAAGAACATCAACTTCTGAAGCAATATATGATGCATTGTATCATGATCGCATCATTACACTACTGCATCACAATACTGTATCATTGATCGCATCAAAGTTTAGACTTTGGGGATTTTATTTATTTACTATAATAAATCATGCAATCACATAGGAATACATTAAAAACCCTGAATCATGACTTTTACACATTCTTTCTTCCCACCAAAGTTACTTAGACTTTGGGGATTTTCCCGTTCTCGTATTATTTACCTCGCAACACCTAATTATCTCCCTTCTTTCTATCCAATCAGAACACGTCATAAGATTCAACTTGACTAAATAGGCAATATCATTAAACATTTAATGGCCCTGAATCATGACTGAGTTCTGTCTAGAAGAAACGCTTTGGCGCATCACGCAGGGGAAGAAATTTAGTTTTTCTCGAAGCATACATTGCATGATCACTTTTGAAACAATATTTGCACTAAAATCTGATTGCAATCACGAAGTCTCAACGCGTTCGATTAGAACAGAGGTTACGTAGGAAGATATGACAGGAGTAACCTCTGTGGGAAGAGAATGAGTTTTACATTGCAAGCAATATTCCACTAATATCATAGCACGTTCGCTTAAAATACACTAACAGGCTTCAGTATTGTACCAATGTGGACCTGTATGTAAAGGTTCCAAAGACTGAGGAACCTAGTCTCACACTTCCTAAACTGCATTATTTCCCCTTACGTCAAGTCCTTTCTACAATGCTGTTACCCCAAAAGAAGCAAGTCTAGATTTCATCAGGTTCTAAATCTCCCATCTCACTGGGGCTCCTTTTCAATTTAAAACAAATTATTTGTTTTGATGAAAATTATGTTCTATGAGTAACCCTGTGTTGTAAAGTATTCTTACTCACAGCATAGCTAATGCATTCTTTCATACTATCAATTTTGTCATTAGTGAAACCGTGAATGCATGTAGAAGTACTAACAACATGGAATTCTACATCCACCTACCATTTTTGGTTTTAACTATATCCAGATACTTGCAAACAGCAGGATGCTCAAATGTTTTCAGGTACTGGTAGCGTCCCAGGACTTTTATGGAGTTTGGTGTGAGCGGCAGACCATTGGCACCACATTTGTCATTGGGATAACTTGCCGCAAAGAATGTTGAAACTCCATATTCTGCTTTCCCTAACCTACTCATGGTTGTATTATGTTATGAAATGCTTGTTGCTCCTGGCATAACCTGCAATGGAAGTTAATAGAGCTGAAGGGGTTATTGTCAGCACAGGTACTACAGATATGTACCCCAGGTACGTTTCTGTATACACATGTACCCTAAACAAAGTCAAACTACAGAAACGTACCCGGTACCCTAAACGACGGACGCGTCCATATTCTGCAACCCAAAACCAAAAGCGTATGTAGTTGTTCCTGTTCAGCTGATTGCGAGTGGTGTACGCTGTGCACCGTGAAATATTCGTTACTGTGTATGTTCTTATATAACGCAATCAAATGCATCTAACAGTATGACAGAAAACTCCACAATGCAGAATGGAATCGTCCAAGGGTACGTTTCTGTATTCTGATTTTGGCTAGGGTACATATCTGTATACAGGGACGTACCTGGGGTACACATCTGTAGTACCCGTGCCAAAAAACGACCCCCTTCAGCGTTAATAGAACTGTTACGGCTTTTACGGCTCTTGTGAATGACTAACACCTGAAATATGAGCAATAACATTCAGTCTAAATATTGATATTTTCAGAATTTGGTTTCATTTAAGAATCTGAACATTCACTTTCTATAACATCAAAAACTTTTACTGAAAGAAAAGAGTCAAAAGTACTAGATACCCAGGTACTGACAGTTAGGTCTATCAAGGTTTCTGAAAATGATAAATACCGATGGTGAGCTGAACAATTTGAAATGTTTGACAACAATGTAGAAATAAACAACAACATGGATAACATATCCGGACTATGACCGGGATCAGCTGATTTTAGCAAATGCTGATTCTCAACACTAGCGATGAAACAATATTTAAAAACAACACTTTCTGCAATGTTTAAAAACTGACATATTTGCACTAAAACATAGTACCACTCTGCGAAAGTAAAGGAAGACAATTGTGATATCTTACAAGAGTAAATGTGCTCAAATGCACACATTTCAACGCAGACACAAAATTTCACACCCCTTTCCCGGAACTAAGTTATCTCCCCTGAATGCCTCTTTGATGGAAAATCTAAACAAAGCGTTACTTCCTGTTAAAAAACGCACGTTGGCAGTTCAGGTTGTGCACAGCTATTTCATGCGACAGCTTTTGTTGAAGTAATGTGAAGTTTATTCGTAATAATAAAGGGCGATACAAACTAATCATAAACAAATATTGCGCTGACATGTCTTGTAGTGTCTGAGATATTGCATAGTGAAAATGTATACAGTCATGAATCCGTACCGTACTGGGTGACGAAATATCACGATATGTATACTGTCACTGTCGCAGAGGACAGAAAATGTGATGGCCTTGTTCACAATTGTAGTTTTTAAACTTCCTTGAATGTTACCAGTAATCGATAGCGTTGGATCTCTGTCAGAATCAAATTTGTTTGACAGTTGATCACCATTCATCTCAAAAAGTGTGTGGACCGAAGTTTGTGTTCAAATGTCATTACAGTTAACTTCGTGCCCTAATGACATACAGACATTGTCAATCCATTATGTTTTGTAATGGGCAAGTTGAATAACTTTGTTTCTCATGACAAGGACTCTCAAAATTGACCCAAAATTTAAAGTATTTTTTTAAAACTTTATTTCTAAACACAGTAATGAAGAGTGCTTCAATTTTTGGGAAAGATTTCCGCCCGTAACACCCAGATATTTTTTTCATTCTATGCCTAAGATTCATAGTAAGAATAGATGGGTTTTTTATAGAAGGCCTACCCTAAACCTTACACAGTGCTAAATCTAAACCCTAAACCCTAACCCCTTGAAATAATCATAATAAATAGAATACATATCAAGCAGGGGTTACGGGCGGAACTCTTACCAATTTTTGTACACTATGTCCTTCATGGCCTCCTGTCATGCATAAATTTGTATCATCTTGTATGTGGCTCAGTTACACATGTTTTTATATTCAGCGTTATTTTGTTTGTAGATTTATAATCTTCTAATTCACTCAGATTAAACAAAATTACATTCTCTGTGCTTGCCAATCAGTTTTGAATTGTTTTTTGATTAACAAGAATTATTTATAGCTCAAGTAAAATTGATGAAATTAAAATGCAAAGCTGTATTGGACTGGATTTTACAAAGATAAGCTTATGAGGCATAATCAAATACAGTTTTTGCCTGTGTTTTCAGGATGGCCTCGCCCTTGTCTCCCCGGCTATTCAGCTTAATGAAAGCTCGGCGACCAAGCTGACACCATCCTCATACAGCTGCGGAATCAGATCAACCTCCTCAAGGCAGCTGCAGGTATATATCAATGACTTCAAGTTGGAGAACTAACTTAGAAAGTCGTTCAACTTTGACAGTGATATTTTGATACCTCTTTGTGTCCAACTTAATCCAAGGATCATTTGCCAAATATTCTACCAGCTCTTAACCGTTCTAAGCTGAAAAATTGATCCCAGACTGATAATTCCTTCTAGTTTTCAGTGTACAAATAGAACATTTTTTCCACCAACCTTTGTTTACAGAAAGAGAGAATGCCATATGTTCTTAGTTGATGTTAATGCCTAAACATATGCATGTATGCCTTACCACTTTTTAATCTGCATATTTGGTAGTAAGAATATATTTAGCCCAGTCCAAATTTATTAAAGTAACACAAACACACATTAAAGGCAGCTCTGTAAATGATGGTATCTACATTACAGTGTCCCAGTCATGCAAAGGAGAGGAAGATATCCTGAGAGAACAAAATGAGAAGTTGAAAAATGAAATAAATCAGATCAAGACCCAGCTTGTCATGGCAGAAATAAGAAATGGAGGTTTGTTATGTTAATGATTTTTTTAGTTTTATTAGTAAATAACTATTAACTAAAACACAACTATATATCTTTTATGGTAAAATGTTTCATCATGCTTGTTATTGAAGAAATGTTTAAGTTTTTCTGAGTATAAATTGTCCTGTTGCCAACATACAGTGAGACAAGTTGCCCTCCCCCCAAAGAGAGCAATGTCAACAAGTGCAGGGGAGGGTAATAGTGCCCCACCCCCATCAGCAACCCCTGCTGCTGAACCAGCATCTGCCCCTGCCCCTGGCCCAGCAAAGGTGAAGAAGGGTGAGAAACTAGAGAAGAAGAAACCAGAAAAGAAAGAAGGTGGGTCCACGTTTTAAATCATGAATGATTCAAGTGTGATTCAATGATGGCAGTGTTATTGTGTGAACAAGTTCCATGATGGTTAGGGTGGTTGGGTAGCCAAGTGGTTAAAGCGTTTGCTTGTACAACAAAGACCTTGGTTCGATTCCCCACATGGGTACAAAGTGTGAAGCCCATTTCTGATGTCCCTCTGTGATATTGCTGGAATATTGCTAAAAGTGGCGTAAAACCAAAGTCACTCACTCACTCCCAAGATGGTAAAACCAGCTGCGAATACAGCTCTTTGAGAAATGGGGGGGTGCAAACTCTTGAGAAAGGGAGGGTGTACACTTCATTTTCATCCGTTTTCATGTGTCATTTAATAAACTTTCAGGACGAGGTGTGTGTGTGTGTGTGTGTGTGTGTGTGTGTGTGTGTGTGTTGTGCACCCCCCCACTGGATCCGCCTATATACAGTAGAACACGGATATACCGAACTCCAAGGGACCAAGAAATTTAGTTCGCTATATCCGTTGTTCGTTATTCACCGCCATCTTGGATTGTAGAGATGTAGACATTCACAGACATTACCTATATCATGTTGATAAATATGAAGTTTATTTTGATAATAAAATTGAAATAATACAACTACAACTTAAATAAATTTATTTTTTTATGAAAATGCAAGCTTACATTTATAATGTCCAGATAAACCACGAAAGAAGCAAAAACTGTGGCGATTTTTTTTCCATTTGTGACATGTCATAACATGCCCGTGCCTTTTTCTTTTATATTTTCATTTTTATGTAATTAGGCTTTCCGCTCGCTAACATGACACAACAACGGAAATACCTCCGCTTTGGCTTCTCAGATGAATAACATGCGAGGGCGAATCGTGGTGTGTGGTATCGCTCGACAGCTCTGGAACATCAACAATATCACTGTACCCTTGCCGAGTAGTATTTTCACAGTTGTAAAAAGCGATTTTATTGGATAAAGATTGGTTTCTAATGATGCTTTTTCGCCACAGTCTGCTATAAGGATCGTGATTGGTCAAAATCAGACACGTGACCTAAGGCAGCCAATCAAACTACGGCAATGGGTACCGTCCTCGTCAACGAAAACTTTCTTTTTTCATAACGTGGCCGATTATTCGGCCTGCGGTGTTGAATGGGTTAAACACGATATGTTTGTTTTGTTAATTAATTAATGACCATCAAACAATGTTGATTCACCGCCAACAAGATTGATGTACAGTGAAGCCCCGTTAGTCCGGACTCCGATAATCCGGATGTCTCGTCTCCCGGACGATTTTAGCTTGTTACCAATCTATGCCTAGATAATTTGCCTCGATAATCCGGAAATTCGGTTTCTGGAACCGGACGGTAAGTAGCTGTCACCAATTAGTAAAATAAACAGTAAATTGCTTCACAGTCCGGACGCTGTAAGTCGTGTTCACGAACCATAACAACACCTCCCGGCGAACTGGCCAACTGGGTTGTTGTTTTAATAAGACATTAAAAGCTCCCGACTCAAGATGCTGTACATTTACATTTTGATTGACACCACAATACAAAGGCGTGGATGATAAGTGAGCTGTTTTGTGATTGGTTAATGTACTTTGACAGACAGATGCGGTCACGTGGACTTAAAGTGATTTTGCTTTACGACAACCCTGTGACGCAACAAGTCACAAGTGTGCTTCGCTAACTTTGCGAAATGTGACCAAATACCGCTTATCATATTCAACCGATGGATGCAGGAATAATTCGGACATTCAAGGCATACTACAATAGATCGCTTGTTAGACATTACCTCACCTGTGCTGAGGAAGGACGTGATCAGATACGTCGGATCAACATGCTGATGTCACTCGGTAAAATTATTGATGTGATGAATTCAATAAGCTTTACATTAAATGCTTATTTGTTTTATCCAGATTCGTGTCGTTTTTGTAATAGTAAGGGAAGCAACTTGGGTCTTGATTCGGTAGTCCGGACTATTCGCAATCCGGACGAATTTGCTGAGAAACGCAACCGTCCGGATTAACAAGGCTTCACTGTATACTGTACTGCTAAGTGGCTGAGCTGACACGGAGTGAGTTCGCTAATCACATCGTAAATTGGGTCTTGGGGGTAGTAAATCAGTTCGCTATAGCCGCTAATTCGCTACTCACGAGTTCGTTATTCACGTATAATTTTAATGATATTATAAAGGACTGTTGACGGGACTTTTAAATTTGTACGCTATATCCGTTTGTACGCTATATCCGTGTTCGCTATAACCATGTTCTACTGTAAAACTGTATAATATAGATTATGTAATACATTCTTTCTGTGTGATTGCTGTTAATGTAGATGTAACTGAGCTAAGTATGAATCAAACAAGTATGATGTGAATGGTAAAGTGGCTACATGTGCGAGGAATCCCAGCACTGTTTGCTATGAATGTTAAACAATAACGTGTGAGGAATCCTATCAGTGATCTTTCAGAGTGACTACCCACTGTCTTCTATGCAGGTGAGGCTAAGGGGAAGAAGGGGAAGGGAGCAGCTGAAACAGAGCCTGAGAAGATGGACGTCTCAAGACTGGACCTGAGAGTTGGCAAGATCCTGTCTGCTGAGAAGCACCCTGACGCAGACTCTCTTTACGTGGAGGATGTGGATGTGGGCGAGGAAAAGACCCGGACTGTGGTGTCTGGCCTTGTCAAGCATATTCCCCTAGAACAGGTACTTACACATTGTCTATTAGAAGCCTTATTTAGTATCGACAGGGTGGGGGCAGTTTATCTTCAGGATCACAGGTGACCCTGTGGTGTTATCCACTTGAACTTGCATTGCTGAGTTGCATTTCTCATCCATGCCAGGATTCACCGATTATGATCCATCACAATTACGATCCTTTGTTGAGGCAAACATATATTATTAACCTATGTTTACCCAGAATTCCCTCAATTCCATGCTCAATGGACGGAAAGAGTTTACAAAGATGATAATTACTGCAGGCATCATTTTCTCTAAAAAATTACTAGTAATTTACATTCATATTTCTGACTTTCCTCAGATGCAGAATCGTATCGCTGTGTTCATGTGCAATCTGAAGCCGGCCAAGATGCGGGGGGTCCTGTCGCAAGGGATGATCATGTGTGCCAGTTCTGCAGACAAGGTGGAGATCCTGGAGCCACCCCCCGGAGTGCAGCCAGGGGACAGGGTCACCTTTGAAGGCTATCCTGGTGAGCAACAGTTATTCTTGCAGATGTAAAAAGAAATGTTGTAATTGTGATAAACCGTAACTTGTAACAGTCTCACCACAGTGCCAAGGAACTGATTAATTCCGGTCATGTAACACTGTGACAAGCCATTCCAGGAATCTCAAAATGTGTATAACCTGTTTAATTCCGGTCTGCTTCCAAATTAGTGCTTTGTTTGTATCTCTTATTTATTTAGTCAACAAACTGAGCTATTGTGTACGATATGGTATTGTGTTAGATGGTGAAATCTGTGTCAGACAGAGTGGACTCTCTTCATCCCACCTGTTGTGGGTGTAGACCTAGAACACTCCTGACCCTCATAGAGATGACAGTTATCTAATAGTAGAACATAACATCAGAGTGTGCCATTATGCCCAAAACACTGACATATTTTGGAGTCAAGACCATTTTGATTCTAACAGTTATCCTAAACTCAACGTAGCTTAACACAAACACCCCTCACTGGGAGTAAGGTACTGTGCCTTCACAGAATTTTTGGTGTTCTGAACAAGCATGTTTTAGATGATTACTGTATTCATTATATTGGTAGGATTTAGAAGTTCATGGTAATTGACTGCATGTAAATTGCTGAAGAATAATTGCAAAATAGACTGGTTTCTCTGAATATCGTAAACAACTTTCAGGTGACCCAGATGCCCAGCTGAACCCCAAAAAGAAAATTTGGGAGACGCTGAAACCAGACATCCGCACTGACAACAACAAAGTAGCCAACTATAAGGGTGCACCTTTTAAAATCGAGGGCAAGGGAATCGTCAAGGCTCCAACGCTAGCTGATGCCCAGATATCTTAAATGGATATTTTCAAACAGATAAGCTGAACATTAAATGGTTTCATTTGTACAGATTGACAAGACTGGGAACAGTTCTGGTGACAATATGCTCCCTATGTGTTCGACTCAATTGTAAATAAAATATCAGATTATGTGTTGTAGTTTGTAACTGTATAATTGTTAAATGCTCAGCATTTCATCAGGAATACTTTGCCTCTTGGTTTGTTGAGGAAAGAGTTACATGAAAATACAGATACTCGGACAGTGTTTTGAAGTTCTGGGTGAAATTCTGTTAAATGAGCTATTTGATCAGTATTTCAGTAATATCACAATATGTTTTACCTTAATCTGGGAGCAACATCTAAAGATTTGCATGTCCTGGGATGTAACAGTTGGGTGAAAATTACAAGCACACTAATAATGCTGAAAAACTGATCATCATAGTAAATGACTCCGGGATTTAAACCCATGATCATAGGATCATGACATGGCCGAGGGACACAACTACCACCAACTGCTGAATGTAATATCACACAGCCCTTGCTTGATCCCATCCATCCAGAGAGAACCATGTGCTGCTCCCTCATCTTTTCTGTGATAGAGTCTATAGACTCAGGAAGTCATGAAGCAGGCCTATAGTTAGCTTTCATTAAGTGTGTTTCTCCTTTACGCATTCATCTTTCAGAGCAAGGCTCCCAATGTGAGCATTAGGGATTGAGCATATTTTATTGATAAAGTAGGCTTCAGTCTCCAGAACAACAGACCATGGATCTTTAAAGTATATATTTACAATTTTATTTGTACATTTTACAGGTTAACAATGACAGGGCTCCCACAGGTCAGGGAAAAGTCAGGGAAATTTGGCATTTCTCTGAAAGTCAGGGAATTTTGATATGTTTTCAAAAGTCAGGGAATTTGGGGGTTAAGTCAGGGAAATTTAGGGGTTTGGTCAGGGAAAAACAAGACTCAGAATGTCGCTAATCAGGTATGGTAGTAGTCAAAGTCAAAGATGCAGCACACGTTACAGACATTTCATGAAATAAATTACAGTTCAGGTCAGAGATTGCTTTTAAGCATAACAGCATGTTTTACATAAAGCCCTAGATTACATATTACATTTTCATTTCTGGAGGATAGAATGGAAACAAAGTCACTTGAAGGATATTTTTACAGATAATTATTTGGCATGTATTGTTTTCTTAAATCAGCATAATGTGAATTTCATCTTCTACAGACGGGTTACATAACAGACATTCTTCTATGAAGCACAATCGGTTGAATTTGTGAATCAAACAATATGAAACATATTTTCCGGGTTAAAATTCCAAAATTCTGGGAAACTGACATAAATTTGATAAGAGCCATCTTAGCATGTGATTTCAGATTTATAACACTCTTGTTATTTCTGAACTGTATGTAAAGTTACATCTTGCATGTTTATTCTTTCCAAATACGCCGTTGATAATTACAACATTTTGTGATAATGAAGAAATGTGTTCCTGACTTTGAATGAAACAATTCAATTAAATCATTAGTTTCACATTTATGCTCTTTGTCAAAAGCCTTTAATATAAAATACAAAGTTTTCAGATGATATATTACTGACTTCACCTGAGAATATATATTTGATGGTCACGGTCAAATGTATCTAATAGTATTATGTAACATTGTGGCAGGAGAGTCAAGGAAATTTTTCTTCATCACAAATATCAATGTTTTGGTTAATGTAATAAATTAACAAATACTGTGTGTATTTATGATATGTGTGAAGGAAATATCTTAACACGGTGGTTAGGACTGACTGAAAGGGAGGAAGGAGGCCAGTTATTACACTTAAATGGTCAGGGAAAAATGTATACTTGTCAGGGAAAAGTCAGGGAATTTTGGCCTGCCATGCCTGTGGGAACCCTGAATGATGAGTTTAACAACAATGACGGGTCAAGTTCAGAATGCGTAGAGAGTCTGAAGCAGCTTGTGCTGGGCTTGGGAACACTTCTCGAACTGTCGGCCAGGTCTGAAACAGAATACTCCAGTGTTAATACTGTGAGGCGCAGATGTTTTGGAAACACTGCTAGTTGGACGACTAATCTCATATTCTAACCACCATATTCACATATTAATTGGATGCTGTAAAAATAATCATAGTGTCAAAACAGGTCTTGTCAATCTCATATATTACGCGGAATCCAACAGTCACCTAAAATATATTGGAAGTGGCTTGGATGCTACCTTCACTCTTTTGTTGTGTAAGGGGAACTGTTCAGTGAATGTGAACGTACTTGCTGATGAACACCTGCAGGATTTCACGGGCTTGCTTAGGGAAGTAGGACTGCTGGACAACATGATCCAGGACAATGAGAGCTCCAGAGATGTCTGTCATCGGCTTAAACTTCTTGTCTTCTCCTTTGAAAAAGACTGACTGACTGAGGTTTTCACGGGCAATATTCCAGCAATATCAACACCAGAAATGGGCTTCACACATTGTGCCCATGTGGGAATCGAACCGGGTCTTTGATATTTAACCACTAGGAACCACCCCCTAAAAGAAAGGAAGAGGTTGGGGATGAATGAATAGATTTCCATGTGTAAGGTTTTTATTTAAAAGCGACAGAATATGACATAAAACTTTATAATTGTTTACTTAACTTAAAATAGAATGCTGAATGCATTGGTCAAGAAGAATACAGCCAGAATAGACATTATTAATATAAACTTTACACAAGGCTGATAAACAAGTTTCTAAATACAAGATTCACACAGGTCCTGAATTTGGTAGTATGGCCTTAAAAAGGTCTAAAATTGGAGGATGAGGTATTGTATAAACCACTTAAAGTATGAATTAGGGCTTCTAAACTTTTGAATTATCTTGGTGGCTCTTAAGAATATGATGATAAAATAATCGAACCCATAACTCTGACTGAAAGTTTCACCACATCTGTCAGTCAAACTGCCAAAGGAATCACAAGGAATTGTTTTCCCTTACCTTGATGAGTCCAAGCTGCACCAGTATGGCATTGGCAACCTGGGAGGCAGCATATGCCCGCTTCATCACTCCCTCAAGAAGAGCATCTACAATAAATCCATCAATTTGTTTGTTAGCAGAGGTTTTTCATGCATTGTTTATTATTGTGCATTCACTGTTTATAGGCAAATATTTCGGGATTTGTAAACATGTGTTATAACAATCAGCAACAGTTATAATGGCAGATCCTAACTGAATCATGACCAGAAAATCCATAGCGGAGTGCAAGACATGAACAACAGGGGGGTTCCACAGCCCACAAACCCAATGATTTAAAACCTAATGATTGTGTATCATGTCAGCGTCTTCAGAGAGGAACATAAGAAAGAGTTTATATCAGGGCATCAGCTATATCTCAGTATATGAAGACAGAAGATCTACTCAAGAATTAATAATTGACAGTCATACAGGCAGCATGGGGTCCTTTGGTTCAGAACTGCTCAGAAATCCATGATAGGAAGTTGTACAGAACGCTCGAAATGTGCACTGAAAAGTGTGCATCATCCCATCCTACCACTGCAGACGTAAGTCCCAATCTCAATATGTCTTTTAACCAGCGTTGGGCATTGTGAAATCTTCTGCTAGACTAAGAAAGAATTGTTTTATGCCGCTTCTGGCAGAGACACCAGAAAAGAGCTTCACACATTGAACCCATGTGAGCAATCGAACTCAGGTCTTTGCCACGACAAGCAAACACTTTAACCACTAGGCTTGTGATTTAGTTGAGGCATGTGGGAGAAGGAGACATTCTTACCAGCACACTCCACTGCAGCATCTTTTGTCTTGTCATCGTCCTGTCGAACCACAGCAGCAACCTAAAACCAGAAGGTATACATAAGAAAGTGAGTGAGAGAGTGAGTATGGTTTTACACTGCTTTTAGCAATATTCCAGCAATATCATGGCATGGGACATCAGAAATGGGCTTCACACATTGTACCCCTGAGGGACCTTTGATGAGACAAGCGGACGCTTTAACCACTAGGCTACCCCACCACTCCCTATATAACAAAGAAGAGAAACTAATTGCTAAATTTAGTTTATAAGTCAAACAAAGCCATTTTGTTACTCTGAAGAATGTGCATATCACGGGCCTGATACAGTAAACTACGGTTCTAATGAACTCAAAGGGACCACAAATAATGCTTTGTTACAACCGCAGTTCATTATAACCATTTCAACTAAAATATAGAACTCATTGCTGGGACCCAAAACAGTTCCTTGCATCTGTTAGTTTGTGTTAAGTGTATTCATAATAAACATACTTCTTTATGTGGGAGTTGATCATTTGATGTGAGTGAATCAAGCTCTGAATATACTGTCCATACATTATGACTGAAAACATACTGATACATGGTGTGCTTAGCATATATTTTAGGCTTCATTCATCCAATGATTACTCTACTCTACTTCTATTCATCAGAACTGTACAAATGCTTTCCATTGCCAGGAATTTACCTTGAGTCCTGTATTTGAGGGGTCCTGGACAACAAAATGGGGGTCCCAGACACTTAAATATTATTAGTAGTACTGTTATTGTATTGTGTATCATGATCATCACATTGTTACAGTAATTAAATTGCAAATATACCATAACCCAGCTAGTAGCAAACTCTGTGATAACTTATTGTCACTTGATAGGAATTTTTACAAAAGTATTTTGACTTTTTTGAGTCCTTGTGGATGCGCTAATAAATTTTGTTGCGTACATTGTCAATTTTTATGCATATAGGATGCAGGAATTCTCGTCCCTGCATTACACATTAAATTAACCGAGACTTTCACATTGAAATATTTTGTGTGCGAGTGAGTGCATGTTAGGAACTACTTTTCAACAGAATCCAGAAATGTGGAAAAGAGTTTGAAGCTTTTCATTGCACAAGGAAACTGCTGTGTGTTTAGTTTTCAACTACCAGAGCATACTGATGGAGGACTGGAACATGCATGCAACTGTAACCATGGATACTGACCCGCATCACTGTCTCCACAACCCTCTCAACGTCTTCGATTTCATACTGAAACAGGAAGTTGAAGTAACTATGAGTTGAATCAAATCACATGTAAATGTGGGGAACATAAATGTATAAAGCAGTGCAGTTAACGTATCAAAGACATTTTATTTTTGTCTAGTGACCTACCCCAAGCTGTTGCTTCATTATTGCAGCTCTTGCCTGACCCATGCCTAATAATTTTGTCGGTGATGGAAATGCCAGGAACTCAGCAGCAGATACCTACAACAAAAACAATTATTGCCATCTAATAGTTTCAAGCAAGAGAAAGAAAAAAAACCCCATGCTATTCCTGAATGGCAAAAGGCACAAATTCAGTAAACACCCCCACACTGATTATATCCAAGGTTCACCAAATTGTCTGTTTACAAGAGATGTGGCTAAACATAGACTGCTGTCTGTAGATAGCTGGAGTGAGATCTCCAGGAAGTGAGCGAGTGAGTGAGTGAATGAGATAGTTGGGTGTTTCTGCTTTCAGCAATATTCCAGCAATATCATGGCATGGTACACCAGAAATGGGCTTCACACATTGTAACCATGATGGGAATTTAACTCAAGCCTGTCGGTGACAAGTTAACACTTTAACCCCCACCTCTATCTCCAGGAAGACAAGTTTGGGTCCAAATGCATTTTGTAAACTTATGTCAAGCCATACAATTAAACATATTAAGGTAAAATATATTCAGCAGTAACAAAGTACAGCTTTCTTTAAAATTAATTATATATTGTTCCCTATCTTCTCTCTCTGAATGTGAATTAATGGAAAGAAGAAAAATAATAAAACCCGAAAGTCTCAGACAGAGGTGGGGTCACTTAAATGTGTGTCCTTTGAGATGTCAGTTTGAGGAGTCCTCGAAATACAGTAAAATACCTTTATAACGAACTCCAAGGGAGTCGACCACTGAAATTAGTTCGTTATATCCGCAGTTCACTATTCATGAAATTCCATTAAAGAACAATAAAGACATACATGTGTACTGTACTGTACATTCTACCATGACTTCAGTAAACACGGGATTGTGATTGGTTAATTAAAGTAATTTAGAGGTATATAATCACGTTATACAGGTCTCTGTTTTCCGTGCGCAATCATACATGGTTTACGGTAATGCACTATTTTTGTCTGCCCACTAACATGGCGGACACCAAACAACCTACCGATGCATCGATAAATTACGGCGATTTTACTGTCGGAAATTACACATATGTCTTTAAAGATGGATTTAGCGATGACGGGCTCGACTCACTACTTGCGTAAATCACAGCAATAGGTGTTTATACATACAAAAGTACTTCGAAAGCATGGAAACAAATATTCAGTCGAACAAGATCAAAACATCGTCTGCTTTCCGAATAAAAATTCAGCAAAAACAAATATGTTTACGTTGATTCTATGTTACGTCAGAATAGATCCAGCAATAGACTGCTACATAATTTCCGTGTTAAATTTATTATCAGCTTTCGTCAACGATCATAGGCGCTTGACTCTGATATGTTGGATAATATAGTTGCACGTTAAAAGAGGTGGGAATAATGGAAGCGTTGGTCAGACCGAAATCCAGCCGAGCCGAGCCGGGTCGCCATTTTGTTTCGATTTACTGACACACCTTTCTTATATCTTATATATATAGGTCATACTTATAAACATATCAGAGTCAAGCGCCTATGTCAACAATATCGCCACTGATCTTGATCCGGTAACGGAGGATGTATTCACATCGAACGCCGAAGAAATTTTAATGCCTTCCGTCCACATAAATAAACAGTTGGGTTATCCAATTCAAACAAAATGATATTTTGAAATTTGTACTGTTTCAAATTTAGCGGTAGTAAAACACAATTACAGAATCTACAAACCATTCTGTTTAGCCCAACATATTTTTTTTCTAAAAGTATAATATCGTTGAAAAAGTTATTTAGCTTAGTCATGATCCCTCTTATCCATTACACCGCTTGATCTAAAGTAGTCTATTGAAGTATAATTAATTACCTTACTGTGTTTATGCCAGAGGTACACCCTCATGTCCTGATCCATCCTTTCAGAAATATCACCACAAATCTGGCTCTTTGTCAACAGACTCGCAAACATGCCAGCGAATCCGATTCAATTTGAATTCACTACACTTTGAAGCCACTGGGACACAAAACACTTTCCAAAATGTAGAAAATAATATCCGTGAGAATCGAATTTGAGCACAAAAGTACACACATGAGTGTGTAAGAGTCACCACAGCTGTCGACGCATGAGCGAGAGAGGTGCGTGAAATCGCTTCAAGTTGACAGGGCTTAAAATTCAACAGTATCTAAATTCGGTACAACCCGGACTTCTCGTTACAGCAAAAGCGCCTCTACTCTTAAATTTTGTACCAGTACCAGTAATTAGATATCAAAGACTATCTCAGTCATACAATCAGGTTAACCTTGCACAAACTGTCAGAGGCTCTCCTGTCGATCTTTCCAAATTTGCACGTAAATGTAAACAATGACTTCCGAGAAAGGTCAAGGCCATGAGGTTGCTGCCATTATTCTGGTGGGGTAAGGGTCTGATTGGAATTTTCAAATGTGAACCAAGCTTTTAAACTTATTTGATATATGTTTTCCAACTTATCAGTTAATGATTGGTGATTGATGCATTGAAAAACAAAACGTGATTTGTTATTACTGAATCTGGAGTTTGTTAGTCATTGACAGTTTGCCACCAATCACCCCGTTTCGGGCGATGCCACTTGAGATTGGAATGCGAGGCCGCTTCACGTATTGACTCGTAACCAAAGAAAGAGCTCCACGTGAAACTGTTCATAAAATTGTCATGGTAGAATGGAGATAAACCTACTGTGTGGGAAAATCAGAGGTATATAACAAAATTATAATAGCTCTAAATTTCATTTAAAACCGAACGCCTAGCGTGAGGTTTTAAATGAACAATTCTACCATGACTTCAGTAAACACTGGATTGTGATTGGTTAATTAAAGTCATTCAGAGGTATATAATCACGTAATACAGGTCTCTGTTTTCCGTGCGCAATCATACATGGTTTACGGTAATGCACTATTTTAGTACACACGCGTTCGGTTTTAAATGAAATTTAGAGCTATTATAATTTCGTTATATACCTCTGATTTTCCCACACAGTAGGTTTATCTCCTAAACACATTCCTACTCAGTTTATTCATTCATTCATACGACAGTTACATTCGTTTCACTTGCTTCGTACTTTGAGGTAAACAGGCAGCTGAGAAGTTAACCAATCACTGACGAGGTCAGGGTTGACTGATGAACTTTTCACCATTGACGTCTAACTTATAGGTCAGATTTCAAGTGAGCAATTGGCAGTGACACTGATTGAGTTCGCTCAGTTCGTTATTCACACCGTTAATTAGTGTTAACTGGGACTCCCGGGGATTGCAAATCAGTTCGCTATAGCCACTAAGTTCGTTATAGAGAATTCGTTATTCACGACTTTTTTTATATAATATACAGAGGTTTATTCGGGACTTTTAAAACAGTTCGCTATAGCCGTCAGTTTGTTATATCCGTGTTCGTTATAAAGGTATTTTACTGTACTTCAAAGCTGTGGTTTGTGACCAATGAATTGCACCTAGTACATTCATATTATATAGACCATGTACTCTTAGATTGTGAGCCCTCCATGTTCGCTTCATGCACTGGGCATTTTTGGTGCCATGGTGTTGTTTGACTTAGTTCACTACTGTTTGGGGCAGCAATGCTTAAATATTCCAATAATGGACTGTCACAGATCCTCAACCTTACTCAATGATGTATGTAACAAGGCTTGCTTCCCTTCCCTATCATGTGTGTCACTGCTGCCATTATTTCAGCAGCACAACAGAAACATATATAAGCATGATGTGATGTTTGAATGAAATAACATACTAACTATACTACCTAAATAGTTAAAGAACACCCAATTTTTCCATATTACTGTAGCTAATTTGCCATGGCAGATCAGTTGTATTTATATGAAGGAGCGGGTAGTACTCTGACTTCTGTGTTGCATTCTGTGTGACCAAATGTTGAACTCCAGTCCATGGTGATGCATCTCTTCCGTATTAGAATTGGACCTCAGGAATGTTCAGCAATTTTTTCGAAAGAAAATAACTGAACTCACACATCCCCATAAAAGACTGAATAGCACTGATATGTTATATCTTATTGAGACCATCTTTTCCGTGAAGGTAATAAGCATTGAAACGACTTGGCTAGCCCACAATGCTTCACTTTGGACCACAACACATTGTCGACAACTGGCCATCTTTTGTTTGTGTTTGCTTGTTGTGTAACACCACACTCAGCAATATTCCACCTACATCAATGGCCCATGAAAAAACTGGATCAGTCGGCCCATTGATACAAAATATGCCACACCACTGGGCCTGACTACTTGATCCTTTTAATCATCTCTTTATGATCTATTATAACCCAGTGATAGCGAATATGGTTATACGCCGCTTTTAGCAATATTCCAGCAACATCACTGTGGGGGACACCAGACATTGGCTTCACACATTGTAGCCATGTGGGGAATCGAACCCAGGCCTTCAGCATGGTGAGTGAACACCTTAACCACCAGGCCAAAAGAACGCCCCTTATTATAACCCAGAATCTCTGAGGGTCACTACATGTATTTAAAGGTCACATAAACCCTAGGGGGTACAAATACATAAATCACTAACTGGCATCGTTATAAATGAAACCCCGTCATTTAAACTACTCATTTCGACCTTTAATTGACTTAAATCGACCTTTTTGACAACAGTGCACAATTCTAACCCGCGAACGAAATTTCAACCAATCAGAGCGGCGCGCATCTGTGACGTCATATGAGGAATAGCTTTGGGGGCCGATGCAGAATTCATCTACATTTTAGGGGTTAAATTATCTTGTTTACAGGCTTGTATAAACCTGAAATCGTGACAATTGTTGTGGAAAATTAAAGCTATATGTTCTCACAATCTACTGTCATTTAATTTTGTCTCCTGCTTTGCCTAGTTTCGAGTTACAACTTGTTTTCATAGACGATTCTGTCAAAATCGATTGGTGTCGTTAGTCCCTATTTGTATAATGACTGATCCAAATTGATCCCATTTTACCCCGATAATTAATCATGTCATGTACAAATCTGTTTGTATTCTCAAAACAGTGTCGGCCCATAAGTTTTCACATGCAATACAGCAATTAATACTCCCTTGTTGTTACCTGT